TTGGTAATATCCATAATTCAGTAAGGTAAAGAGTGATTTATCAAGGTTGACTTGGGAGGATCAGGAGGAAGTCTTGAATATAGAGAACCAAATCCTCAATCAACAAAATACATATCAATCGATTGGAAATCAATAGTACATCTCGAAAATATCATTTATTTTATGTTTTGAAATCTCTCCTTGACCTAATTTGGTCAATTAAGACAATAAAGGATTACACTATAGGGAAAGTTACCAATATCAAAATAAATGATACTATCATGTTTAACATCTCAAATAAAGTGGACTTTCTTCAAATTATATATTTTCATTTCAAGAAATACATCCGGTAGATAGTACATGGTGATATTTCAAGTGAATGGATGGAAATCTGAAAGGTACAGAAACAACTCCATTTTCACTGAAATTGATATCATGATATGTAGACACTCTAATTAGCATATGGTATCAATTTTATAAATATTGGTTCAGTAAATGTCCTGTTGTCAACTCTATCACTTTATTATGGACTTTTGACATGATATCATAGATTATACTCCAAATCACTCAATTTACATGCAATAAATCAAAAATTGATATCACATAATCTAGACATCATTTAAGTATATATAAACAAGTTTAGAAACAATTCATGATACTTTCATTCAACCAATCGGTTCATGTTCAATGTCAACAGTATTAATATCCTAGTGAACTCTCTATCTCAATGAAAGTAGGTTCAATCAATATATAACTTTACCATATATATTAAATCACTTTATTAATTATATGGTATCATTTACAGTCTGTTAGAATTATATTCAGTATGATAATAATATCATTCTTCCAAAAAGTCAGCTTTCATCACAAAGATCACACTCCATCCCATTCATTTTGCAAAATATCATATTAGTGTAAAATATGAATACACTCCTCTTTATGTGGATAACAATCTGGAACAGTTTCATATTCATAGTTCAATATCTTAAAGTTGCAACCAATCCATAACACAATATTTTAACGTAGATAAAATCGATTTACTTTGAAAAGTAATCTTAAAAATTATACGCCAAAATAGAGCAGCTTTCTTACTTGTCTTTCTTGTAGTGTTAAATTTATTTGTCCGAAAACCCAAGAATCTAAACCTAAAAACCTAAAGCTAATTGAATATTCAATCTCATACCGGAAAAGATTCTTATTTGCGGAAAAAGATTCGAATCTTAGCGAATCTTCAATCAATTTCGAATGGAAACCGAATCTAAGAATCCAATAATATCGAAATCTTTACCACTTTCCAAATAACAACGCAAACAACAAATACACCAAATCTCGATATCTAGATAGAAAGTATATACTTTTTTTAAAACTTTACTGAAAAACCTTTCCAAAAGCCCAAGATTCACTTAAAGACTCTATATTAGATCATAAAGACCATGGTGCCACCGAAGTAACAAATCAAAACAACTCTAATCCAAACCCAAATATTACCTATCTAGATGATATAATGATGATTCTCCATAGTTACATGCATGTGTAATTGAATGTTGACACTTTTCATCTTGTTATATTTATAGAGTTGGTATCCAACAGAGTCAGTTCACAATATTAAATATTGAAACTCATTCTATATGACATGTTTGATGTATGGAACGGGTTTTTATTGATTGTAATCAGTTTGAAATAATTTGATGAAATTGACACTGTCTAGTCACCATTACATAACAAATAGACCATAGTTTACATTCCATCTCAGTCATTTCAACGAGTTATTGATTTATTCCACCACCATTATGTTTCTCATACATTTTAGTGCAGTTTATATTTCAAGTGTGATTTCTGTGTAGATTATTATAATCGTAATACCTTGCAATACCAATAAAACTCAATAGAAGAGTTAATTCTTCTCATTTTCAAATAGATTATTCAATATAGAACACATCTAGATAGTTTCCATATCATAAAAGTCAAGCTACTATATATGGTCTTTGATTAAATAAATAGACTGCCGTTAATTACTGGAATATTAATTCAATGCTTGTTGATCAAGCTATTGATTGAAATCAAACCGATTATTGAATATTGATCATTGAATTGGTGAATAATCACTCTTGATAATGTTACTTATTCATATTGCATGCAAATCAACCTGATTCAATCTACAAAGGTTGGTAGTTGCACCACTTCGTGGCGAAACTACCCATCCACGATCAATCAACATGTGATTCACTTCCATTCAACTCAATTTGACCGTTATAATCAATAAATCAATGAAATGTTCCTTTATTAGCAATACCTATTCAATCTAATGAGTAGATTCACGTCCCAAACATTTGACTTCTAAAAGTCCATAATTCAAAAGTTGATACTGACCTGACCTTTATATATCTATCAATATAAGAAATGAAACCATCAAATTTACATCATTAATAGATGATAAGAAATATAATCAATGATATGAATCTTCACTAAGTAATCTCTTAAATAACCCAAATAAATCAACTCTGAATCCTAATAAACTTTTATTAGTACTATTGTAGATGTACCATATCAATTATTTCGTCTTGTTTCGTTGAAACCATGAAGATTTTGATTTTTCTGTTTTTAATTAAATTTCACATCACCTACATTGTCTCCTATGATGAAAAGTATATAGGAAGGATGTAAGCAATACATAGTTGATACTCTATTCATTGTTTGCTGTTTTATGGTGTATTCGAGATTTTGAAATTTTGAGAAATATCCAGAGGTAATTCACCAAATAATTATAATTCCTCTTTAAATGAAATGAGGAGGGATTCATGCTATGATTATTTGGAAGAGCCACATAGATTTTGGACACTATCTGAACGGAAATGAGGTAGAAAGAGTACAATCTTCAAGACCAAACAATTTAGGTCCTATTCATGTTGGATTTCTGATGGTTAGGTTCTAAGGGCAATCCTAAAGTCACCTTTCCACACAATAAAAGTAGCAGATGATAACATTTCTAAACTTTGTTTATTGGTATAAATTTGGAATGACACTACGGTGCGACTTTTATGGAAAGGAATAAAATTGGCACAGCTCATCGTGCGATAATTATGGCACACAACAACTGGAAAGAAACTCTAATTTTATTTGGGAGAACTTGATTAGTTACCTAACTACCATCAATTCTGAAAACATTAAAACATCACTAAATTCATCCTTGCTGAATATATCGACCGAGTCATCAGTTTCCGACTGTGACCTTAGTAGAGTTTCACGCTATCCATTTTGGAGGAAAATTTGTTAACTGTAAGAATTGCTTAAAGCACATTAAGGATCCAAATGACGAACCATTCCAAGGTTTGCCTCAAGAATGGGATTTTTGTTCATATTGTCAAAATGGAATAGAACCTTCTAAAATAGTATACAATTACTCTGTGTCTGTCCATCATCCATTCAAACAGGTTTACAAAAATATTAATATTAATATTAATTTTACCAGACTGTTCGGAATGGTCAATAGTAGGAGAACTTTCTCTGATCCATTTTGATCAAGTTATGATAGGGATCATGAAATATTTCTGCGAATTTTGAAAGTACTTGGACCATAACTCAACATGCACTTCACCAACTTGAATCATGTCTTTTAGTACTACTATTTAAATAGATAATAATAAACATCATATTTATTATCAGATTTTTGTCATGTTGTCAATTTACCAAGTTTCTATATTTGCATGCAATCGGGCTCAAATCAAACAACAATAAAACAACAATTCATAATGTTTATTATATTAATAATTTCGAGTCTTGTAGCATAATTTGTGAAAATCATGGTGATGTTGAAACATCACGAATAGCATGTCATTCATCCATTAACCCTCTGTTCCTATTGGATACTTTACTTTTAATGTTTGTGATACTTTACTATTATATTCCTTTAAATTAATGGAGATAGAAGGTATTACATCAGCTCATAAAAAATAGCAAGCCAAATATATTTCCTCTTCCTTTCAACGACACAAACAGTTTGTGAAAGCAGGATGAAAAAATGAGTCAAATTGAAACAACAGAAAATCACTCAGTTGCAAATAAGGATCATCAAAAAAAAGCTAAGGAAAAACGTAGTAAGGAGGAGGAAGGAAAATGTCTTCCTATCACGACAATTATCAAGTTAATAATTACCATATTTTTCTGGTTATTGTGTATTGGTATTTTCATTTGGTACGTGGTAGACAGTGTGGAAGTTTATTTGGTTGCCTTACCGGTAACTTCCATGTCGTACCAGAAGTATGAAAGTATTCCCTATCCAGCCGTAACAGTGTGTAACTTTAATGCTCTAATCGATTGTACAACATGTGGTCTTTCCCTTCACAAAACTTATTCAGTGAATGCATCAACCGGAACACCAGAGGAGGCTACCATTCCAAACAAGTATGTGGAAATTGATGCTGGTGTTGGAGGATTATTCAGATGCATTACTTTCAACAATAATTCGGCACTTCATGCTGCTGAAGAAATTGGTTATTCGGGCTCATATTCTTTGTATTTTCACGTTCCAAAGATGGCTACCGATAGAAATAATAGATACGGACTTCAAGTATCATTCCATGAACCAGGAACAACTCCTGATGTTTTTGCAGAGACAAACTTTTGTTTGGAAGAGGCTGACAATAGCTTTGTTCTTAGTAAGGTTAGAACTCAGAGAGTGAAAGCCACAAAAGAAGAACCAAATTTAGAAAGTGTTAGATGGGTAAGTTGTTTCAAATAATTCAATAGCTTATAATTATAATAGTCATTTCAAAGATCTTCCATTGCCCTAGCAAAGAAAGTTGAAGGGCTCATTGTTATTTCCTTCTCTTATGGAACTTTGAATGAATCTAAAAATAAGGAAGTTAGAACTGCAACCATTGAAAAGATTCTGGGTGAAATCAGTGCTATCTTGGTAGCCTTAATGGTAAGTTTCAATTTTGAAATATTAAATATTAATGAATGAACATCTTTAGGGTATTGATGGTTTAAAGTTCTTCAATGCTGTCATTGAACTTGGATATTCATTTAAAAAGAAGACTTTGATGAATGTTTGGAAGATTTTCAACAAGGGAAGGTGGTAAAGGAACGAAGTAAATGGTTTAAAATATTATAAATTGAAACTACTTTATTAATTGAAAACCTCCCAAATTGGTCTCAATGATTTGTAAGGAATTGCAAATGGAATTTCAATGAAACCTCTAATAATCTTCATTACATCCAATCCAGCCAACACACCAATAATTGCTCCAATTTCACCCAATACTGTTTCTATATTTGTTGATGACATTTCTTCAATTTCGTATTGGTTCAGAGTTGCATAAGCAAATGAGACAACAATGATATCTTCCTCTTGTTCAGTCAATCCAATCGAGGCCATGGATGCTTTCTAAATATGTTTCACAAAAATATTGAATTATATGATTGGTAGTGAAAATAAACTTACCCATCTCATTTCTTCACCTTTTGATGTACTACTACTGCTTGAACTATCTCCCCCTGACGATTCTGCTGATCGAATTGAGTGCGTAGTTGTTGCTGATCCACTTTCACTTGAACTGCTTGATTCATGAGTATCTAAATATTTGGTGTGATACTTGGTAAGGATGAAGAAATTGTCCACTCCTGCCATGGCAAAATTAGTCTCCGAAAGAACATCAGGAACTGTGCCCTGTTTGTGAAAGGATATTTGTAATCCATACCTAGAGTAAGTGTTGGAAGGCATCTTTGGCACTTTAAAAAAGAGAGAATAGGAAGCTCCATATCCAGTTAGAGTAGCTTCTGGAATTGGATGATGAGTATCATTATTAATGACAATGCAATGGAAATCACCAATCACAGTTGATTCATAATGAGTCTCATAATCAACAATGGATCCATTGTCTAATACTCTAGTTGCATGTTCCAAAGTGAGGCCACAAGTATCGCAGTGTTTTAAGGCATTATAATTACAAACAGTAATGGCAGGAAAAGCCATCGGAATGTGTTCTACTAGAGAGAGTGCAGTTATTGGATTGTGTAAGGCATGAAGGTAATGATTCACCACATCATAAATAAACCATATTGTGAAACCAATAGCAGCAATCCAACACAGGAATATAATAATTTCCTTATATTTAATTCCAAGAGGTAATTTAGGAAATCCAAATCCATTCTTATCCCATTTCTTTCCTTCCTTTTTGACGGTATTGGTAGATGAAGGGACAACTTTGGTACTCGTCGATGATGACTTTACAGCATCCGTACTCTCTTGCAGGCTTGGAGGTAGAGAACTACCACCTTGTTGTTGATTCTCTTCCACCCTAGGAGAATCTAGATTCATTTTTCTCTCAGCCTGTAAAAATTTTTTGATGATGCATCATTGAGGTGTGTAACGAACAACGTACTTGCTTGACATGGTGGGCCTTTGGATTTCTACCTTATTGACGATAAAGAGGTCTCAAATTGAAGGAAAAAAAATGTCGGCCAGCGTGGAGTTGAACGATGTTAATACATCGAATATTAAGCAAGAGAAAAAGAAGATCGAGGAACATCATGAGGTTACGAATCATCCTGTAGAGGGAGAACGAGGTGGTAATCATCATGGAGAAGATGAAGAATCGGAAGCTGATTGCTTACACTCTAAGATTGGATACTCTATTAAGGATTTAATTCTTCTATGCCTTTGGTTCATTCTGGTAGGATTATATATTTGGTATCTTGTTGAATTGGCGATAACAATTGATGAGGAATTAAACCATCCAACAACATCAGTCTCCTACGTTGAAAAGATTCCTAAGGATTTACCTCAAGTCACTGTGTGTAATTGGAATTCATATTATGCTTGTGGTGAGAGATGTAATGTAACTCTAGTTGATTGTTCGGAAGTGGATTCTGAGGGAACTCCAATACCTTGTGTACATCATCCTCGGTTCATTCAATATGAAAAGAATGGTAACACTTTTCATTGTTATCAATATAATTATGATGAGCATCATCCTATTCAAGTTTCTAGGACTGGTTATGCGGGAAGTGTCTCATTGTACCTAAATTTCCCAACCATGCCTGAAACTGAGACCAATAGAAATGGCCTTCAGGTGACATTTAACAAAATTGGAGAGGAACCAAATGTTTTGGATGAAACTAATTATGCCTATGAGAATGTAGATAATTTCTATGTCATGACACACGTTGTTGTGGAAACCTTGGCTAAGAATGATAATCATCAACCTGAATATTGGGATTTATCCTATTCCAGAATTGGAACTGCTTCAATGGGTAATGTTACTGTAGTTTCATTCTGTTATGCTAGTTTGAATATCAATGATATTAAGGAAGTTCAAACTGTCACCAATATTGAAATTTTTGCCAAAGTTTGTGAAATGTTATTAATTCTCGTGGTAGGTTTTTAATTTATTATCAATAATACTTATAATTTGAAGGGTATCGACTTTATCAAGGTAATTAGAGGAATATTGCTCATTCCAGAAGCAATCAAATACAATGAATTCAAGGAAATTTTTGAAACTTTCATATAATTTGTAATGTTACTCTTTCTGATCCAGTTGACTTAACAACAGTTTAAACTACCTGGTTTTTTTAATGTTGGTGAATCTGTGTGGATTCAAGAATCCTTCAACCACTTCTAGAAACCTTTAATTTTGTAAAGTCAGCTCATCAAAAGTTCCTGTTTCATCTTATTTTATTTAAAATATAATAAAAAATCTTCACATTTGCAATGATGGAGAATGTTGCCGCTGTTGATGAAGATGGAATAACAACACTAGATTTTCCAATATCTTGGTATTCTTGTTATAGACACGATTTGATACCAGATGACAGTTATCATCCAGTTTTACTCGGAGCAGAAAATGTACTCACTCATTGCCCTACTATATTCCTGTTCGGAGGTTTGTTTTGTTTTAATAGAATATTATTTGATTAATAATGATGATCAAATAATATTTATTAATATATTTACAAAATTGATTAATTAATATTGAAAATTAATTTGGGAATGATAGGATCTCTCTCACAAACAAAACGTTTTAATACAATTTGGATTTTAACGGTATCACACAATATGGTTTCATCTCATAGCTCAACGAAAGATTATGAACAAGTTAAATGGGAAATTGTCAGTCCAAGCACTGAACATATTCCATGTGCCAGAGAATTTCCCTGTATTTCCTATGATAAGGGCAATCAGTGTGTCTATTTGTTTGGAGGATTTGGAGATGGGCAGAGAGGTGGCTATTTGAATGATTTTTGGAAATTTGATTTGAAATCAAGGGAATGGATAAATATAGAAACAACTGGAAGTATTCCTTCAGCAAGATGTGGATGTTCTGGAAGTTATGCAGCATCTAGAGAAAAGTTCTTTGTTTTTGGAGGGTATCACGGTGATTATTTGAATGATTTTTATGAATTGGATTTGAAAACTAGGGAATGGAAAGCACTCAATTATACACACGATATTCCATCCTTGACAGTTCTAACTCTGAATAATGACATATCTGACAATTATTTAACAATATTTGGCGGATTCAATTCACGTCTTTATACAACCAATATGTATCATTACAATCTTGATACCCAACAGTGGAAAACTGCAGCAACTGAGCTGATAAATATAAAGGGAGAAGGTTCTTCACATTCGAGGTGCCTTACATTGAGAGGAAAATACAAGAATAACATTCCAAATAGGAATAATTTCCTCATACTTTTTCATGACGCTGGTGCAAATATATTCGAATATGACGAGGAAGAATCCCAGCTCATTAAATACCAACCAACACAAGAATTACAAGAAATATTCAGAACATTAGAGGCCAAGTTTATTGCTGAAATCAATGAAAATACTCTTCTAATATTGGGAAAATCAACACTATCCCTTATTGAAAGTAGAAAATTCCAACCAACCAAAAGTTTGGACTATTTTACTCAAAATTTGAAAGAAAGAACCAAATACTTCTCTGATATAGTATTCCTCTAGCTGCTTTATAAAAATCCAATCAGTTTTACCCTATTATACATTGTAATCTTTGATATCTCCATCCCGCCCATTTTTTTGACTAATCATTATTCATATCGCAATGCAAATCAAGGGCGGTTAAGGTGAACTTTAAACTAAAAAAAATGGGCAATCAACAAGCTTCATCCACAAACAACAAGAATAGAACTCCTGAGGAATCTCCTTATCCAACCAATCGAGCAAGCGCTGTTAATTCAGAACATTTTGAACAGGTTTATAATAGTGTGAGTGGTGTATCGAGTGAATTTAAGGCAAACGATCCCGAAGTATTGAATGCATTGGTTGAAAGTTATCGGGATTCATTTGCTAAATATATGAAAAAGATGGAAAAGAAGTTGAAAAAGTTACCTCTGAATTTGGATCAAATGGTTTCGATTGATAAGAACAAGTTGATGGATTTACATTTAAAGTTACCAACTAGTTTCTATAAGGCCAGAGTTAGTGCAAGTTTTAAATTTACCGAAAAGGGAATTTATAAGGTTTTCAATGAATTGATTAAAAGTGGAAGAATCCACAGCGATAATTATCTTTCCATTTCAATGAAGAAGTGTATTCATAGAAATGATTTGGTTCCATTCATTGAAAAATTCACAGAAGAACCATTAGATTTGCAAGATTATATTTGGAGCTTTTTGTCATTTAGAATTGATGAGGAAACTAAGGATTTCTCAATTACTGAAACCATTGATGATACTTCCACACGTTTTGGTCAAGCTGCTCTATTCTGTACAACTCTATTGAGTCCTTTTGCTCCAGCAGCTGTTGAAGGAAACAAGACATACACATCAGTTTCATTGGATTTGGGAGAAGATTTCACATGTTCAGATTTTAAAGTTGAATTCATTCAAGAACCACCACACAAAACACAAAATACAATCACTCACCATAATTAAATATATTTTAATCATTTATAATTAGAAGTTGGAACTTGTTTGTAAATTCAATTTGGAGCAGACAGTTGATGATTTTGAAAGATTGGTCGTCTTGCAACCAATAGAAAACATTCATTTGATGGATAAGCGCAATATTACAATCATTTGTCTCTAATTGAATTTCAAATAAAACCCTTCTGTTAGCAGCTGCTTTCTATGCAAATATACAATTCATTAAAAAAACAAACCACCACATCCTAACGGTATATGCTACTTCTCTTAATAATTCTTTCAAACAATGATAGACGAAACAAGATTGCAAACAGAACAAGCTGTGACAATCACACTGATTGACTTTTGTCCATTGCAAAACAGTTTCAAAGACTCTCCAGAGGATACTCACTTCACGTTGCTTCGAGACAAACTCAGAGAAATCCAAAAAGCACACCTTTTCAATTCGAAACCATCCATGCTCCTCATGAAACGACAATCAAAAATTGTCTTTCAAGATTTAAAACTTGGCAAGGGAGGCTACAAGAATCTGCTCGTTCTCCAACTAGATCCTTCACTCCAAGAACCAACACTCACCATCGATCACCAATTGAGTCAACACACAACTCTTGAACAATTAATTCCACATCTTCCCTCAAACTCTCCAAGATTTATCTGTTACAATCTTCACTATGAAATGCCAAGTTATTCAACAAGCAGAGAAGGTGAGAGAAGTAAGATTATCCTCATCACTTGGTGTCCAAAAGAATGTGGAGTCAGAGAACGATTTAAAACAGCTCTTGGAGTTCAATTTCTATTGAATAATTTGAATGGATTATCTGCTACTGTACATGCCACATCGAGTAGAGCTCTCACTCATCAATCACTTGTAAAACAAGTTCTTTAAATTGTCGTTCAAGAAAAAGAAAAACTAATTGTAAATAAATTGTAAAGTCATTCACTCAAAAATTTTACTTGTTGAGAAATTTATTGAGCAGCTTGCTTGACTCCATTAATATTAATATTGAGACTCAATCTGACTCCTCTTCTACCACCTCTCTTGGCATAATGTCTCATATAAGTTCCACCAGAACCACCAGAAGGAGCACTACCACCAGAAGATGATGATCCAGAATAAGAAACACCACCATCACCACCACCAGATGACGCTGATGATCCAGAAGATGAATAACTTTCACCAGATGAAGCAGAAGATCCACCTTGATTACTGACATATCCACCACCATTATTTCTAGAAACACCACGAACACGTCCACCACGAACACGAGGAGCAAAACCACCATTTGAATTATTGGCAACATATCCATTATTATTAGCTTGTTGTTGTTAGCAACATATCCTTATTATTACTAACTTGTTCACCTCCTTGTTGTTGTTGTTGAACTTGTTGGAATTGTTGTTGTTGAGATTGTTCAACACTTCCTTGTTCAACACTTTGTTCACCTCCAGATTGTTGGAATTGTTGTTGAGATTGTTCTTGTTGTTGTTGACCTTGTTCATCACCTCCTTGTGGTTGTTGTTCACCTCCATCACCACCACCACCTCCAGTAACACCTCTCACTTGATCTCTAATATCATTAAATTGATCTCTAGCATTATTAAACTTGTCTTTGATATTATTGAACTTGTCCTTGATATTTCTGACCTTTCCCTTGATCTTGTTAAATTTATCCTTCAATTGACCAAATTTACCGCCAGAAAACTTGTTAGCATACTTATTAGCAAGACCCTTCAATCCACCTTTCAAATTTCCTTTCAAATTCTTGACAGTGTCTCTAACTTTCTTAACACGATCAACAACTTGCTTCACCTTCTTATATTTATCATAGACTGATTTAAACTTGGCAACAGCAGCAGCTTGAGCACCTGGAACAAATGTTGCTGCGTATGGTGCAACAACTTTGGCAATCTTGACAGCTTTCTTGGCAAATTTCTTTAATTTGGCACCAATTTTGGCTTCTGTGCCACTAGGTAACGAGGAAGAAATGAGAATGAAGGAAAGTAAAACTACCAAGATGCTAATCTTGAGCGTGTTGAGGTTTTTCATTTTTTTTAAAGATATAACTAACTGACACGTGACTGGAGACTTGCTGGAACAAAAAGTCAACAATCGCGTCTTTCGTTTTTTAAATGGTGACACTCTTATCTTTTGGTAATTGGTGTGAGTTTCAATCTCGGAAGGAGTTTTAAAGATTACCTTCGCAGTGTGAAAAAGTGGTTGACTGTATAAATGTTGTATTGAGGGGTTGTACGTTGTGAGATGTTGGTCACCAATCAGCAATAGATAACATATCAGCGTTTGTTTTGCTTTGCTGTTTCGAATATGAATTTAGGAGTTTACATTATTCTAAACATTAGGAATTAGGATATTTTGAAACAGTTGGCTGATTAGCGAAGCAGTTGAGGTTCCATTTCCCAAACATTCAAACTAAAGGTTGAAATGGTCAACTGTAAAGTTGTATGATAAAAATATGTGCATCAGTACACTGTGAAATTGTTTACAAGGAAAGACCTTTTTAAATATTTGATAGGATAACACAATGTAGTGTAACATTCCTTCCAGTATACTGCATGTTCAGTCCAATTTCTGTGTTTGACATTTGTCAACTGTAGTAGATTTGCATTTCGAGTTGTTGTATCAAATCACAACACTTTCAAAAATAACTGTAGATCTAAAAAAGCGGACAAAATGCACCAAAAGAATCCCTTACTTGATCTCTTCATTATCATTGTTCATGTTGACTAATAGAGTTTGATTACTCGTTGGTTGTTTGCAATTTGATTAAAATCAAAATATTTAAAAAAAATGTCTTCAATTGCTACTCTTGGCGGAGGTTGTTTTTGGTGCTGTAAGTTGTTTAAAATGATCAGAAGATTGTCTTGACAAGTATAAAATCTTTCATATTGTTCAATATTCTGTTTGGATTAATGATGGAATTAATCAAATGGTTAAATTAATGGATCGGAATGTGATAATATTGTGTTCGGAATATTAATCATCATCAACATCATTAGTGGAAGCTATTTTTCAACGTGTTAGAGGTGTGGAGAAGGTAGTTTCTGGTTATATGGGTGGTCATGTTACTAATCCAACCTATAATCAAGTTTGTAGTGGAAAGAGTGGTCATGCAGAAGTTGTCCAAATTACTTTCCAACCAAGTGAATTGTCATACAAGGAATTGTTAAATGTTTTCTGGCAATGCCATGATCCAACCACATTGAATCGTCAAGGTTATGATTCAGGTACTCAATATAGATCTGCCATTTACTATCATGATGAAACTCAACACACCGATGCATTGCAATCAAAAGAAGAAGCTCAAAAGGATTTTAAAGATCCTATCGTGACTGAAATTACAAAGGCATCACAGTTTTATCCTGCTGAAGATTATCATCAAGATTATTTCAATTTAAATGAAAATAAGAATCCGTATTGTAAAATGATTAGAGGAAAGTTGTCCAAGCTTAATATGAAATAGATTAGATTTTTAATTGATTTAATCTTCAAGAATCTATTTCAATTATTATAATTATTATTTGTAAATAAACAATTTAAAGTGATTTGAAATTTGGAGTTTCTTCCTCATAGGAATCTTCCACCTCTTGGAAACTATCTGATGGGGTGATATCTAAATTGACTGCACTAGAGAATGCTGTTGATGAAATGGATTTATCTTCTATTTCATTACCATTATCCAATTGTTCATTTTGATTATTAGATGTTGTTGATTTGTTTTTGGATCTTGTTTCTGCATATCTGTGCCCAATTACAACAAATACTCCAACCAAAATTAAACCAGCTCCAATTAAAATCCAAGGTGAAGGTGATTCTCCAAACGCAAAAACACCAGTTATTATTGCGACAAGAGGAGAAATAGTTGAATAAACACCAACAATGGTTGGTGTAAGCATTTTGGAAGCAATTGCACTCAAAGAAAATTGAACAGCTCCATAAGGAATCGCAGCATAAAGGATACTAAGAATTGACCGTAAATCAACTCGTCTATAATTAAAGTTAGGGAAAAAGTAGAGTGAGGAAATAAAGGAAACTGCCAAGCCAAAGAAGAATGACCAAAATGTGACAGTCAAAGGAGGAACTCCCTTATCTAGTAAGGTTTTTTGAGTTACCAAGTAGAGTGAATAGCTCATAGTATTTCCCAAGAGGCAAATTAAACCAAACATGAAGGCAACATTTGAGGGTGTAACTGGTGCCAATAAGGCAAAATATTCTGGCAATCTTTCAAAAGGTGATAAATTTTCAAAGGTATCTGGTTCCATTGCCCTTTGATTGACTGCATCTTTTGTAAGTGCTGAAGCCACAAGCATTGAAATGGCACCAACCACAGCAATTAAAGAGCCAAAGAATTTTACGTACGATTTTGATTCTCTTCCAAGCATCATGGAAATGACACAGACCATAATTGCCACAAGAGGTTGCACCACACCAGTAACTGTACTGGAAGTTAAATTCAATCCAGCAACAAACAATAATTGATTCACAACTGCCAAAGCTCCACACCAAGCCAATTGTTTTGATTGTTTGAAACTTGGCAATCTGGCCAAAACAAACGAAGGTATCACTGCCTTATCATTATAGAATATAGAATAAATCCATCTCCAATATTTGCTTCCATAAATAGATGGATACTTTTTCCTAAATGCAAATGCTCGATTAATAAGTTTAGTTTCTGATTTAAATTTGAATTTTCTATCCACAAATAACATGATTGGAAAGAGTGAAATAACCAAAACAACTCCTCTAAAGAAGGAAAATATAATTGGATTATAAATCTTCAAGCCATAGGGCGAGAGAATGAGAAATCCAGAAAATAATGTCAAATTGGTCCAAATCATCAAGTGTGCAATAACATTACCAGTTAGGAAATTCCAAATTCTTAATGGAATTGAAGTTGGTTTCTTATTGTTCCCTCCAACAACACCATTTTCAATATTATTATTATCCATTATATTATCTTGTTCTTCATCAATACTCATTGAATCGATTGTCGGGCCAGAATGTATAGAGGCTAACAAATCATGATGAGCAAAACCCGACGGTGAAGAAGGTGAAATTATTTGACTATTTCCTTCATCATTATTAATACCAATACTAATACCAATAGTACTACCATTATTATTACTATTAATATTATAACCGTCGTTACTCGAATGAAATGGGAAACTCGATGAAAAAGAGTGAGGTAAATGATCATTCTCCAACTCTCCATTATCCACCTCCTCTTCCTCTAATAAATTAACATTACTACTCGTATAGTAAATTTCCTCATCCAATTCTTCTGCTTCTTCATAATTCATCAACCTCCGAATATTCTTTTGTTGCTGCATCAAGTAGTTATTATAATTATTTAATTATTTAACTATCCAATTCACCACAGATTTTGTTGTGAGAGCCAATTATGTCTCGAGTCGAGGCAATTTAGGTGAATTTTTTGAACAAGACAAATTGAGGACTCCTTTGAATTTCTCTATCGGACCAATAATCGTGTAATATTGCGTCCTTCATTATTCTTAAAGAATATTCATAGTGGAGTCCATCAGTATGCAATCTTGGCTTCGATTCTGGGAGGTGGAATTGAGATATTTTTTTCAAACTTTGATAAAACCTTAGTGCAAAGCTGTAGAACCGATTGAGAGAGTTGGTAAATGGAAACGGGTAAATGTCATACCGTTCCACTATCGTACATTTACTTTCGTATGACTAGATTGACCTGGAATATTCGAAACTGTTAAATAACCAAACAATTTAGCAGATCTACAGTAGTCAGGAGTGAGGCAAAGAGATTAAATAAAGTAGAACGAAATATTAAAAAACAACCCTTACTGAAAAAAGTAAGGAAACAAAAACCAATCATGGCCTTTGAATATTTTCTTGTCATCCTAGAAATGAACAATTGCAACTTTCGAGGAGATTAAAACAGCAGATATCAGGTTAACAAATCCTCATGTCAAAGGGCCAAACGTCACATCGGCATCAGCTGTCCATAAAATAAAATTTAATTAAAAAAAAGAAGCCCAACAATAATATTAAAACGCGTTGTACTCCGTGTGTGTCTACAACAACAACATCATTAACAACAACAATAACAATTTGTGGACAATTTGTGTGATCAACACATTGAAGAAAACATTGCGCGCCTTTTTTGCAACTACAAAAATTTTCAAACTCTAAAAAAATTGAAACGTTTTTAGAGCAGCGACCACAAGAATAAGAGTTTAAACTTTTTCAATAGATTGTGTTTCATTCTACCTACAGTGTGTTTTTTTATTAGAAGAACAACAATCAAGATTGAGGACATTGACAATCTAAGAAATTTTATATTGATAGATTAATATGAGTACAACGATTAATAAGACTGATAAAAAGTCAACCAGTTTCCGTGAGAAGATATTTGGAGGTAAGAAGGTTGTACCAGGTGGTGGTTCGGCATCATCATCAAGTGAATTGAATACAAGTGTTGGTTCTATTGGTGCTACCATCACAAATAACAGCAATAATAATGGAAACACCTCACCAACTAATGGTACTCCTTCGAGATCCTCAACAGAACAAGTCTTGCAAATTCAAAGCTCAGTTATATTGAATGAAAATGGCTCTGCATCAACACCTGTACTTACTAATACATCATTAACTTCTTCATCATCAAGTCAGAATGGTTTGAATAACAGTCAGGCACCATCCGCTTCATTATTCCTGAACATTTCGAATAGTGGCTCCACTTTAGGCAACTCGTCAGGCGTCAAGTATGATCAAGAACTTGGATCCAAACTAAAAGAGTTGGAAGCCACACAACTTCACTATAAAGCTTGCCAAAATGGGTTCAAGAGTTTCTTGAAAGAATCCTCTGAACTTGGAAGGACAGAAGAACTTATGGGGCAACAAATGATTCACTTTTCTCAAAAGATGGATAATGCAGATCTAAACTCTAAACACTTGAAAGTACTCACTCATGAAATGGGTGAAACATTGAAGCAGTTTTCACTCTATAGATTTTATTTGGTATGTTGTTATTCATTGTTAACAATCTGACATTTCTGACATTTTTGTAAAATGATCATTTCAAATATTATAGAATAGAGATATTGATGAAAAATATGTTCGAGTATTGTCAGAAGTTCAAAACGATTCCCAATTAAATGAAGCCAAGGAAGGAAACTTTGTAGAGGCTGAAACTGATTATCAAAAACAATTGAGAAATATCAAATATTTCCTAGCTCTATTGGATATGAAGAATTCTCTGGCAAATTATGTTGAACAATGTTCCAAAATGATTCACTCTGTTGAGAAACAAATTGATGGAGCTATCAAACAACAATTCGAAACTGGAGTTTTCAATTTTTCATCTCTTTCTCTTCCAACAACATCAAATGCCAATCCACTCACACCTAGATCAGCAGGTTCAGTTGCAACACAAGTAACTCTTGAACAAATTATTTCCCAAAATATGCCATACAGATCCGATGACAGTATTCTATTCGGTGTCGAACTTAAAGATGTACTGAAACGATTTGGTGAACCATTTGGAGTTCCAAAGAGAATCAAGGAACTGGTGGAATTTGTAGAGCAAAACTATTTGGAAACTGAAGGATTATTCCGTATTCCTGGTCATTCAAAAGGAATGGATGATTTGGCTGAAAAGCTCAACACTGCTGTTGATCCAATTGACTATGCTACTATGGAGCTGACAAACAAACCTCACACAATTTGTGGACTCTTGAAAAAGTACACTAGAGAATTACCACAACCTCTCTTGACATTTGAACTGTATGAAGACTTTATTACTGCAGCTAAACTACCAAATACATCAGCAGAAACCAAGCAAAAACAAAAAGAGGAATTTAAAAAACTTGTGGATAAGCTTCCTGTGGAAAATTACAATCTTCTTGGAAGAATTTGTCAATTATTCTCCAAAGTGACCCAAAATGAAGGCAAGACCAAAATGAACGCATCCAACATTAGCAGAAGCTTTGGTACAAATTTGATGAAAATGAAGGTTGTAGATGATCAGAAAATGCTTGGTGACTTGGAAAAGATCAACTTGGTTTGTGAGATACTCATCGCTAACTCGGATGACTTCTTCCCAGGTGAGTTGGATACAAAGGCCGCCCAAGGCAGACGATTTACCGATGAAGAAATTGAAGAGTGGAAAAAGAAAAAATCTGGAGCTAGCTCTTCTGTTTCTACGAATGAACAAGAAGCTAAAACTTCTCCACTTCCACTCAAGAGAAGTCAATCTAAACAATTTTCTGGTAATGAACAAAACGCTTCAAATGATCACACACCAAAAAAGTCCTTTACCCTCAAAGCTAATGAAAATGCAGAAATTCAAACCAATTCATCTCAAAGACAATCTTTGAGAGGATGGATCGAAGTTCTTGACAAGTCTCGTAGTAAATTCTATTATTTCAACCCATCCAATGGAGAGACTAGTTGGAAGCATCCAACTCATGGAAAGAAACCTGCCATTACCAGACATGAAGAACAACCTCAATCTCAAGACTCTTCGAATGTGGCAGGAATGAAAATATTTATGGAACTGATAGGTAAGGTTGAACAACAGGATACAGCTGGTGTGACACTATTCCTGAAATCGACACTCCTCACAAATGATAGCGAACTCTCACGTAATGTTGGTGAAATCTTGAGCAAGGATTTCAATTGGAATGTTTCTGATTTGAACAAGGAAACAAATAACCTGACAAAGGAACAGTTGGAACTGTTCAATTCAAAATTACAAGTTTTATCTAAAAACTTTGTTTAAATAATTGTAACATTAAAATTAATTTTAATTAATTAATTATATCACTAGCTTACTATTTGCTGGTAACTTGCGGCAAAAATTTTTTCAATAAAACACCATGCCAACAACAATGCGTGAGATTAAAATTTTGGAATGATCAAAAAAAAAGTCTCGAAGAGAGCCGTGTTGGAAGAAGTTGAACAAAAGCTTGCTGCTACTATCGAAAAAGCAGATGATGGGAGTTTAGATGATTATTTGGATCTCTTTGGTGATTTTAATGAAGGATTGGACGATAATTTAATTGGAAAACGAAAAAGTTTTTTTATTTTTGATGCTGATTATTATTTGAAGCGTGTGATGGTAATGGAGGCTGAGATTGTGGATATTATTAGAAGAAGAATGGTTCCAGATGCCAAACGTTCTATATCTAGATTTGTTAACACCTACAATACAATTAGTTGTGATGAAATAGAATGGAAAGCTTTATGTATGAAATTGGATTTATCATTTCACGGAAGTAAAAGCAAAGACAATTATCGGATTTTTGATAGAGGACTTGAGGCTGGAAGTAGCAGAAAAGCTGATAGAACTACTTTAGAATGGATTAATGATGCTCCAAATTCCTTTCTTCCTATTCTTGAGGATAATAGATATTGGTGGTTGTATAAATGGGAACATAAAAAGAAGAAGTGGAGGTCAATGGTAGTGAATTTAAAATTGGTTTATTTGCAAGAAACTCACAAGATCAGAATAGAGTTTGATTATATTGTGTTTGAATTGCAATTTGTTAATGAACAGTTAGTTAAAGGAAAGAAAGTTTGGAAAGAACGTTTATGATTCAACTTTTATTATGTGATGATCTAAAAATAAAACCTACCAGCATGTTTTATTAATAGATTTAAATATTAAAAAAAAATGAGAATACAAGGTCCACCAATAACAAAATCCATAACAAATGATAATTTTATTTATGGTGAACATTTTTTGTTTCCTCCTACTACGATAGAGGAGAAGATGTTTGGTAAAAGAAAGGTTGAACAAGATGATGATGATAATAACGATGAATATGATAATAATGATGATGATGATGATGATAAGAATAATGGTGATAATAAGAAACGGGTTTGTTTAATTTTAAATATAATATAATTTAACAACATCAAAGCGACACAAAAAACTAAAAACAACAGAACCTACGAATAATGCTACATCAAATACTTTAACAACAACAACAACAACAACAGATTCAACAATTAAATTAACAACAACAATAGACCCAACAAACACTACATCAAATAATTTAATAACGACCACACCAACAATAGAACATACTAATTTAACAACAACAAAGAAACGGGTTTGTTTTATTAATTACATTTCATTAACATAATTTAGAGAATAATAAAACATTCAAAACCAATAGAACCTACAAAAAGTACAACAATACAATCTACAAATACTATAAATAATTCAACAACAATAGAACCTACAAACAATTTAATAAGTACTCCAATAACAAATACTACATCAAATACTTTAACAACAACTACTAAATCTACAAATACAACAATAGAACCTACAAACACTATTAATATTAATAATTTAACAACTACAACAGAACCTACGAATAATACTACATCAAATACTTTAACAACAACTACTAAATTTACAAATACAACAATAGAACCTACAAACACTATTAATATTAATAATTTAACAACTACAACAACAGATTCAACAATTAAATTAACAACAACAATAGAACCTACAAATACAACATCAAACAATTTAATAACAACAACAATAGAACCTACAAACACTACTACAACAATAGAATCTGCAATTAATTTAACAATACCAATCAGTACTATTAATAATTCTACAATTGAATCTTCCAACAATATTCAACAATCTGGAAATACTATTATTACTTCATCAATTACTCCAAATAATAACATAGTACTAGATAAAATAGATAAAATAATTCAAGAATTAATTATTGAACAAGTTAATCATGATAATTTATTAATTAATATTAAAAATGTAATTAATAATAATCATACTAAACACCTAATTAAAAATTTTGATGCAAATAATAATAACATCATTATATCATTATTAAAAAGTACAAGGGAAAGTAATATTATTAATATTAATATTGAAAATATTTATGTTTATGAATTTTTTAAATATCATAATTTAATGGACAACAAAAACCATGATAATCAAGAACATTTTAAACAACTGACTAATTTGAAATATGATAATTATATAAGAAAGGCTATTGTTGGGAAATTAATTTCAACCTTTCCTATTTTAATATTAAAATCACTCAATCAAAAACAATTTGGCTTAGTTAAGCCGTATTCTAATGTTTGTGAATATATTATATCAAAATTACCATCTTCTTTAAATGTTCAAATAGATTTTGTAAACTTTTTCAAACAATGTGTAAATGATGAACTTAATGAATAATAAATTTACTCTTCATAGGTTCCAAATATTTTTAACATATTCAATAATCCACCACTCGTAAAAATTCGATCCATCAATACCACATAAATACTTTTCGAAATAATTCTCATCAATCAATTTTAAAAGAATGCCGAAATTATCATCTTCATCTAAACGGAAAAAGGCTTGTGAATATTGTCATCAGAAGAAGAGGAAGTGTGAAGGATTTGATGGGTTATCTTGTGATAGATGTAAAAAAGCAAATACACAATGCTCATTAACAACAAGTTCAACAAGTAGTGGCTACAAACGAAAAAGAGAAATCACACAAGAATATATTACTGAATGTCTTGAATCTTATTCTCAAGATATACAGTTTAATCCGAAGATTGTGAAAAGGAAGACAGCTTGTTTAGAATGTCGTAAAGTACATAAAAGTTGTGTATCTTCATCTACTTCAACTTTATCTTGTGATCGGTGTAATAGTACTAGTAAAATATGTTCTTATAATACTGATGTTATTATTCCTAATGATAATACAATGGAAACAACAGTAATAATCTTCGAAAAAGTTATTCCAAAACTTTTAGAACCTATAACATCAAATTGGATTCAATTATTCATCAAATATTTAAAAAATACAACAAAAGGAAATGATCAATTATTACAAATTATTAATTCACTTTCATCCCAAAAAAGAATTGAATTTGGATTACACGATTTAAAAAAATTACCTGTAGTGGATGTATATAGAGCTATTTTAAAAGCAAAAATTCCAGTAGGAGTTTTAGATGATTTTGTAAAGGATTTAGAAGAAAAAAATATTTATATATTCCCCCAAAAACAATCTATTTATAATTTTTCTTCTATATTAAATGGAGAATTGGAAGCTAAAACATATGGTTGGGGAATTGAAAAAAAATATTATGATCTAACTTGTAATAATATTCAAAAGAAATATATAGTATATTCTTTAGCTGAAGCAAAAGTTTTCTTAATTAAGTATTTAAAATATTTAAAAAGGAAAGATGAAAATATTATTGAATATTTAAAAAAGTATGGTTGGTTGTGGAATATTGTAGGTGATGGTAGACCAATTAAGGGAGCTCCAACACATTTCTTAATACGAGAAATTAGAAATGATATTAATATTCAATCACATAAGAATAATATTACAATTCTAGTAACAGATATTCCAGAAAAATTACTTTCAGCATTACCATCAACAGCTTTTGAATTTATAATTGAATTTTTAAATATTGATTTTATTGAATTTGAAGGAGATAATATTAAATTATTGAAAATATTTAATCCAGATTTAGGGTTTATTTATAAAATTATTGATAATTCAAATGTTAAACATGAAATAATTAATAATTTTAAAATAGTTCAATTATATGTTTTATTATATTTAATTTATTCAATCGCAAATGGAAACGATCAAGAATTACATTATAATTATATTTATGAAATTTCAAATATGGAAAAAATTGAAATTTTTCAAATTGGTTTGGATATTAATAATGAACTTCCAAATATTCCTGAAATTCCAAAAAATACAATAGAATTATTTAATTATTTTGGTATTAATGAAAACCACTTTATTTTAATTGAAAATAGTTTAAAAATGAATAATGATTATAATGGAAAAAATTTAAATAGATGTGGATGTTGTTATATTCATTCTAATATTATTAAATTTGCATTATTGTTTCCAGAATTAGATTGTTTCAAATGGCAACGAATTGATAAACATTTCAATAATCCAATGGGATTTTCAGTTTCTCAATGGTCATATTGTTCAAGTCATGCTTTAGTTTGTACTGTACAATTAATGGTTGATAATTTATTAGGCCAATCGGAAGAATTAAGAAATGAATTTATTAGTATATTCATAAATGATGCAAATATTATTAATAAGAATAATTTAATTACTAATATTTCTAATTTTTCTGGTTTTAATTTTATTACAAAATTTATTAATGATAATAAGAAACATTTAGATCAAAATATTATAAATAATGCTTTCAAAATAGAAAAAAATAATAATGAAATAATGAATAATTGTAAAGATAAAATAATTAAAAAAATTGAAAAATCGGATGAGTGGAATAAATTTAATATTGAGTATGAAAAGGAAAAAGATGATGAAAAAGATGTAGATGAAAGAAAATATGAGTCTTTTAATTTTAAAAGATTTTTATTTCGCCAAAGTTATCAAATATTATTTAGTTGTTATATATGGTTACCTAAAATAGTAAAAAAATTAATTTCTATATTAGATAAAAATAATAATTCAACAACTTCAGGAACTCGGAATAGATTAAATCAAATAGAATCTAATATTACAAGTTTAAGTATACTAAATGATTTAATTAATATTCATAAATTATGGACATTATTTATACAACGCGAATTAATATTAACAAGTTCAACTGAAACATTAGAATCCATGTTTACACAATTAAATCATTATGAAAAACAGTTATTTGATTTTACTAAATTATTTGCAACAATTTACAATAATTATTCAATTTATTTCCACATTGAAAACAATTTATTTAATTTTTATACTAAATTTAAAGTTAGTTCAGAAATGATAAAACAAGTGGGAACGGAAGTACAAAATAAACAAGACAGAAAAATGATTAATAATATTTCTTGTCATAATGGATTAAATAATTCAGATATGCAATTATTAATTTATGGCAGATCCAAACTGTTATTATTAACTTTAGAAGATACAAATAAAAATTAAAATTTTATCACTAATCAAGAATCGAACCAACGTCTCTGCGTTGATGCTACCAGATTCATACCACTGCACTATCCATGCATTTATATTTACTAGAAACTCGGATGCAATAAGAACCATACACTTGTCGGAGGACCTTACTTTTGCTATGGCGGCGGCGGCGAAAATTTCCGGGAAGCTAGTGATCCACTGACAATTATTTATTATTGGAACAAGTTTGTGGAATGAAGAAGTGATTTACTTCAACCAATTCTTTATTGTCATTCTAATTGGAAAATGATCACTCACAGCTTCAGCCAATGCCTGAGTCAACCCATATTCTTCCTTAAAATTCACCACTTGAACCTTTTCATAATCAATTGAACCAGCAATGACAAATCTATCATATGGACATTTGGTTTTTACCATTGTTCCTTGATCATCCTTAATCAACCATTTGAATGTCGAATCTGTTCTCAGACGAATCCCCTTCCAATCTGATTCCTTCACATAACTACATCCAGCATTGAAATCTCCACTCAACAACCATGGAATATTCGAGTTGATAATTCTATTCTTTCTGTAATAATACTCATACACATCATAGAGTGCATCAATTTCTTGAACAGCAGCTTTTGGAGAAGTGTGAATTCCACTAACAAACAAGGCATTCTTTGAGGCAACATTTGGAAGAGAAATGGATCTAGTTGAATTGGATGGTAAAACCAACACAGAATATGGTGGGCGTTCAAATTGATCAAAATCTTCAGGATACTGATAAGTGGAATTAATATGGACCTTATCAGAGTCATAGATATATCCTGTATATTGATATTAACACACAAAAACATTGAAAATTTCACAACATACCATATTGTTCCTTACTACTTGTTCTTCCCAATCTCAAACTTAAAGATATTTGGAATTTTCTACCAGCACTGTTTTTGCTCTCATTCAATAGTTGAAGTAATTCCTTAATGGCTTCTCCAGATGCATCTCTAATTTCCATGATCAATGTCAGATCACATTGTGAGAGAATTTTCAATAGAACATCAACAACTTGATTATTTTGCATCTTTTTCTGACCAAATACTTGGACATTGAAACTGCAGTATGTTAAATCGGTGCTTGATTGTTTGGCAGTTGACTTGTTGATAATGGAAAGGTTCAGGGTAAGAACTGGATACGAAAGAAGGGAAAGAATCAAGAGTAAAGAGGTGGTGAGTAAGAAGGTGCGACTAGTGGAGATCATTGTTAGGCTGTTTTTTTAAATTTGTGAAAATCATGCAGTACTGACATGCAGAAAAGATCTTTAGGTCTGGATTTTTTAATTACGAAACCAAGGTGGTAACGGAGTTATTTAGGGAAATAATCAAAGTTTGGTAAATTGAGATGTAAACTTGAATAGAATCATCACCAGATAGGGTTTTTATTCAATCAAGCAAAAATCATTCTTACTGCAATAACATCACCTGCTTCTGATTTCTTAAACAAACAAGCATAACAACCATCACCATAACCAGATGATGTAATAATTCCATAAGGAGCAGCCATTTTTGAAGGATAATGGAGCTTTTGCATTTCTTTGGACAAGTAATTAGACCATTCAGATCCGTATGAAAGTTTAAATGCTTTTTCCAATAGAGATTTCTGCTTGAATGGTAAACCAAATGCTTCCATATTGTTGTAATACTTTAAATCAAAAAAGCTTGCAACTCCAGCATCAACTCCAACACCAAACTTCATTAAATACCATCCATCTTCATTCACTGGATCTGGGTAGTAATCTGTCTTTGTTGCTTCTCCTTCTAGTTCTCTATAAATGTCATCAGAGTATTTGAATAAATTTGGATTCTTTGTAATTTCATCATAACAATCAGAATGAATGGCAATTATTTGTGCTGTCAAGTAATTGTCAATTCCTCCACCATCTACATAATTTTTTTCCTTATTGGTAGTAATCCATTTCCATGTACCAGGTCTAACATTCTCAATAATTACAGGATTTCCATCTGCAAGTGAATCATTGGCAATAATTGATGTACTTTCAACTTTGAATTCTTGATCATCAAACAAGATTTCATATTCCTTTCTTGTATTATTTGTATCATTCATGATATCATTAGTGGAAGTACTTTCAGTTGTTGTCAATTCTTTACAACCAACAATGCCAATAAATGCAGTAGATGTCAAATCAACACCTGAATTTGACATAAACCCACTACCAATACAGGCTACAGAAATTTGTTTTGAAGATTTTTTACAATCCTTCATGTCCTTGATATGATTCTTATATTCCAATATATCACTCCAACTAGATTTGTACATTATTGGAGCTCCAAGATAATTTGCAAAATCTTCAGGTTCCAATTCAATATAATCTTTGGAAATAATTTCTCCCAACTTGTCCATGTGATCTCTACATCTCAATCCTGCAATAATTTCAAAGTCATTATATTTTTCTTCTTTGATTTGGTAAGCTTTGGTAATTCTGGCACCAACTACATTTACACATGACATGGAAGGAGTTACTAACTTTGGAACATATACATCAAATTCTGAATCCTTCTTCAATTTTTCTAAATATTCTTCCTCATTGAATATTTCCTTAATCTTTTCACTTTTGACTTGTTCAATTTCACTAATGCTAGTCACCTTGTTATATTGATTGTTGTTGTCCTTTAAAATAATTGTTTTAGAAATTGGGGAATATAAATAGGTAAGAGAACCCTTGATTGGTAATTTTCTCAATTCACCTTCTCCTTTTGAATTTTGAATATTAAATAATTGTGGAGTATAGGCAAAACAATCAATTGTCTTATCTGCAGATGAGCTAACTAGTAAACCAAAATTATCCAATCTTACAATGGAAAGTATTTCACAAATCCAATCTAAATGCTTGACAAGTACAATTTGAGTACCTTCTTGATTCCAAACCAATTCGTATAAACATCTATTTTGATGAACAAAAACTCTCAATCTATGACCCTCCAAGTATGGAATAATTTTGCAATTGTCATTAAATCCAGTTCCTGTAAATGAAAATGTCTTATCACATTCAGTTGAGCATGTAATTGGATTTTCAACCTTAAATTTACCACTTTCCAAATCATATTGATAAAAAGTACCATTATAATATAATGCATTAATAGAGTATTTTCTATTGAGTACATCTTCACATGGAAGAGTAATTAATAATGTAGTATTTCTCAATGGAAATTGAGGTCTAACATAGGGTGGAAGTTCACTACATTTTTCAACAGTAAATTCATTGTAATTACCTCTCTCAATAACTGGTTCGCCTCCACTGCACGATAAAATCATTGAACCACCAACAAATCCAATACCTTCTTCATTAATTCTTTCAAGAATATTCACTTGTTCCTTCTCAAAGGTTTCAACATTGTTAAATTTGAACCAGGAACGATTAGAATGTATACAATTAGAACCAGTTCTGGACGATGTTGTTGCATAGGCACGAATGGTAGGCTCATCATTATCACTTCTGACAGACAATTGATACATCAAATGACTTTCCCAATCCAATTTAATTTCGCTAACACATTCAAATATACGATTTTTATCAGAGGCCAATTTGACATCTTCAACGTGAGCAATTTTCTTCTTGATCACATGGTCATAATCAGACAAGTCCAAGAGGTAAAATTCATGATCAGAGGTTACATAACCATCCAAACACTTTCCGAATGGTTGAGTAGTGAAGGTAGATTGGTTGAACATTGCGCGTCTTTTTTTTAAAATTCGATTTTATCAATTCTTGGAAGGCGGGAAAAGGGGTTCAATATTTCCACCAAAAAGTGGTTTTCGGCCAAGTTCTGCGATTTACAAAATTGATTTGTAAAATTGCTTACAATGGTAACATTTCTGAATTGTTTGTATACAACACAACATACAGTTGCGTTCAGCATTGGATGAAACAGACTGTAATTGAAAATGAAAAATGGTTAAACTATTTTCAAATAAGTAATTACATCATAGCCTTATTTAAAGGCTATGGCCAATTCAAGGCGGGTGGAACGGCTAAGGCGGTTGAGTTCCTCGGCTAACAGGCAAAGGTTCATCTAACTGACCTCGTTGTAACGAAGTGCTTTGAAATCTTCCAGGACACACCAACTTGTTGTTGTAAACAATGGTCCAATTAAACAAATTAGCTTTATAAAAGAACTCACAGAGGGCGCCCGTTAAATGTACAATTTTGTTGAAAAAAAAAACCCTATCACCTCATCACCTCAGCAAATAAGCAACAAAAGCATCTAAGGCTGGAGTTAATATTCGGCACATAATTTGATAACAGTACTACTAGGTCAAACATAAGAGCCTCGAGTTATCATTATTGTCCTGTGGACAATTTTCATCACGCTTAATATCTCTGCCAAAAAAGTCCCAAACACTCTCATATATCTCNCAAGTTGTTATTCAAGAACACTCTCCAATACATTATCATAATTAACAACCAGACAGGTAGCAATTTTTAAACCTCAACCTTACCATAACAACAAAACAATAATCACAACAAGAACAACAACAAGAATACAACAATATGCAATCAATGCATCTCGTTGCCTCATCAAGGGATTTTGGTGATCAACAGTCTGCTGTGTCGGATGGTCACAGTGCCACATCAAGTACCACACATCATACAACAAATTCAACATGGGTTAAGATACAATCCTCAATAGCAACCTTAACAGTTGCACTGCAGGATAAAAAGAGAAAGACCTCTTGGAAATACTTTGCTCTCATAGTAATAATGAATATTTACCTCATGTGGACATCTATTTTTCTCCCAACTCTAGGTTCTGCATATAATTGGGGAGAATATGGTGATTGGGTCTTCAAGGTAGCAAACTATCCAATTACGTTCTCACTAGACTTGATACCATACATAGCCATGGTAGTACTGGAAATTGTTTCAATAGTATACGTGCTGTTGTATCTGACTACATCATACCTAGCATTTCAAGCAGTCAATAATTCATCCAAACAATCTGTAAGGATAAAGAGAATGTCCATCATTCTAAGCTGGCTGACAGTTTTCCTAACACCAGTCATGTCCTTCATCTTTACCAGCTTTATTGATTGTAACCTATCCTCATTGGTAACAATAAGTGGATATGATGAACAGAAGTACACTCTTCAAAGATTTCCAACACAGGCATGTTATTCAGTGGAGAATATTGCATTCATAGTAATAGGATTTGTGGGGCACTTTCTACTGGTAGGGTCGGTGTTTTATGCACATTTGGCCATTGCCAACATGCATCCTCACAACATGGCACCACTAAGAATGGAATCAAGTTTTTCCATCTCTTGCTTGATGTCATTTAATAGCTTTGAACTTTTGTGCATGTATGTGATACCACCTCAATATGCATACATCAGATCCATAACTCATCTTATTATTTCCATAGGTTGGATTATTATCTTCTTTAATCAACTTCCATTCTTCAAGAGAGTTGAAAATTCAATCTATTTGGGTGTTGGAGGAGCAAAGATTGGAGCATCAACAGGTTCCCTCATTTCAGCAGCTGCTAATTCGACAAATAGTTGGCCATTTGGATTAGGAATGATGGGTATGACTCTAGCCCTTATAACAATTGGATTTTTGGTTGGATTGATTGTGGGAGAATTATATACAAGGATTGTTTTGAGAATGGTTGAAAAGCTCATTCACAATATTATTCTGGAAAAGCAAAGCTCAGAGACTGTAAATATATCACTGGATAGAGCTATTGAGAGGGATGCCCTCACAATCTACCAAGAAATGGATGAGAGCAACCTGCTGCGTCAGTTAGGCCTGTTTTTAAGATTTTCAATTGTTAACACCAAGACCAATTCTATCAATCCAGAAATTAATATGCCTCTCTCCTTTGTTAAAGGCATTGCAAATCAGAAATCCTTCTCAGAGAGTGGTCTCTTGATTAGTTCCGCTCTTATAATTGCCTACGATTGGAATGATGAAAATTCATTAATATTTGCAACCTTATTATTGAAAAAGGCTGCCAAACATGCTAATATTCTTCAAAAGGTGGTTGTTTCGGAGAGAATTACAGAAATTGAAATTGATGCGACAGAATCAAAGAATGGAAAGAATATGGTTGAAGTAAAGCACATTCTTGAAAGAATGACTAGATATCAGGAGGAGTTAAAGGCTCTCCATAGATTATTTTGGAAAGAGTTAATGAATGAAATTCCAAACATGCAAAAAGTCGAACAAACCAATAGAAGAATAGCCTACCTCACTGATATCTGTCATGTAACCTACTTGAATGTCATGTCAAACTATAGTAAGGAAAAGACTGTATTGAGATCGTATGCCTCATTCCTTGATGCCTATCTATTTGATAAGGAACTTGCCCAGGAATTATTCCAAGAAGCAACTAGTATTGAAGAGGATGAATCAAATAAGAGAAACCGATCTAAAAATCACTATCTCAGAAATGTATCAAAATTCAAGTTTCTTAGTAAGGGGAGTATTCACCCTTCACATATCGGTGATGACTTTGTAAGAAATAGCTTTGATTCTGCCGGCAATAGGGATATAGACATGGAGAAGGATGATGGTATGTCCTTTAGTGGTATTGAAGGAAAAGAAGTTTCCAAGAAGGAAACTATTTTCAAATCGGCTCTCAGAGTGCCTCCCTCACACAAATTTCAAATGTTCTCTCTATATATTGTCATTTTCCTCTCTCTGTTGGCTACTGTTGTAGGATCGGTTCTTGCCTACTTCCTCTCGTTCAATATTGCTGGTGAAATACCAATGCAGTTCGATACTTGTAGAAGTACCATGTCAACCGCTGGTATTTTACGTCAACTAAGAATGCATCAATCCTCTTTACAAGTTTACAATTCTAGTTACAAAACCACTTCGACACTTGATATGTTTCACAATGACTTTATGGATAATCATGATATCAGACTGGAGAATTACATCAACATGTTGAAGAGAATACCTTACTATGCTCAAGCTGCACTCTATACACCAGCCATGTACGAATTCTACACCAAGGATAATATTTCCGTGGTGGTACCATTCATTCCAGAAACATCAACTGTACAAAATTTCATTTCAAGCTTTAAGAGAAATGCCTCAATGGAAGAAATTAACAATATCATTATTAGAATCTCTGAGAATATTCTTAATAATTGGCAAGACAAAGATTACAATACTCCACTTTCTAACTTCGAATTCATGTACATGTGGCAAAATAAGATTCCTTTAGGAGGTTTCTACACTACCTTTTGTGAAAGTTTGATTAATGCCAACTATAGTGATAGTAGTTCAAAACTTCAAGCCATGATGATTTGTTTGCTGAGTATTTGCTTTACCTATTTTGCTCTCTTCGTTGTATTTTGTGGGCTGTCAAGATTGGAACTTACTTCCACTGAGAGAATTCTCAAACTCTATGAAAAAGTTTTAAATAAGAACGTCATTGGTAAGGCCTATCATGATTTGGGAAGCAATGATGATGCAACTATCCACCTCTCAAAGAATATCTTTCTCATTCCAAAGAATTTCATCCCACTATTCGGATTTGTTTGTGTTGTTCTAGTATTTTTGAGTTTTGGTATGATGTACTATGAAACCAGTGTCAATGTTAACAATACTCATGTTTCTGGCTCAGCCATCAAGGATGGTACTGCACTTATCAGAGTTGTTCACAGAATGGTCTATAGAGTGAGTGAATACTTTACCTATTTCAGTTTGCCTTCAGGTCTTCCAAATAATGATCCACTATTAACCACTCAGACAGAATTGATTGGTTATAGAGCTAACGTAAAGGCATATCTTACTGAATTGAACAACCGATTCAATATGCTTGTCTATGGTTATGGTGGTAAACAAGAAGTTGTTGGAACCTATGAAAAAGTAGATCAACTTTTGAAAGGAGTTGCAAATTGCTCTCATTCTTACCCAAATGCGACATTCATTGAAGAGTTCCAACACTGCTACGGTATTGAGAAGATGATTTCCATATTTGCCTCTGATACAGCTCAATTGAACGAAAGATTTTGGAATGCTGGATTCTACAATCGAACCATTGAGGCCTATACTCTGTTGTTCAAGCTCTTTGCTATGGGTGATAAACTCTCAGACCAGATGAACATATTCATGACAACATTTGTCCAATATGCCTCCACACCAAGTGTAACTATTATTTCAGTCTTTACCATATTTAGTCTACTTTCCTTACTATTGCTCAATTATCAATTGTACTTATCAATGGTGTCTCACTTTAGCCACGTTCAATCTTTAAGATCAATGCTAAATTATATCCCTCTCAATATTCTTGATAGTAATGAGCATTTGAGAAACTTTATCTTGTATAATTCTGTACCAAATGGATTGGTTGAACTCTTCCAAAGAAAGAACAAGAAACAAAATAGTGGCGACTCATCTAATGTGAGAAGTATTCTTAATGCCTCTGTAGATGGTTCCATCTTGTGTAATGAATCTGGTTTGATTGACTTGATAAATCCTGCAGCCCAAAGAATGTTTGGTTATAAACAATCTGATATTGTAGGTGCTCAAGTATTCACAATGTTCGAAAAGAAGGATAGAGAATTACTGGAAAAGACTGTTGCCGATCTCAAAGCACAAGCCAAAGGAAATGGAGAAGCCAATGCTGGTGAGTCCTTAGAATTGGAATGTGTAAGAAGAAATCAAACAACCTTTCCATCCTCTGTGAACATCTTTGTGGCTCTCTTTGATGGTATTCCAGTTTTGGCATTCATCATTAAGGATGTAACACAAGAAAAGAAGCACAATGCATTATTGGCTGAAGAAAAATCCAAATCCGAACATTTGTTGAGAAACATCTTACCTGAAGCTGTTGCAGCCAAGTTGAAAGCAGGAGAGACATTCATTGCCGAAAAGTTTGGAGACATTACATGTTTCTTCTCCGACATGGTGGGATTTACAAGTTTGAGTTCAGATATGAATCCTACTGAACTGGTAGGCATGTTGAATAATATTGTTAATGGATTTGATGCCTTGACTGATAAATATCATTTGGAGAAGATTAAGACCATTGGTGACGCATATTTTGTAAGTAATTTTCACATTTCTTAACCATTCAAACATTTTTCTTCCTGTATTATGCAAAAATCTTTAAAAGGCTGTTGGTGGACTGCACGCAAATGCTACTTCTGACCATCCGGAAAGAACTCTTCGATTTGCAATAGACACTTTCACTGTTATTCATGATTACAATATTACAGCCATGAACCCAATTTCTAAACAAATTAATATTCGTATTGGTCTCAATACTGGTGGTGTGAGTAAGTAGCAGTATTAATTATTTAGTCATCCTAATAATATATTTCCTAAATTCTTAAATTGAATTGCATTTTCACACACGTGAATTAATTTGTTTTCAACAGTTGCTGGTGTCATTGGTACGAAGAAATTTGCCTATGATTTGTGGGGAGATACCATTAATACAGCCTCTAGAATGGAATCTACTTCAAAACCAGGTCGTATTCAAGTCAGTCGATCCACCTATGAAAGAGTTTACGATTTAGGATTTGATTTTGAAGAAAGAAAAGTAGAAGTGAAAGGAAAGGGATTATGCAATACCTATCTACTCAATTCAAGACATCACACGAATGCAGTGATTGAAAATGATGAACCATCAAATATACAAATATTAGAATTTAAATCTCATGAATCCCATGATCACTATCAATCAAAAGTAAAAACAGCCCACTCCATAGCTACAATTGAAGAAATCAAGACAAAACCTCCAACACCAACTACAGAAGATTTGAAAAGAGCTTCATCAGTACAACAAATGTAAAACTTCTTGGTTCATATTGAACAAAGCCAATAATGAGCATACTGGCTCGGTTTATCATGGTGGATTTCATTGTGGTTTTTTTTGGTTGAAGATTAGCATTTTGAGTTAGGCACTCCCATTAAATGTCAAACATCTTCTAATCATGAAATAAGCGATGGCTCTTCAGTAAATTCTACTCGCAACTTGCCCCACCATTGAATACTGTGAAAAAAAAACAAATCAAAAGATCAATAGTTGACTGGCTAATATAAATACAATACACCCTTCAAATTCTTCAGACTCACCACTAATTAAATTGCATCAACAAGGAACAATTTGTTCTAAGATTCCCAACAAGTTGTTACCTGCCAAGAATATTTTTATCAACCAAACAACTGCCAAACATCAACAATCAAAAAAGAAAGCGGCCAACCAACCTTTCTTCTCATCATCTTTTTGTCATCCAACTCAACTGCTCCACCATCAAATCAAACTCCACCATCAATATAACACTTCTCATCAAGAATGGTCAAGAAACTCTTTGGCATCTCCTCCAACACTTCCAGCCACCAACAAAACGTTCATCAACCGGCCACCACCTTCATGGTCGTTGATGATCCCTCCGTTTTGCAAGGTTTCTACAATGAACAACAACAAAATCAACAACACCACAACGCCCTCCTCAATAATAGTACAAACAATGCCGCCTTTTTTAATACCACAGGACTCTCACAGCAACAACAACAGCAATTTCTTATTAATCAGTTCGCATCTGCTGCGTCATCAGTATCTTCTTCTTCTTCTGTTGGTGGTGGTGGAGGAGTTGGAGGAGGCTTCTCATCAAGCCTTCCGAATAATAATAACATGATGAATACAAGTAATAATACAAATAATAATAACTTTTCATCATTTGGTATTGGCAATAACGGTAACATTTTCATCACTAGTAATAATAATAATAATATGAATAATAATATGAATAATAACATGATGATTAGCAATATGAATAATAATATGAATAACAATAATAATAACGTCAATAACTTTATGATGCAAACATCGTCATCATACAATACTAATAATAATAACAATATCTTTCGTTTAGATGACAATAACAATTCACGTGCGTTCCTATTCGGCCAAGGTTCTTCATCCACTTCAACTTCCAATAATAATAATGGTTTTATTGTAAATAATGTTAATACTAACAATAATAATACAAATATAAATACAAATACAAATACTACTACTCAACAATCACAACAACAACCACCACAACAACTTGTAAATATCGTTCTAAATAATAATGGTGTATCTAAATATGCTCCGGTTATCAAGTGGTCAGTGGCTCCTAGTACAGCTTATTCATTTTCCAATAATCAATCAACTGCCAATATGATTAGTAATGAAGCTGACAATATCATGAGTCAAACATTGATTGATCCAGTATTTGGACCAGATGACTGCAAAATTTCTAAAGGAAACTTCTTAACTAATACGAAACTGTTTTGTCTATCTGAACAAACTTTGAGAGATTTTCAATATTTGAGACCAAGTGTTCAAACTGATAACTTGTATCACTTGGCAGAGATGGAAAATGAGAGTTCTTGGCTTCCAAATGATAGAATTGCACCAAAGAAAACTACTCATAATTGTCTAGTTAATGATTGGTTGGTTTTCTGTAGTCAAGATCCTCAATTATTGAAATTAGTTGGAAGATACATCAATGGAGCATCTAATACTGATGTTCAATTGTTTGCTGACTTTGTTCTAGTCACTAGTAATAATCACGATGAGGATAGTAGAGAATCTTTATTTGGAAAACAAAGATTCAAGGGAGGAATTCCATTACAAATGAAATTGGTCAGAAATTCTGCAAATAATGCAAATATGACACCACTCTTGTATTTTGAAAAGAGGATTAACAGAGAATCAGTTAATAATAAGGATGCACCAAGTGCAAGTGGAATGGGAGGCAAACGTGTTGCCCAACTTCGTATCTATTTGAAAGATAGTAATCAAGAGATTTGTTTGGTGCACTCTGAAGGTTTTTGGGTGAGAACCAAGAGCAGAGAGGAGATTCATAGAACTAGTCCAAGAGAACTTCAAGTTCAAGCTCCACCACAAGAAACAACTCAAAAGAAGAAGAGACATGCATTCTATGGCCTCTTCCAAGGTAATGGTGGCAGAGGAGTGAAGAGAGAGCAAAATGCAATTGTTGTCGAGACTCCTACTAGAGTTTTCATGGATCACCAAGGTAATTTCACCCAAGGTCTTACTGAAATTGTTTCAGCTCAACAATTCCAACAACAAGATTTGAGTCAAATGAGCAATAGTGCTAGCAGTTACGGATCCAACTCTTACTTGAGCAATAGTGGTGGCTTTGTACTTCAAGGAGTTTCACCAATTTCCAATCAAATCCAAATGCAAAATAATGGAAATGAATCTGAAGTCTCCTCATTGAGTTCAACACCAAATAATGCCAGTAACTTGTCCGTATCTCAACACAGTTTATCAACCAATGATATTGCAGAAATTTTAAGAGGATTGTCAATTTCCCTTCCAAACAATCAAGGAGGAGGTGGAGGAGGCCATCATTCTCGTAATTCTTCCTTCACATCACCAAACGGATTGGCAAGCAGTTGTAGTTCAACATCCAGCACTTCATATCTTCAAATCAATAACAATAATAATTCATCTGATATGGGACTAAATTTCCAATCACTTATTGAACCACAAGGGAGTGAATCTATTGACACTACCATTAACAAGTTGGATGCAGCCATTAACTTCTTCTCAACCATGAAAGATGCTTATATGAAGCTTAAGAATAATCAAACTTCGGATATGCCAAACATGGGAGAATTGTATGCTCAATTCAGCTCTTCATTACAAGATAAGAGAAAAGACAAGGGATTCAAGAGAGTGAGACAAGGAAATGAATCAGGAGCTGTTTCTCCACAATCCAATCACTCTGGAAAGAGTTTGACGGTTCCTTTCAGAACAACATCAACCTCAGCTCCTAACACTTCCGCTCTTAACATGAATGGTTCAAGTCCACTAGTCAACAATGTCATTTCAAATGTTGGCTATAACCCAAGCGCCTCTTTCAGTGGTAATGGTAATAACAATAATGTTATTAATATGCCATTCCAAAATACTACCTTCATCGCCCATCCTTCAATCAACAACTTGCCAATGAAGAATTTTGATGGAGATTTGCCACATACACTGTTCAACAGTGCTGATACAGATGCCACCCAAGATATTTTCAACATGTAATTTTGAAAATATTTCATAATTACCTAAGATTTTATACAACTAAATAAATTTATTTATTATACACTAAACCAATTGAGGCACATTATGAATTCTCTAAAGTTGATCTTTGCATCCCCATCTTTATCTAAGCTCTTGATTAATTCTTCAAATGGATCAAGATCTTCGTATTTAGTGCAGAGTTTTTCATGGAATACTTTGAATTCGTCCAAACTTAGCTTTTTGCTGTTATCCTTATCGAATGTTTTGAATAATTTACAAGCAGTCACAAGAAGTTTGAGATTCTCTCCTCTGAGAATTGATTTTCTTGTTGCAAGTGCTTCCCAACAATGTAAAAACTCATCAAAACCAATTGTCAAACTTCCATCATTATCCAAGTAGAGATAGATTGCTTCCAATTCTTCGTTATTGAAATTAAAACCAAGATCTGTAAATAAATTGGATGCTTCCTTCAAATCAATTTCATTATTTCCATTCTGTTTATACAATGAATATCTTGTATTAGGTTCCAAGTTAAACAACTAAACCTACCGAATCGTATTTACTGAATAGACTCTTTATTACGTCCTTTTCCTCATCAGAGATGCTTCTTGCTTCTGTTGTAGTCATTGTAGTTGTAATTTTTCTTAGTTTTGAAATGTTTTGAAAGTAGGTAAGATACGAGAGAAATATGAAATCCCAACAAATCTCCATCATTTTCAATACTTTTCATTGTAAATTATTGTAATAGAAACCATGAAAGATTCAATAACCTGTAAGATGTATCTTGAATTTGTGAAGCACTTCTGGATCAACTCCAAGTTCATTCAATTCCGTCAATATACTCTCACTATCGAGTTTTTTCAACTTGATTTGTTCCTTCAAATAAACTAGTGTTTGTCTTTCCCATTCAGCTTTTAGCTTTGCACTTCCAATGACGTGAGCTAGTTTGTACAATTGATACATATCGGCATCCTCTTGTGAGACATTGTATGAAATAAAGTTCTCACATATTCTGGCAAGTTTTTGCAGATTGAACAAGTGAGAAATACTCCACAAATCAATGACATTCTGCTTTGTTGGTTGAATGGATTCAGAATAGAGATAACGAACAACCTGCTCAAATATTTCCAGATTGTTGCATTGCTCAATGGTAATTAGAGGAATTTCATTGTTTGCTTCCTGCTTTCTAAATTCTTGCCCATCAGAAAATTCACAATTTACAATCACATCAAAGAAGATGCTTCTATCCATCAAAAATTGCTTATTACAAAGATACCTTGGAGTTGTTTCTGTTGGATTTTCTGACTTGAAAGTGATAGCCATATTGAAGGTAAGTTTCTTTAGAGAATTCAAAGAGGATTCCTTCTCATTGTTAGGATCTTTACAAAGTGGAAGAGGATTGAACTCTTCTTTGATTTGATCATTCATAATTTTAAAAAACTCTTGTTCCATAGTTTTTATAACTTGGCAAGGGAATTTAGTGCCTTGTGGAGCAAAACTAAGGAATGTATTCTTGATATGCTCTGCCAAAGTTCTTATTCGTAGAGAGTGAGCAACTTGTGCCAATTCGTTAATGCAAGTGACAAAATTCTCTTCAAGGAAAAAGATTTTGGAATTCTTTTGCTGCATATTAACCATCTTTCCACAATACAACCATACAAGTACAATTTCAAACATTCTTCTCTCAAATGGTACGAGACCAAAATCAATAATGGTGAAAAATTCCTTATTAAATTGCTCTAGATTTTTTTCCTTTGCCAATTCTTGATCCACCTCTTGTGTTGTTGGAATTGTGGAATATTTGAATTTTTCCTTTACATCTTTCTGTTCAATTTTCAAACGAGGTACCTTTTTTCCATATCTTGATGAGTTCTTATTTTTACTGAGTGTATCCAACTCTGTGGCTGTCAAATTAAAAGGATATAAATCCATGTCAGAGTGTGTTAATGATTTCTTTAACTCTTCTGTAATTAGACTTGTTCTTTTCTTATTCTGACCTGCCTTTTGTTGCAATCCAAACAATACTAATTGAGGCCACCTTGAAAGGAGTATCCACTTTGAACACTTGTACTCTGCAACAGATTTACTACCCTTAAAAGTCATTCTCAATAGAATGTCATCTTTAGGATTTTCTGTTTCTTGAAGGAAAGATTCCAAAGTAACAAGTGAACTTTCCTCTTCCAATCTCTTTTTAAACGAAGTCTCTTGTTCCGCAATACTCTTCATGGCATACGACTTCATCAAGTACTCCAAATCATCGTCATGATCTACCTCATCAGAGCCACCACCTGTTGATCGATGAGATTTGTAATTATTGTACAATTTTAACATTCTTCTAACTTCCAATGACAAGGCATTCAGGAAACATCTTCCAAACCTATCATCACGATGACCCAAATCACTCAAATATCTGACCACATTCAATTGGCCACACAAACAAGCATAATACAACATTGAATTTCCATGGCTATCCATAAAATTCTTAGGATCACGAATTGTCGGCAGCAAAGTCTTGATTCTATTCAAATTTCCAACTTTACACATTGAGAATATTTCATGATTTTGCGAGTGATTATTGGTTGATTTGCGTTCCTTTGGCAAGAGATTTAATATTTCTTCATCTTCATCTTTTCCCGAAGTTTGTTCTTGTTGTTGTGATGGAATCATTTTTTATGATGATTTATTATTATTAAATAACTCGATTTTGATATCAAACTAGCCGTAGAGTTCATCCTTGTTCATGTTCTTTCCTCATCTTCAGAATTGATTTGTGAGGTTAAAATTTTAATTTGTAAATTGAATATTTTTTTTTAAAATTAAAAATTGAAATAAAATTTGGGCGGGAAAATTTTAATATCTCTAAAAAGTTCATTGGTTAAATAAGAGAAAACGTAAACGAATATTCTAATTTGATGCCAAATGTCAAACAATCAAAAAAAATAACATGACATCTATCGTAAAATGTACTGATACTATGGTTATCAAGAGTTTATTTCAAAAGTATGACAAGGTGAGTTTCGAATATTTATTAAATATTAAATACAAGATATTGTATCAAAAATATACATTCTCCGATCATTAATTTTCATCCTTTAATACTCTAATGACAAAATGACATTATTCGAAACTAAACTAAATACAAAAGAATGGGAATGGTCAAATGGGAACTGATGAATTAGGTGATATCCTTCGTGATTTGGGTTTTGATTTTTCTACTGTTGAAGTTGAAGCTTTACAAATGTATTTGGATAAGAATAATGACGGAGTTTTATCATTTGAAGAATTTTACGAATATTGGGTAAAGATTGCATCAACAAATGAACTTTCCATGATCCAAAAGAGAGTTGACTTGTTAACTGAAGCTGCAAGTTCATTTAAAGTATACGATACTAATGGAAATCATGTTTTATGTTTGGATGAATTTGAGAAATTCTACAGAGCACTTTATACTCAACGTGCTGGTGCATCCATGGCAGAAATTGAACAATGTTTGAAGAGTTTGGATTTGGATACTAATGGTGTGATTAGTTTCCAAGAATTTATTATTTGGTTGAATTGGCTTCAATAAATATTAATGAAATTTATTGCCCTATTTCACAATGCAATTGACCAATCCAATAGTGAATCATTTGGCTTATTTTCTGCTTGATAAATGAATTCGGGTTACAATCTGTCAGCTAGTTCAGAATAGGTTGGGGCTGTTTCAGAGAGACCCTTTCGAATACGAATCTTGTTAACTAATTCTGTAAATCTATCGGTGGAGCCAATAATTGGTTGCCAATAATCAAAGATAAATTGAGAAAATATTCCATTACCAATCAATATATCATGAATTCCAAAATATTCCGATATTGGTACATATCCTTTGACTTGTATGTCTGAATGCCATTCAGTTTGTTCAAAGATTATTCCCCTTCTTCTATTTAATGTTGAATAGAGTGTTCCCAAATCCGATTCCTTACATTTAAATTCTCCTAACAAGATTGGTTCCAATAATGTTGGTTCAGAATCCAGAATACATGCATGGCAACATCGTCTCACTGTTGGAATTATCTGACCTGCTCCTCTGTGAATAGAGTCCGAGTTCATGCATACATCCTTGAGATTGATTCGTACGCCTCTGACACTTTCTCCACAGACTGGTCCTTCACTCATTGCAAATTTAAATGCACTAATTGAATTGTCCTTCATTTCATTAAGGTTCATGACACCCTTCGTTTGATTTACTAATACATTTGGACTATTTGCGTCTGGTCCGAAAGTCCAAATCTTTCCTGCATCCTCCAAACTCCAACCAAATTGATCACTCAAGTATCTAGCTCTATTATTCTCAGGTACTAATCCTCTCTCAATTTCATTTGAAAGTTCCTCTTGAAGTGGTTCCGCCTTCATAAAGAACCTATTATGTTTGTTAGGTGATTTTGCAAGTGTTTCCCTGTGTGATTCAACTGTGATACTTTCTAGCAAACGAACAATAGGTTCTTCAACTTGGATTTCAATTGAAGGATGAATTTGTTTGAATTGACTGAGAATGGAGTGTAAATGAACTTCACTTACGACAGAAAGTACTTTCTCACCAGTATATTCATCTAAAGAAAATTTCATTAAAGGATCACATTTGCAAATCAATTCCATTCCTTTGATAAGTTGTGGAAGATTGGCTTGTTTCTCCGGCTCTACAGAATAGCTGATCATTGAATGAGGTAATTTCAATTCGGCAAATGATTCAGCTTCCAGATTTGAGCTTTCACTTATGGTAGCTCCACTACATGTTAGGAACTTTTCAATTCCAATTAATCCAACAATGGATCCACAAGTTGCTTCTTCAATTGGCTCAACAATTGAACCATTGATTTTCACAATTCCAGTTACTGTCTTTTCTTCAAATACATTCTTTGGTCCTAATATTCTAATTGGTGTCTCAATGTTTAGTTTTCCTGAAAATATTCTGCCTACAGAATAAACTATTCCATCAATAATTTCAGATTTAGTAATATGCATCATTAAGGGACCATCGGGATCACAATCCTTGATTGCAGTTCCAAAAGTATCTGTGAGAGTACCAGTGTAGATATTTTCAACTCTGCGTGGTTGAGCCTTTTCTGGAGAAGGCAACTGCTGATAAATCATATTGAGTATAGTTTTTGAGGCAGGAAGCCACCGTTTCATAACTGATTCTGTTAATTCCAATTCATTTTCTTCTGAGGAAATACTAATACCGAAAGGGTTTAACAATTCTTCCAGTGTTGGACTTGCATTTTCGTACAATGTTTGCAAAACTTTTTGAATAGGTTTCAAAACAAACTGGCAGAAACCTCTTTCCAAACTGTCTTGCTTTGAGTCTTTCAACCATTTACCACTCTCAGCATCAAAGTAATTATCTCCCCACAATTTTTCTGCCACAACATTCACATCCATTCCAAACTTTTTCGAATAAAACTTGGCAAAATCATGCAAATTAAAAGCCCAACCTCCCAATGCAGATCCAAAAGCAACATGACCATTCTGTGGATAAATCTGTTCTGGTTGCTCAGCATAGGTACAAATCACAACATTGACAGATTCAATAATTCTCAACATGCACTGATAAATTTCCTCCAATGAAAATTCATTCCTCAATAACAAAACTTCCAACTTGTTAATCATGAGAATGAATCCAAGTTTCTCAGTGATAGCCTGTCTCAATACCATCTCTGAATGATAACCCAAAGAATTGTATCCCTCCAAATTGACCACCAACAAACAACCATCACTCAATCTAAGGCTTGTATTCACTTCGGAAGTTAATTCCAATCTTCCAGGACAATCCAATATATTGATAGTACTGTTACATTCCGAATTATTCGTCTTGGCAATGAATTTCTTGTAATGAATTTGTGTTTTAAATATTGTTCTTGTTGCTATTGTTGTATTTTCTTCATCTTTATTCCGATGATCAACAACATCATCATTAGAATGATTGATCAATAATTTGGTGAGTGTTGATTTTCCAGATGAATACTCTCCACAAATTGATACATTTCTAATCAGTGATCGATCCAAGAGTTGATGTTGAGACATTTTTTTAATAATTTAATAATTTTTAAATTATTAATTATTGGAAATATTCATTTCTAGAATGAACATTCATTCACAATCATAATACTTTCAATTTAACAGACTGAAAGATAATTCAATAGTTTCTAATTTCCTTAAATGAGATTATTATAAAGCTATTCGAAACAAATGTCCTTAATATCTTTAATTTGATTTCAATCCCAATATTTCTCATTATTATTATTCAATTATCATAATCAAACATTCACACGATTATTATCAAATTTCCTGTCAACTGCCATTTTTCATCTAAAAAAAAACGTCAAAATGCACAAAAAGACTCTCATCTTGGGCGTTGCTTTATTGCTCTTCGCCTTGTTCGCTGTTGTAGCAAGAGCTGCCGAAGAACCAGAATTCGAAATGACAGATGCCCTCGACAGATTAACTTCTGGCATGGATTGTGCCAATGAAGAAGAAGCTTTGGCTGATTCCTTGGTTGAATCTTTCATCAGATCATCAGGTGGTAGAAGCAGTGGTGGTTCCAGAGGTGGTTCCAGAGGTGGTTCTAGAGGAAGCTCCAGAGGATCATCAAGAGGAGGTTCCAGAGGTGGTTCCAGAGGATCATCATCTAGAGGATCATCAAGAGGTGGTGGTAGAAGAGGATCATCTTCTTCATCAAGAGGTAATGGAAGAAGAGGTGCTTCTTCATCATCAAGAGGTAATGGTAGAAGATCCAATGCTAATTCTGGTGGTGGAAGAAGAGGTGGAAACACTAGAGGAGGAAACAGAAGAGGAGGAAATACTAGAGGTGGAAACAGAGGTGGAAACAGAAGAGGTGGAAATACTAGAGGAGGTAATAGAAGAGGTGGAAATACTAGAGGACCATCTAGAACTAGACCATCTACTAGACCAACCAGACCATCAACCAGACCAACTACAAGACCAACAACTAGACCAACTACTAGACCAACTGCTCCAGTAGCTGCTAGACCAACTGTCAATACTCCTGCTGGTCCAGTCGGTTCAAAGATTGCTGCTGCCATTTCTTCTAGATATGGAAATGTTGCCAAGCCAGGTGGTTATTGTGCTAGAGCTGTCAGAACTGCTGTTGAAGGTAAGTGAATTGTTGGAGTTTTTGGAGTTTTAATTCTCTATTAATATTCGAATAATTCTAGCTGCTACTGGCAAGACCATTCAAAGAACTACCAGTGCTAAGGATTATGGTCCAAGTCTTGAAAAGGCTGGATTCAAGAAGGTTTCTGGTCCACCAAAGGTTGGTGATGTTGCCATCTTTGGATCTGTTCCTGGACATCCTCACGGAGTAAGTAGTTATGAAATATTTCACACCAACTAATCTTATTAATTATGCTAATGATGTTTCTTATATAGCATATGCAAGTATACACTGAAAAGGGATGGGTCAGTGATTTCAAACAAAGAGATCAATTCCCAGGTCAAGCTTACAGAAGTAGAAATGCTCAAATGACAACTTACAGATCTGAATAAATTTTTTGTCATTTTGTCCAACAAATTCTCATAATTTATTGTAAAAACAATTCAATTATGAGGACTACAGTTTAATATTTACAACGGTCGAATATTTACTTTGAAGTTTGGTGGAATCAAATCTTTTTACCTTTTTGAGATGTTTCAATAATCTCAAATTCGGATATCATTTGAGAAATCATTGAATCAAATGTTTTGGAATTATGTTTCGTTTGTTCATGAGATAACAGTTCAGTCTTGACAGCATCAAGCTTTGCTTCCACTTCTTTCCATTCCTTTGAAAATATTGAGGTAACAGAGGTCTTGTAGCTTTCGGCAATTGCTTTGGCAAGCTGCTCCACCAAATCATCATTGGTCATGAGATCTTTCCTTACATCCATTGGTATTTCAAGTTGCAAACCTGGCATTCCCAATAAGATAGATTGATGACTAATTGTTGTTACAGTATTATCTCCCCTAATTGATAATTTCATTAATATTCGATTGTGCAAGTTTCAGTAACTTACCAATAACCACTAAGATAAGGATCTCTATCAATGGTCAACTTGAATCCAGAATATTTCTTTTTACAAGTGCTAACTGCCTTTTGCATTCGATCACAAAAATCCTTCTTTACCTTTTCAGCAAGTTTTTGATCCTTCCACAAAGCCATCATTGGAGCTATTCCAATATCAATATTTCTATCGGCCTTTCTATTGATTTTACCATGAATATCAACATGAAGAGTTGGAAATCCATCGTACTGTTTCTTGAGTTTATGAAGGAAACGATGGAATGGTGAGCTCATAAATTGTGAAGCAACCAGATAGTTTGGATCCAAATTACTTTTATCCTAATCTCGTGAATTGCTAAATATTCCACACAACAAATATGAAAACAAACCTTTGGTTTTGCTGTCTTTGGATTCCAAATCACAAAACTTGCCTCAATTCCCAAATACTTTTTAATCTTTAATGAGAGAAGGAGACAAATCTCATTCGTGTACAATTCCTTGGAATGAACTCGTTCGGAATCTTGTGATTCCTCTCCTCCTCTATAAACCTGCAAGCCATGAGGTGCAGAAAACAAGATAGGACCAGCCAAATGTTCAATATGAGAAACATAAGATCCATTTCCAGATGATTCTGATTGGATACTATACAAATCTTCTTCTGGTGTTGTGAGCTTGCCTGTCTTTGATTTAGTTTCTAATGTTGTTGATTGTTTCCCCAAAGTAGTAGTAGTAGTAGATGAAGAAGATGAAGAGGTTTTATTTACATGATCATGATGATGATGATGAGATTTTTGGTTTTGATACAATCTTAGTAGCATCCGATACGGATGATGAATCTGAATTTAATGCTGTGGTTTTTTTAATACTACTAATTCCCGTTGTTGTTTTCTTAATGGATCCGATTGAAGATGTTGTACTCTTTGTTTTTCCCTCTGATGATGAAGCACAACTTTTGAGTGTTGGCCTTAATACGGTTGATTTTTTCATTTTTTAAAAAAGATCGTAAACTTAAAGTTCATCATCACCCGATCATTCATCATCATATTCAAACACTTTTATAAAGAGATTTATAACTAATAATTAACAATCATCTTCATCATCGGGAGAAATGGAATTCCAGCAAGCATTACCATAAAAATCTCTCTTCTCAATATAAAGAGATTGTTGACTCACCTCTGCTAGTCTTGAATAGATTTCAGATAAGGCAAAACAAAGAACCATTCTACTTTCTTGTTCACCTATATGATTGAGTAAGTGTTCAATTTTTGAGGCATAGATTGAAAACACAACCAAAATCCTCTCATCACTCTCCAAGCCCGTCGCTGTATTGTTAATAACAGCTGTAATAATATTTGAGAGTGAATGTGGATAGGTCAGAATATTTGATAGGGAGCTAATAATTGGTCTAATCATTTCAAATGCAAACAGTTTCAATGTATCACAAATTATCTTCTCTTCCTTACTATCTTGAGCAGTCATTTCGCTAATGTACTGAATAAGATTTGAAAGGCAATAGATTTTATCTTCCCTGTCACTAATTCTTCCATTGACCAATATTGAAATTTTCAATACATCACATCTTTCCTTTCCAAATATCAAACCATTAATATAATCATCAAGATCCATTGGAGTTTGGGGTGTATTTAGCACGTTTAAAACATGTCTTAAAGTTTGGAGCCTTTCTTGTTTGTAATAATAGGACCTCATGATTTCCTTTTCAACAAGGTCAATAACAAATTCTAATTTAATGTTATTCATGAGAAGAGATGCAACAAATGGCTCTATTTCATCATTAGGAATAACTTTCACAAAATCTGTAATGAACGAGAAGTATGTTTGGTCATTTGGGCAAATAGTAGAGTAAAACGAAAGATTTTTCATTGATTCCATAACAAGTTCCTCTCTACACAGTATCGTTTTTGCAAAATAAGAGAGATAGAGTTGAGATAAACCATCAATCCAGTACTTTTCATTTTCAAAGTATTCGACATCGAGTTGCTTTGAATTATAAGCAACTTCAACACCCCCAATATTTCTAAAAGTATTATAAACGCTCTTCAGTTCATTCCAAATATTGTCATTCTTTGGACTATTCTCCAATATTGTTGAATAGATTTCGTAATTGTGCATTATTTGTTTGTTTCGTTCTCCCTTAATGTTCTTGATGGACATTGAAAAAAACACCAAAGCAAGAGCTTCCCTTAGTCTTTGTTTTTGAAATAATGCAAATGATTGTTCATTCACTCTCTGTTCAAATGTTACACTGCCCTGAAGAAACTCTGTATGTAATGCGAGAGTAGGATGTTCAATAATGCACTGACATATTATTAAGGCAGTTTGATCATCTGTGTTATCAACGGCATTTTCGGCCTGTACAGAGTAATCCTTAATATGTAATGATACTCTTTCTGACATTTTTTTTGTTGCAATTGTATTAATTTCTCAGAAATGAGTAGTAGCCTCCTAAGAGATGATTTCAGTCCTCTCACATATACTTTATACTATCCAGAGTTTCATCTACTCACCAGTCCTCAATTTTCTATTACACAGAAATTGTTAAGAGTTTAATAAGTAAATGTTTTGGTATAGAAAACCTTCCATCAATATCAAGACTACAATGATCACCACTCGTAGAACCTTAGGAAGTTCAATTCTATTAAGGAGTGATATAATTTGTGTGTCCAGAATCCATGGTGTTTGGAGGTTTGGATCAATTTCTAAATTTACTACTTTCTAAAAATATTACACAACTTGTGAATTAATTTTCAATCAATCTGAAACAAATTCAAAAATACTAAAAAAAAACAAACAATATATGAATAGTTTCGATAATTTATTGTTGACAGATGATCTCTTGAGAGGAATATATGGCTATGGTTTTGAAACCATGAGTTCTATCCAACAAGAAATATTAAATCCACAACAACAACAAACACAACCATCACAACAACAACCATCAAACAGTTCAATGATCGTTCAAGGTCGATCAGGAGAGGGCAAAACCATTGGATTAATTATTAAAGTATTGAAAACAGTTGATTTTCAAAAGGATGATGATGATAATGGTGTAGAATTGCAAGGTTTAATTCTTGTTCCGAATGAATATTTAGGAAAACAAATAACCAAAGCCATGATTTACTTGGGTGAATATATTAGAAATGCAACAATTTCTGATAATGTGAATGAAAATCCGAGAATTCTCATAACCACTCCATCAATAGTCATTGAAAAGAAGATTAATGTATCCAAATTGAAAATTCTAGCATGTGATGAAATGAATGTCATGTTACAAATTGGATCACCAACTAGAAGATGTATTAAGAGAATTTTACAACAAATTCCAAACGAAACTGAAATTATTTGTGTTGGTTCAAGTAAATTGCCACCAGAATGTTATATACATGATCAGCATTTGAAACATTCACGTATCATTCAACAAGATAGTGAATTGGGAAGAAATATTTCTGAAAGTTTTGTTTATTGTCCAAAATTGGAGCAAAAACTTGCAACATTGAAGGAACGTGTCAACACTACTTTTCCATCCAATGTAATATTTTGTAATAATTCTAAAAACAAGGAGAAATTAGAAGAGATTTTAACACAAAGTGACATACTTCCCTCCATTACAATAACACCAATGGATAGATTATTTCCATACTTTGATACCGTTGTTGGAATTCATGATGATTGGTATGGAATTGATATGCATTCATGTGAATTTATTGTTCATTTTGATGTGATTTGTGATGCAGCACTGAGTAGAATAAGAACTGGAAGAAGTGGAAGATTTGGTAGAGTAGGAAAAGGTCTGTATCTTCCTTCAACATTGGATGAGCTTGATTTTGTGTGTGAATTATTGCTTGGATCTGCCAAATGTAAATATCAGAGAATAATGATGAAAAATTTACATTATTCAGATATTATGATCCATTGTGATAATTAATTGACATTCAATGTTATGTATCCTTACAATTTTGACTCGAAATAAATATGTACTGGATTGCAAAAAGTTTTGTTGTCTGTCAACTAAAAATAAACGTGGTAAAGAATCGAACGAATTTTCCAAACAACAAAAAAAATGAAAGAACGCACTTCACACCAAGAGAATAAAAGAAAAAGAACCAATCCAGAGGATGATCATCAATATGAGAGTTGGCTTAACGGAAATTTTGATCATTCCATTCGCTCGGAAATAATTGAAACTTATGAATTAGATGAGAACACTCTAGTGATTAACCATTTTGGAATTTCGAGAGAGGAAATAATGAAAAGGTTATTACATCAACAAGTTGTCAAACCACTAAAGGTGAGGAAAATTCATTCCTCAGAATTATCTTCAGAGAAACAAGAAGAAAAAACTCAAGTGGAAGAAATATTAACAAAGTTGACTGACCTCAATAGTGATATATGGTTGGAAATTTACGCATTCATTGGTGTTGAGAATGTACTTGTGAATGAAATATTCCTACTTAATAAGGAAATGATGAGCAACCTATATTGGAATCCTTCATTTTGGTATTCGATTGTTGGAAGAATGTGGAATGGAAATTTGAATCAATTACCAATTCTATATGATTATGAATTCGTGAGGAAGTATTGCATTTTCAAGTCGAAACGTTTCTTGGAGCAATTACAAAAGCAAACTTACTATACGAAAGGTCAAGTTTTTCATAGTGTAATTTCAGATCTACAATCAATTCCAATATTTTCTTCAGATATGAAGGATGTTTGTTTCGTTCAAAAAGTTCTCAATGGAAACTTGAACTATTTTCACGTAAGAACGGTCCGTGCAGATTTCGTCGCCAGTATTAATGTAATATTTGATATTTTCCTAAAAGAAAAGCTTTCACACCTCAGTTTGCATGTGATACTTAATGGATCTTGCCATGTTGAATCGACACTTGTGGCAATCTATAATGGTGAGCAAATTCCAATTATCAAAAAAGCAAAATGTGTAAAGAAGGGAATTAAAGAATTGGTAAGAGTGTTGGGGATTGATGAGAGCGAAATATTCTCACATCTGGGTTTTGAATCTCATAGGTTTGAAAGATTGAAATTTGGAGCATTGATGCAAGATGAGTATTTCTTGTGGTTTTGTAATTCTATCCTTGAGTATGTTCCTATTCCAATAGAGCATGCTTATGGATTGGTTGATTATTCGAATGATCCAAACTATGGTGTTGATGATGAGAGAAATGAGAAAATTGAGGAATACTATCAATTGAAAAACTTTCTCTGTATTCAATAATTGTGTGAAATAATTTCGTTACAAATATTCCAAATAATAATAATATACAATTTCTAAATATACAATGGTAACGATTTGATTTCTTCCTATTAAACAGTTTTTTGATAAAAGTCATCCTTTCCATTATCATTCTTATTCCATCCAATAACTGTCGATTTAGATTCGGTAGGTAGCACAAGTCCCTCAATGTTAGTATCGACTGGAACATCCAATCCAAGAATCTTTCTAGCTTGCTCTGCAGTTGCTACTGGTCTTTCGTTTTCCTCACATAATTGAGCTAAATGCTCAACGAGTTGTCTATTATTTTTGGCAATTACTCTTCTCTTGATAAGGAAACTGTCCTCAAATCCTGTTCTTGGATGTCCTCCCAATTCCAATGTAATTTTCTGGAATTCAGTATGATTCCATCCTACACCAACACCACACCACGTGTAATTTCCTGGTCCAAATAGGCTGTCACATTCTGAAATTAAAAACTTGATAAGAGAGGGTCTACCAGGCATGGCCATATAACCTCCAAATACGAACATTAATCGGACTGGGCCTTGAATCCACCCAAGCTTGTACATCATGTGAGTTCTATACAGCATGGAGGCATCAAAGATGGCAACATCAGGTCTGACACCATTCTGCTTGAATACCTTAATAATTTGTTCAAGATCTTCATTAGTATTCCAATAAATGTCTGTACTCTTTCTAGAAGGTAACTATTTAAAACAAATAATACCACCATTGATTAATAAACTCCAAAATAATTATTAAAAAACTTACAAAATTAACAGAACCAGGAGTCCAAGATCCCATCTCTGGTTTCTTATCCAAAGTGAAACATTTCACTCTCTCCTCCAAGTTTGGCCAATAATTTCCAGTAGAAAATTGTAAAATCATATCAGGACAATCTCTCCTCACTCCTTCCAATACTCTTTCATAATATTCAGCCTTACATGTTGGTTTTCCTTCATCATCCCTCACATGAACATGAATCATTCGAGCACCAGCCTCAAATACCTCACAAGCATCATGAACAATCTCTTCAGGTGTAATCGGAACATTCATGTGTTTATTCTTTGTTGGTACATCACCCGTTAATGCTGCTGTAATCACTGCAGGAAGTTTGGAATAATTTCTTTTCAAATTCTTATCCAAATCATCATTAAGAGAAAATTTAATTGATGATGACGATGAAGATGACGGAATGGATAACAACCAATGAGAATTGATCTTTTTCAAAGGTGAGCAAATTACCCTCCTACTGATATTGATCATTTTTTTTTGTATTTTTTTATTTTTAAAATCAATTTCGTGTTCTTCACAAGTTCATAGTTATATTAAATAGTGTTACAATACTGCAAGATTATACAATTTAATAGAAAATTACGTGTCCAACTCCATCTTTATTGGTTCTAATAAGAATCTGATGACTTGCTATCCTTTTGCTTTGTTTACAATTTTCTTCAGAAAAAAATGAAAAGATTTGGAGGAGGGATTGTTGCAGCTGGCTTACTGAAGAGTAATACTCTCACCTCAGCTAGGAATTGTAGAATGAAGAGTTTCGGAAAAAAGTCAAATAATATTATTAACAATAATAATGAATTGATGATGATGGCGAATAATTTCCAAAGACAATCATTTCATTCTTCATTGTCTCATCATTATGCTAATCAAATATCCGATCAAATCAATGATGATCAAATGATAAAGAAAAATGGAAAAATTAAAATGATGGCCGAGATGATGTTGAATAAGAAGGGACAATTGAATGAAATGCTGGGAGTTAAAATTACAAAATTGAATATGGTGTTGAAGGAGGATCGATCAAATATTGATGAATTGTTTGTGGAAATGTCCATGAAATTGAGTGATGTTCATATGAATGCTATTGGATTGGTTCATGGAGGTTCATTTGCAACATTGTGTGATACTGCTATTGGAACTGGTGCCTTGATTTTTGCAACACAATATTTGAAGGGAAGTGGAATGGTTGTATTGGATAATTTTAATCAATTCTTGAAGAGTGCAAGTGTTGGTGATGAGCTTGTGGTTGTGGCAAAGCCATTGCATTTGGGAAAGTCGACACAATCATGGGAAGCTACTGTTTATTTGGGAAGCCCACCGAATGGTAAAAAGATTGCTCTTTCAAGATCTACAATTTTGAATAAGGTAACCAGTGAGAGTGCTCAACAAAGCGAGACAGCAACATCCAATAGCAATGCTTCCAAAAAGTTGACACCTGAAAATTTAAACAAACTTGGAAAGAATTTCAATATTGAAACCATGAGCAAGCAAGAAATTGCTGCCAAGTTTGACAAACATAGTGAGCAGTGGGAATTTCTTACCTCAGTCTCTGATTATCAAAAGAATATGATTAGTTGGGTTGTCAATGAGTTGAAGCAATATGCTGATCAACAATTATCTTCTCCTCAATTCGCGAATGAAACATTCAAAGTTCTTGATTTGGCAACAGGAAATGGTCTTATTGGAAGATCAATTAATAATATAATTAGTCCACGTGTAAAGAAATTGGAAATGACTGGTCTCGATCTCTCACAAGGAATGCTTAAAAAAGCAAAGGAATGGAATATTTACTCAAATTTATTTGTTCATGATTTGGATCAACCAATTAACAATCTCTCAACCAATGAATCATTCGATTTTATCACTTGCTTTGCAGTTAGTGAAATGTTAACAGATGTTGATAAGGTATTGCTGAGTGAAGTATCACGTCTCTTATCAAGGAAACCTCATGCTCAGTGCTGGATTTCCTTCCAACTCAAAGATGAAGATGCCATTGCAACCGATCACCAAGGAATGAGAACCTATAATCTCTCTCAATTAAGCTTCCATGCTACAACAAAATAATTTGAAAATCCTCTCTCACTCAATCATTCCAAATGCATACTATCTTCCTTCGACAGATTCCAACATTAGCACAGCTCAACGTGTTCCCTATATCATTGTAAAGTGTACTCACAATTAATATAATTTAATGTAAATATTTTATTCATTTTTTTGAACCAAAACCTAAAAGAATTGTCTGTCATGATTGACCAATGCATGAACAATACTAACACAGCAAGTGGGATTACAACAAGTGACAAAACTTTCACGGAGATGTCCAATTCGTAGAGTAGAATTGGAGAGGCTTATGAACAGCTGATCTTGGTCCAAATCATACTCCTGATTAACTTGACATTATTCCCAGCATGATGTCCAAAATCGAGTTGAGTAAAATTTGACAACCAAAATCTCAACTTGTTGTAATTCTTTTTTCAAACCAACCAACCAAAAACCACACACCCTATTACAACTTCATGATGACCTTTCCAAGTTGACCCTTTTTAATCTCATTGTAAAATGCATTCCAATTATTGAATTGACACGTTTGACGAAAAAGTTCCAAAAGGCAACAATTTTCACCAAAAAAGTTCCAATCGTGCAACTTTCATAAAAATAAAAACAAAAAAAATGCAACAACACATTTCAACTGCTGCCGTTTCCTCCTCATCACCAGCATCAGCAAATACATCTTCATTGAGTGGTGGTTTGAATCAGCTGCAGGGAGCCACCGGTGTTATGGGTGTTATGGGAAGGAGGCTATCTCTGAAAAGTTGTTCATCGGACTCGTCGAATAATAGATTTTCGCAACAATTGGAGACGGAAGAAAAGGACAAGATTGAAAAATGGAAAGATAATTTGGAACACGAAAATCATATTTGTCCAATAAGTCATACATTGATGGTTGATCCTGTTGTTTTGGCTGATAGTGGAATTACGTATGAGAGAAGTTCGATTGAAAAGTGGTTGGAAAAGAGTAGAACTTGTCCGATTAGTAAGAAACGACTTGCTGGCAATGTGAATCAACTGATTCCTAATTATAGTACGAAGAATTTGATAGAGCAGGCTAAGGAAAAGTATTGTAACAAGTTGATTGGCTTGTTGGAACAAAAGTTGGAGGACAAGAAAGGGATTGCTGATTGTCTTGATTTGATTGATAGTGATCTGTTGATTTATGTAGATAAGAATGAGAAGAGAACCATGTGGGAAAAGATCATGCTCATCAAGTTGAGAATGATGGTTCTGAAACGTGATTTGGAAATGTCGGGAAATCTTGATGAATGGTTCAACAAGTTGGAATATGAATTGTTGGAATCGACACATTTGATCATTAGAGAGGATTCATCAGCAATTTTTTCATTCGATAGTCATCAATTTAAATCTGTTAAACATATGCTTGATCAATTAGAAACCAAATATGATACTACTCATGCACTGGCCTACCAACAAATTAAGAAACATCTCGATGAGGAGAATAAGAAACGAGAGGAATTTGAATACCGATACAGAATGAAACAATTCCAAAAAGCCAAACAAAAGGAGGAACGAAAAGTAAGGAGAGAAAGAGAGGCTGCCCTTCAAACAGCCAACAATGCTCAATCTGCCACAGAGGAACTTTCCACAACCCAATGGTTAGCTATGGGAGCAGGAATTTTAGGTGCTGGTGCTCTGATTGCTGTTGGATTATTCTCTGCATTTAGCTCAGCATCTGGAAGAAATGATAGGAGAAAGTAGAGATTTTGTAAATAACAATTCATTGTAAATAATAGAAAAGGAAAATTGTAAATAATATATTGATCTAACTTGAAAGTGTATAATAAAATACTATATTTTGGAAAGTTAAATCACATCCAAGATGAATTAATGTTAAGGAAAGCTTCAATCCTTAACATCAATTTCAATTCACTTAATAATGGATTCTCTCATTCTGAATATTCTCCACATTCAAAATAATCCAATTAAAATTATTTAAAGGAAATATCCACCAAAAAGCAATTCCTAGCCAACTTGAATAACTTGTTACAAAACCATGATAAATACGCTCCAGAAGGAGGATATTTAAAGACGAGAATTCTCTCTTGTTCAGAGCAGTACAATTCCCCTCTCTTACTATCATAATGAATAATTGATTTCACCTTATTATCAAAATGAATCAGTGATGAACTATTCATTGAGCTTGTGAACGTTCGTTCAATTATATTGTATAGACTCCTATAAATAAATTTGTTCTTTTCCAATAACTCTGTAATGTGACTAATCCTGCAATGACATCCTCTAATATCCCATTCATCAAAAGTAGTAAAGATTTTCAATGAATTTTCAATTGTGAAAAATTGATTATCTTTTGGAAAGTTCTTGTGAAATGCTCTAATGTAGGTGTATCTTGCATTATCAGCAAAAGTAATATAGAAATAGTCCTTAGTGGCATAAAACGAAAAAATTCCAAATGATTGTGGAATGTTATTGAAATCGAACACACCCAACAATTTGCCACTATCAAAATCAAACACACCCACCTGCCCTCTCGGTTTTCCATTAATATTAAACATGGAATAAACTCTTCCTTCTCCATCACACGAAAGAGAATGACTAAACTCTACCGAAACACTCTGCTTTTCACTCACAACTCTCCAACTAGCCAATCGATATGAAGAATTTAAACTTCTTCCCAATGGAATTTTAGTCATAATTCTTTTCATTTGATATTCGAGGAGGAGAATGGCTTCATCAGGTCTCGTTTCATCCACAGCAATACTAATAGCTCGGAATTGTGAGGATGATTGATCAATGTATTCCATCCATACGGAAACAGAGAATCCAATCACATATTTGAGAGAGCACGATATCAAATCGTAAATGTTAATCTTGTTATTTGTTTGATCAATGATGATTAATTCGTTCCGAGAGGAATTCACTTGAGCCTTCTCTGCGGAGCAATTTAATGTTTTGGAAAAGAAGAGTTGAAGTTGAAGTTGTTGTTGTTTGTACATTTTTCTTAAAGAATTAATTATATTAATATTATAATAGTATTGAAGTTGTCGGTCTCTGTACTAGAAACATTTCTAAATACGTTTTTTAATCATAATAAAGTCTTTAAAGTTTCATCAGTTACTTCAGATTCATTTGCTGATTTACTTGCTTTGAAGTAAATCACCTTACTTGTTGGTATCCTACATTGACTGTTCTCTAATAAATCCTAAATGTTCCAAATAATTATAATATGGTTAAGGTTCAAGAATAAAATATTGGGAAAGAGTTTGTGTTCTTGATTGTTATAACAATACAGATTGTGAAAATGTTGTGGTGGTGTTGAACTTTCTTATCCAAATAGTGGTCCATCGTATGTTAAATATACCAACCAGACGTCTTCCAATACCTTCCGTACTTATACCAGATTGTTTAATCAATGATGATTGTATTGAAAGTGGTTTATCATCAGGTAGAAGTGAATGTATCAATCAAGTTTGTTCTGTTAAAACTTGTGCATCCAATAGTGATTGTTACAGCTGATTGTGGAACAAATTCTTCATTTTCTGAATAAATCAATTGATTTCCATATTCTCCCAAGTGGATATTAGTGTATAATATCTTTGTGGATGTTTCTAGAAATATGTTATCACATCCTAACAAGATCAAGAAGTCAGATAATGATGGAGGATATGAGGAAGTGTTTAACCTTAGCTTGAAGTGATGTGTCTTATAGTATTCGAATAGCAACTTGTAGAGTTGTTTGATTTCAATCTTAAAACTGTATTTCTGAATTTGACCAATAGCAGTTGCAAGTGGAACCAATTAAATAATTTCGTTCATCAGAGTCATGTATTTAGGATGATATTTGTCATATCTGTCCACAAAGAATTTGGTAACATTTCATTGGAAAATGAGGCAGCAATTCGAGAGTTACATGAAAGAATTTCAGAATAGAAGTTCACCTCTCTTTGTGATAGATTCCAAATTTTGATTAACCTTTTCAATATAAATATCTATCAAGAGAGCTAGCAAAACACAAAATGCCATGATATTGAGAATGAGAATAGTCACAACTAGACATTTAGTGTTGGACATAGAAACTGAACCACAACATGCATTCACCTCAATACCTCCAGTTCCATCACGAGATGCATTGAAACGTTTTCTAATAGTAATTGTTGTGGGATTCGAAGAATGAGCAGGTGAAAAGGATGATGCTTTGGAAATTCTTCTTAATATCCATAAAAAGGAGGATTATGATTCTGGCCTACACCAATAAAATTCGAACTGAAGTTGAGAAAGGATACTCAAACCAATGATAGCAAAACATTGGCTTGTTTGATTCTCATTTGTTGTGTTGTTTGATGGTCTTGCCAGTTGTTATTTCATTGGTGACCTCGTTCAGTAGAGAAAAGCAAGAACGTGGCAAATTAGAAGAGCTCCTCTGGAAAGAATTGCAGAATTTTTGCAATATTAGTATTGGAAAGAGAATGACATTTCACCAATTCCACTTAAAATGATATCTCCTGAGTACTGCTGCTTGATGTTGAAATGAAGCTTTAGTGTAATTCAGGTAGTTGAGCATATCTTAATCTTGCAACAATACCAGTACCTGGTTTATGTTAAATGTTGGTATAAAGGTAGAATTAATTGTTTTAGGATATGAACAATTATGTTTCAAGCTAACATCATTATTGGATTTGTGCAATAATTGTAGGTGATGAGGTTGAAACTTTTCCCAAACTACTCTTGATGGTTGGTGGAGTATTTTGTTGTTGGTAATTTAAATTTTTGTTAACAATATCAACAACAACAACCTTGAAACAACAATCCAACAACAATTATTACGATTTTCACGAATAGATTCAAAAATGTTTAAACCTAGAGTGTCGAGTAATCACATATGGACTCTCACCAGTGAACTCTCATCATAATCTTCTTACAATAAATATAAGGTTTGGTGATGTTGTGCATGATGTTCCGTGTAGTTGTGTTGCTGTGGTTGGTCTCATCATATTTTTGAAAAAGAGGTATTTTTTATAAAATAATAAATAATTAAAATATGTGATGAAAACTGTAAATTACGATTTTATGAAAAAAATAACAAAATTAAAGCGTATTATCATATTCATATGTAGAATTATTTCGGAATGGTGTTAGTGGTGTTAGTGGTGTTGTGGAACAACGAACAGTAATTGTTATCATTGATAGGATTGCTACCATCCTTTAGTATTAAAACGTGATAGAATGTGTTCTTCAGTGTGTTGGTCATGTAATACCATCACGTTTCAAAAAACAAAAACAAAAAAATTCCTTTAAACATTGTTTGAACAATGCTTGCACCACAGAAACGAGTTAGTGATTTTGGAGATGGTGGACAAATAGATCAAGTTCAAGTTGAAGAAACCACACCAAATCTTATAACTTCCATCATACGATTGAAACAATTTCGCATCAAAGGACGATCATTTGAATTTCAAGAAGTGTTCGAAAATCCAAAAAGTGATACTTTGGTTTGTAAATGTTTGGGTGATGATGGACATGAATACGTTGTTAAAATTATTAAACTAATTGATGGAATATTTCCAAGTAATGATCCAAATGATACTTATTCAGATGGTTATCAAGTAGGAGAATGGAGATTTGCTGAAACTGTGAAACAGTTGTTCGATTCTAGTGTGGTAACTTATGAGGTTTCGGAACTAATTGGTGAAGAAATTGTACTTGTATCAGAATACAGAGGAATGGATATGAAAAAATATGGAAAGAACAAATCAGGAAAATTGTTTTTATGTGAAGCGATTCAAATTTTAATTAGAATTGCTAATGCATTATGCCAACTCTATAAGCATAATATAATTCATAGTGATATCAAACCTGCAAATATCTTTATTACTTTTGAGCCAACCAGTTATTCATTTGATGTCATTGATGCTACATTGGGTGATTTGGGAATAGCCAGAACTGTTTTATCAAAAGGTCAGCCAATTTATTCATCTAATATATTTTCTACTCCTGATACTGCACACACATACTTAACACAGCACGGAACATGTGGTTATATTGCACCAGAATGTTTTAAAGGAGAACAATGTTTATTAAGTGCTGTGAAAAAAAATGGCTTCGCATTTGAATTTGTTGATGAATTATTAAGAAAAGATAGAGAAATTGTATTGGAAGCAGTTAAACAAAATGGATATGCACTTGAATATGCTGATAGGTCATTTAGAAAAGATAGAGAAATTGTACTGGAAGCAGTTAAACAAAATGGACGTGCACTTGAATTTGTTGATGAATCATTAAGAAAAGATAGAGATATTGTATTGGAAGCAGTTAAACAAAATGTCTGGGCACTTGAATGTGCTGATGAATCATTAAGAAAAGATAGAGAAATTGTATTGGAAGTAGTTAAATGAGATGGACGCGAACTTTGCTATGTTGATAAGTTATTAAGAAAAGATAGAGAAATTGTATTGGAAGCAGTTAAACAAAATGGCTGGGCACTTGAACATGTTGATAAATCATTAAGAAAAGATAGAGAATTTGTATTGGAAGCAGTTAAACAAAATGGACGTGCACTTGAATATGCTGATGAATCATTGAGAAAAGATAGAGAATTTGTATTGGAAGCAGTTAAACAAAATGGACATGCATTTGAATATGTTGATAAATCATTAAGAAAAGATAGAGAATTTGTATTGAAAGCAGTTAAACAAAATGGATGTGTATTTGAATATGTTGATGAGTCATTAAGAGAAATTATATTAGAAGCTGTCGTTAATGCTGAAACACAGAAATTATGAAGTGTATCATTCATAAATATCAATTCTGCATAAAGTAAGACCCATCTAAAGCAATTCGTCGCCCAATTCTTTCAATTCTCTGGAGTGGATTGTTGCAAATAATAAGAAAAGATAGCACTCAATTTAAGTTCATCAACTGTTGTTAAACTGATATCAATTTCGAGTATTTTCAATAATATTCAAAGAAAGTTATCAACCATTTCGTTTGTTGAATAGAAATAGGAAGAAATAGTCTTTATCAAGTTGATGAATTTCTCAAATACAAGCATGCTAAATTAACAGAAACATGTCAATAATTCATCATTCGAAACAAAACTAATGAAATAAACAACCACTCGGAGATTTAAGAAATAAAATCTCATTGGCACTTTCAACTAAACCAACATGCACTTGTTTTTGCCTAAATTTGGAAATTTTAAAAGACAAATTTTTTAAAAAGAAAGCCAAGACGAAACTATGGGAAATCATCACACTAGTGGTTCATCAATGTTTGCATCGGTGAATGATCGTCAAGATGTGATGAATCCGAGACAACGAAAACTTCAAGAACAACAATACGAAACTGACCAAGTTTCGAATGACGATGACGAAATGAACCAAGAATTGACTCGGATGGTCAAGGAACAGGAACAAGTCGATGAGAATGAAATTAAAAATGGTTTGCCATTTGGTGTAATTCTGTTAGGAAGTGCAGATTCAGGAAAGTGTAAGTTTGCAAATTCGAAACCTTTCTAATAATTTATTGGATGTAATTGGATGAATTTGAAATACATTTTCTAATAGCAACACTTTGGAATCGATGGAAACTACAAACTCAACCCTTGTCTCAATCAGAGAAGGTAGAATTTGCCAATTCCATCCTCACATATATTATTACATGTTTGAAACGATTACTTGATTTGGCAAAATCGACACTTTCCAAAGAAGATTATCAAAACTTGTATTCGAAACATGATTTCTCTATTGATTTGCTTTCTCAAATATCAGAATGTGGTTCAACTTTCGAATACTTATTTACGAATCCCATTTCAAAGACGAAAATGCAATCTCTGTGGATTGATCATGATTTTATTGCACATTTACCAGCTCTCTTTATGGAACCATGTATTCAAGAGTTGTATTTGAATCAATTTAAAGGTAAATCAGATTCGAATAATGATCATTCGAATCATCCTTACTTTCATTCGAATCAGATAGATGGCGAGGAAGGTATCGTCAATGAAATTCTATTAGGCAATTATCTGCACTACTTTTTACAAACACCTTCCTTCCTACAAGAATTATCCGAAACCTTTACACACTCTGCTGCCAACTCAATATTGAGAGATTATTCCACCTCTCCTTCAAGTGAATTGTTTTCGAAACCCATCCAATTAACTCTGAATGATATTCTCAAATCAAAGATTGTCACAACCTCAATCAACACTTTGAAATTTCAATTCTCTAAAAAATCAATCAGCACAAAAGTGATTAAAGTTATTGAGAAGAGAAAGAGAGGATTATCAGGAGCTGCTTTACCTAATTCTGGAGTAGTTGCTTCTCCATCAGGTAATTGTCCAAATAATGAATCGATTCAAGTTCATGGAAAATGTGGAAATGTTGCAATTCCAAAATTGGTTTTGAATACAGTTCCAAAGGAGGAAAAGAGCTTGCTGCCAAAAAGTGCTCGTGGTAATTCCATGACTCCTAGAAGTAATAGTGTGAATAGTAAGCCAGTTTCAGTTTCCATTACTGCAAATGATGAGAGTGTGCAAAATTCACCACCAAAGAAGACAACCACAAAGAAATTGGTCGAATCGTTGGTTAGAAAACGATCAGGAAGCAATAATAATGCGAATGCAGCAACAACTAGCACTTCAACAAACTCAAAGGGTCCCTATTTAGTCATCTCTCCTGCAAATTCACCTCGTTCCTCAATTGCAAGTGAGGGATCTTCGTTTAGTCCATTGCTGGGAACTTCTCCATCGTCCTCATCAATGGGTATGCCTTCTCCTAATTTCAATCAGCAATCAAGTGGAAATAATTCTGCCAACATGCAGAGTAGTTCAGGTTCGAGTGTTGTGAGGGCAATGCAAGAGAGTACATTCACTTTGGATTCATTTGAAAAGAAGAAATTACAAAAGTTTACAATACTAGATACTCCTGGAGTTATTTCTCAGAGAGATTTGGTCAGTATGACATTGAATGCATCAACTCGACCAACAGCAACATTTTCATTGAAGAGTGTAGTGTTTATGTGTTCATTGGCAGATTTTGATCTCACAACAATAGATGGAAAAGATGATAAAATTAAGAGATTGCATGACAGCTTGGCATTCTTTGAAAAGACACTTGTCATGTCAAATAATCTCAAAGAAATGAGAAGAATCCTTGTCTTTACTCATGTAGACGTTTTCGAGCATCGAATTCTCAATGAATTGACCTCCCCAAAGAAGAAACAATTACTGGAATTGTTGGGAATTGCTGTCAATGAAGATGATTTGGAAAATTGTGAACTTGTTCACTTGACCTTCAAACACATTGTCTCACTATTCGAAACTTTGGAAAAGAAGAATCCTCACAAGTACATTCTCGAATATTACGCCCTCAATATGATGGATACTAGAGATGTTTGCGAATTTACCTACCACCTCACCATGAGAGATGGTTACACTAAAAAGGATTATCCATCCATGACTTCAATTAATGTCTATTCTTCACCAATAGTTTCTGGATGTGAATACGAGGTCATTCAAAATATCCAAATGGTCAATTCATTCTATGATATTTCTCTAATGTTCCAATAAATTGGAATGAAAAGAAATTGATCTATATGTAATAGGAATAGGATGGCCTGTAAATAAAATTCCTGCCATTTAAACTTTGCAAAGATCTGAATTTAAAAGCTATTTCCATAAAATTCAACCATACTATTCCAAAAAAGTATTATTTTAAAATTTCCTTAATTTTGATTTTGGTGTTAAATCTTCCTCAATTTCAACATCTTCATCTTCTTGACTACCATCTTCTCTGCATCGTTTCAGAGTATCAGCAAACTCCTCTTCCCAAGAATCTACTATAGCATATTCATTATCTTTCAATTCTCTTGAAAGTTTGAGAAGTGTTCGATCCAACAGGAGTCTATCAGATGCACAATTAATACTACTTGGATTGTTCATTATAGCTGTCTTGACAATTTCGTAATCATCTTGTAAATCCTCGTGAGCCCAATCCAAAGAAGTTCCCGAATTAGAAACTGCTGCCATTACAATTTCCCTATCACACTTGAATTCATCTGATACAAACTGCAAATTTGGTCCATATCCTTGAACTGCACAAAGTGTCACCTCTCTATCACGTACATTTTCCGTATTGCTTTCTGAAAATAACCATGGACATTTGTTAACTACTTGTAATGCTATTTCCTTAGTAACAAATTGTGGGTCAATAAATTGGAAGGAAAATAGCGATTGATTGAGTGCTGCTTGGACAATTTCCTCATTCTGATAATATGCAAATTCCAAGGCAAGTCCATTTTCAGATACTGCTTTGAGAATAATATCAGGTCTATTTCTCAATCTATTATCGGCATATTGTAAAGCCAATCCACAATTAGAAACTGCTGTCACTACAATTTCATCATCATCTTGCAGCTCTCCTGAGGTGTATCCCAGTGCCATTCCATAATTACTCACAGCAGCTAACAATACATCTCCATCATTCCTTATTTCCCTATGAGTGTAGCAAATAATCTCTCCATTCTCTTTAGCCAAATTCAATATGAAACTCTTAAAATCGGTTTTATCTGAGTGCACAAAGGCATACTGAATAGCTTCTGGGTTATTTCTAATTGCCTCTGCTATTATCTCATCATCAACAAGATCAATATTAGCATACTCCAAAGATTCTCCATTATTTTGAACAGCTTGGAGTATCATTTCTCTTGTTTGATTTTCATCATTAATTAAACACAGCGCATTTCCATCATATTCTATTAATTTTTCAGACTCTTCGACAGGAAATCCTTCAACATTAATACTATCAACTATTTCTCCAGAGTATTTCACAGACAACTTGGTTAATTCGATAATTTCAGAAAGAGACAAATCGTTAACATGTTGCAAATAGTATTGAGAATATGGATGAACTTTCATGACTTCAACAAGAATTTCCTTTCCAATACAATTGCCCATAGTATCGTGACATAATCCAAGGTACAGAGCTACCTTATTACCCACTTGTCTATCTGTCACTGCTGTTGTAGTCTTAACGAATGGATTGTCATTAGCTCCCAGGATTACAATTGCATCACTTGTAACTTCTGAACCAAGATATTCCAAAGCCATGCCATTACTTTTAACTGCTTCTGTTGTAATTACCGTGTCCCAACATCCATTATTTTCAAAGACCTTAATGGCCATTCCATCCTCTTTAACAGCTTCCAATATTAAATCTTTTGTAATATATCTCCAATCCATATCCAAAATTAACATTCCATTCTGCTGAACTGCTCTTTTCCTCACTTTATGATGATTCTGTAATCGTTGACTTGCTTTTAAATAAAAATCTCCGTGAAAATCAATATATTTTAGCATGACTTCCATATCATCACACAGTTTTTCTTCCATTTCCTCATCATTACACTGTTCAATCAGCAATTCCAAAGTAGAAGCATTTAACCCAGCCAAAGACAATGCATCAATCCGAAGCTTTTGATATTTTACTTGTCGTTCGCGAGAATTTTTCATAAATTTTCGGAGGAAATTGTAGGCTTGGCTGATGTGTTGATTCCCAGCATCAAAATCGATGAGATGAATGGAACAAGAAATTTCAGACATTTTTTTTTAAAAAATTAAAAATTTACAATTTTATTTAATAATGTGAACTAAAGGTTTACAATATTGAAAATTTGAAAGAGATGGAATTCTTAAAGGGGAAGATTGAAGAAATTGTTAATGCACACGAGGCGAACCATTCTTTCTAATAATACTCGAAACTAAACTACCTCGGACGCTCAAATTTCATCTATCGCACATTTGTCGGTCATATTAGTAAACATTCCAGTTTAATAAATTCGCAATTTTAAGAAAATTTCAAAAAACAAAATCAAAAAAAAATTCAAAAAACGTTGAACAAAGGAAGAATTTTTCAATCTCTTCAAAATATTCATCATCATCATCAATTAAATAATAATAATAATTTTATTCATTCCGATCATCATTATCATCATGTTTGTCGCAGTTACAGGAGCTTCAGGATATATTGCCGGACATATTGTTAAACAATTATTGGAAAATGGACATAGAGTGAGAGGTGTTGTCAGAGATTTATCAAACAAGAGCAAGTATGATTATTTGGAAAAGTTTGCAAACTTGGAAAATCAATTGGAATTTGTGCAAGTCAATGATCAAAATTATGAGAATGCATTTGTTGGAGTGGATGCTGTGATTCATACTGCTACTCCTTATATTTACACTGCTAAGGATCCACAGAAGGAGATTGTAGAACCAGCTGTCAATTTGACAAGAGGTGTGATTGAGGCTGCTCTTAAGAATCAAGTGAAGAGAGTTGTGATTACTTCTTCTGGAGGTGCAATTTTCAGTTTCCCAGTTCCACAAGGAAAGATCTTTACTAGCAATGATTGGAATCTTCAAAGTAATCTCACTAATAATCCATATTTCTATTCCAAGAGATTGGCTGAAGAGGAAGCTTGGAGATTATATAAGGAAAATTCTGACAAGATTGAAATTGTTGTTGTGAATCCAGTTTATGTTTTGGGACCAACTTTGAATCCATTTATCAATACCAGTGTTGAAAATTTGAAAAAGTACTTGTTGGGTGAACATGAAACAGTTCAAGTTGGAGGAATTGCAATTGTTGATGTGAGAAATGTAGCAACAGCTCATGTATTGGCAGTGGAAAAGAAGGAAGCTGCTGGAAAGAGATTAATCTGTAGTGGACAAGTTTGTAATTGGTCCGATATTCCAAAAACTCTCAAACAACAATTCCCTCAATATGCTGTAAGCAAGTACACTGAATTCCCAGAAGCTACTACATATGGAATGGATACTCAACCACTCAAAGATTTGGGACTTGTTGAATATTATTCATTTGAGCAAACTATTAGGGATACTGTTGAATCTCTATTGGAACATAATTTGATCGAAAAGTTGTAAAATAGATAAAATTAAATAATAGTTAATAACATGTTAACCACTATTTTATTGAGGAATTGAATTTGACTTGGTAGTGACGAATCTTTATAACCCAGTAAATTCTAAACAATGTTTTTCTGGTTTGAATTTATATCCAGCTTCCTCAGTATGATAAATAGTGTACTTTCCAAAAATATCATAATCAAAAATGGGTGTTACTTTGAGTTTCGAATAGATTGCTTCTGGGAGAAAATTAGTTTTCATACCAATTCCACATAGTTCACACTGGAAGAGATATTTGAATTTCTCATCTCCTTTGATACTGCTTCTTGAGATACGAAAGTGTGAACATTCAGTTTGTTTCTTCTGGATTAGTACTTTGTTTTTAAACTTTGAAAGTTCACGTTCGAGGAAGAATCTTGCATGATGCATTCGATTTTCTTCTTGAACTTCGTTTTCCTTCTGCAAACATAATAATTGATTGTGAATATTCTGAAAATTACTTTACAATTATTGTAATCTTTCAAAGGTCTTTCCTTTTCTTGAAGAGCTTTCTTCTTAGCCATATGAGGTGACATCAGAGTATCAGAAACACTCTTGAAAAAAATCTCCTTATCAATTCCAGAAATAATCTTGAATTTCATCTCTCGGTCAACCAGATTAAAAAATCCATTACAATCTCTTTTCAATAATTTTACAAAAAATTCATTCTTGTGAATTCGTGCTGATACAACTTTGAAATTGATTTATTCAATTTGAATATTTCTAAGTAATTCTTGAATTTGATAAACTTTTGTAAATTGATAACAAGGCAACGATTGGAAATATTTAATTTCCTTTACAATATCATACATTGATTCTCTCTTCATCCAATTAATAAATTCAATTGAATTTGGTCCAATTACAAAATCATTTTGATTTTCTTCCACTAGAAATAAATCTCTTAAATGAAGTCTGACGTATGGAATGATTGATGTGTTTTCCTCAGATGATTCTTTGAGTGTTTGTCTGTATTCTTGGTAATTTGATTCTTCAGACATGAGTTGTTGGAATTTCATCTTGTTTGCTTGTTCTGATTGATTAATTTTTAAGGTTTTGACCTCGCCATATTCGAAAGCATTTAGGATAGCTTTGAGTGTGTTGAAATTATTCAATTTTTTCAAATGTTCACAAATTGAAATGCATCTCTTGATTGGATTTTTAGATTTTGGTTTACAAATTGAAAAACTAATCCATTTGGTGACATTTTCAAAATGAATTAACAATTTGTTGATATTTGGACATCTGTGTTTGAATTTCAAACGTTTCCATCCGAAACTCATTAATTCTTCCAATCCAATAGCGACAAACAAGTCATATTCATAAAGTGTTAATTGTCTTGCAATTTCCTCCTCATCTATATCATCCAATGAAAGAGTTTCACAGAAAATCTTTTGCATTGGCACTTTAGGTTCAATATAATTGACATTGACACTCGATGGATTTTTCTTTTCAGTGGATTGACCTTGTTCAATGTGTTGTAAAATATCCTTTCTCAATTTGATGAATTTAGGTGAGGAATTATTATGATTTTCATGGTTCAATAACTTTTGCACCTTGGCAATCATGTTATTGGTGAAATGTTGCGAATGTTGTTCCATCCAATAGTGCAAGAATTTGAGAATTCCTGCCTGAATATTATTTTTCGATTCTTGTGAATGATTCTTTGGCAAATTTTTGCATTTCTGAATGAGACGATTCAGAACAGTTTCGGCTGAAATCAGAGACAAGTAAGTATGAAGGAAAACATCCACAAATAGTGAACTCTGTTGATCTGTTGTTAAGGAGGTCAACTTTTCAAGAATTCTATTCAAAGTACCAGCTTGGAATTGTTCATATTTCTTAACTGGATCCACGTGGACAATTTCATTCTGACCTCCAACAATTTCCTTCCACTTACTCAAATTCTCCTTTTCAGATTCTGTCACATGTCCATATTCATTAATTCCCAAATCATTCAAACTTTCTTCCAATGCCTTCATAATTGAATTCTTATTCTTTTGTACATTGGCCGAATGTTGAAACTTGTCGAAAATGACCAAATCATGCAAACGTTCAGTTTTCTTCACTGCTTCCTTTGCCAATCCATGCAATAAACTCTGTTGAACATCAATATCCAAATACTTTCGTTTAGTTTCCTTTTCCAATTCTGAAATAGTCCTCTTCAATCCTTCAAATCTCAAATGTTGCATCAAAATATTCAAAACAACATCTTCTGTTAAATTTTCTCTTACTTGTTTCTGACCTGCATTGTAAACTTCGCCAAATGAAATTGTTCTCCATAATGGATAGATTCTTTCTTGTAATTCTTGAATGACTGGATATTTCTCGAGAATTCTGTTTCTCCATTTGGATTTATCTTCTGAATTTGATTTGGATGAGTCTTCGGATGGAGGAATAGTTTCGGTTGGAATAGTTTCAAGTGGTGGATTCGTTTCTGATTTTGAACTTTCTGGAATTGCTTCAGGTTGTGATTCTTCTAAAGAAGCAGAAACTGGAAGTGAAGATGGAGAAATCAATGTGGAATTCAACAATGGACGAAACTCTTCAACATTCCAATGATCTTCATAAACATATCCTAAACTATTTTCGAATAATTTAACCGAATTGTATGGTTTCACCGAATCTTTCAAATTTTCTACATTCTCCACCACATTCTTCTTTGTAAATCCAATTCGAATAGGAATTTTGTCTTGAGAATTAAAATTTTCCTTTACAATTTTCACATTTTCCAAAATTTCCAATTCCATTTCTGATCTTTCGAGTTTTGAATTATTTCCAGAACTGGACAAACTTGATCTCAACTTGAAAAGATTACTTCCAGGAGGTATTGGCAGTTGTGCATTAAAAGTTGGTGCCATATTTTGTTGGTAATGATGTAAACTTTGTTGTTGGAAAGTGGACGAAAGTGGAATTTGATGAGGAGGTGAAGAACTTGAAGCGACTTGTTGATTGTTACGTGGAGAAATGTTTCTCGGTGAATTGTTATTAGAATTATTGTGTAGGAGAATGTTGGTATGATAATTAGAAAGTGAGATGATGAAGGACTGTTATTCGAATGTGTTGAAGAGGATCGGGAGCGATTATTATGAATAGGTGGAGTGCCAGAAATATTGGAAACTTGTTGTTGATGACTAGAATGATGATGATAGGTATTAGAATAACTATTAGAATTATTATTCGAAACCATTCGTATTGGATAATTCAAGGTATAAACCAATCGATGAGGTTCAACATCCACATAATCATAAACTCCATCACTGTACAATGTCTGTGATGTTTCTTCTTGACTTGTCTCAACATCAATTGCAGTGCTTGTCATCTTTTTTTTATTATTCGAATCTTACGGGGTAATTTGGTTCACTCCGTCGTGTGGCTATTAATAATTATAACCAACTTCTCAGATAGGCATGCCGAAATCATTTCATTCTTGATTTGGAGCGAATGACATTGTTCTTTGTAATTTTTGAAAACTTTCGAATAGTTGGTTTTTACACAGTTTCTAATGGAGAGTTTGACCTTTTGAAATCTTCCACTCTGCCTTCATCTGCTCCTTCACTGCTGAAACTGTGGTGGCTTGTTTCATCATCGTCATCGTTATCGAATGCATTTCTTGGAGATTCAAGTTTCGAATTATTTCCAGAATCATCCATTGCTTGATTTCCAAATGAAGAAATTGAAGAAACATTCTTCTTGATATAATTATATTCCAAAACATCCTTTCCATTCAAAATAATAACTGGTTTCTCAATTACTTGTTCCTTTCCAACAGTTGACTTATTCGAAACTGTTTCTTCTTTAAATTTAAAGTATGAATATAAGAATGTTCCAACTAATGCAATAGAAAGTCCAATCAAGGTATGAATTGATAAATCCTTCTCATTTCCAAAGAGGAAATATCCACCAATGAGAACTGAAACTGTTTTTGCGTGACCTAAAACTTGAAAACTTTACAATTTTTGTAAGTGAAAAGAAATACTGAAATACTTACGTAAGTGGAGAGAGTTTACCAATAACTAGGTAACCTGAAACATTTACGAAAAATGCTGCAAATCCTGAAGCTAAAACTGCCAACTGTCAATTTAGGTAAATTTACAAAAATGGAAAATGACAAAAACTTACAAAGAATGATGAATTTCCATTAAATAAATTAACACTATATGCAATGGAATCTAATCCATCAACTGGAATGGATGCTAATGCCATCAAAATTGAAGAAAACAATGAATGGTTCAGTAACAATTCGAAACCATTCATCTTGTACTTTTTACAGAAATAATTAATACACTATTTTGAGAACCAAATCAATATTAAGCACATAATCAATCCATTAAATCATTTCTTGACTACTTACAATTTGAGAAGTTGCTCCTGTCAAGATTGCAAACAGACAAATGACACTTCCAAACCAATTTAACATGATATCAAATCCAATCACCAACATCATACCCAAAACAATCAAAACCAAAGATCCAACAATTTTCTTTTCCATTTTCATGTTAAAATAAAAGAAATTAATTGCAATCAAACATGGAATGACCATTAATTTGGAAAGTTGATAGACGGAAATGGAATTGTGGATTAAACTCAAGTTTCCGAAAAGGAGAGCGGAAGAAACACTCAAACTGAAGAGAATGCCATCGGTTAAGGACATGAATTTACATTCGAATACTGAGAATATTTCAGTTTCTGAATCATTATTCGAAATATGGTTTTCTTCTTTGGAAATTATTATGGGTAATACGGTTTCTTCTTCCTTATTCACTGCCTGTTGTTTCTCACTCAGAGTTTCTTTGAGTGGATTCTTGAATAAATTATTCAAGACATACAAAATATACGAAACTATGAAACAAGTAATGAAATGGAATGCCATTAGAAGAGTTCCCGCAACTTTCTTATCATTGTAAATGTACTTGTTGATGAATATGATGGAAACACTGCTTGCATATGAAAAGAGCAAGTATCCTAGTTGTTGCATAATAATGCCAAATGTCATTTTGTTTTGTTTTTTTTGAAAATGCCGAAAGGAAGTGATATCTAATGGGTAACAATAACAGCAACGTTTCATAACATTTAACACTGTCGGTCTATTTTAGTCCAATTCCCTTTAGTTGTCCTCTTCATTCAATTTGGAAAGTTATTCGAAAGTAGTCGTTGAAATTGATAGCACTAATGCGACCAAGTTTCTAATTGGCTGTTTCAAATTCCTCTTGATAATTTATTGTTGTTGTTTCTTAGTAAGTTTAGTTAAAGCATCCTTCCATTCATTTCCCATCTCCTTTTCACAATTAGGAACACATGCAGTGACAAGCCTGAATTCAATTTGATGATTAGGTGACTTTCCTTCAAGAATATCTCTATCATTCTCCCATGTGAATAGGCAAGTTCCTGCAAATTCAGCAAATGGATTCAATTCCACAATTTTCACTTGTTTTTCTCCATTCCTATCTTGGACAATAATAATGTCGACAATGAAATTGGAAACTTGAATAGCTGGATTATTGATAATGTCCTTTTCCAAAAAGTTTCTCATTAATTGTTGAAGATCTTCCTTTTGTTTGATGAGTTGTGGAAAGTAAACAAAAGGATTGTATTGAGTAATGCCTGTCAATTTCTTATTACAAATAAATGCTCTAAATTCGTGAGCTACATCAAATGTACACCACTATTTCCATTCATAATTTATAAAATTGATTGTGATAATTAGTTCAATATAATTGGATTAAAAGATATTAATTATAATAACATACCTCTCTGAGAATTAATTCATTCGTTTTAGTTGCATCTCCATAAACACCACTAGCAATCTTGTTCAACTCCTGTTGTGCTCTCTCAGATTCCACCAATAATTGAACTGCATCCATTCCATTATTCAATTTGAGAGCAGAAGTTGAAGCCTTATACAAGGCATAGACATTTCTATTCATTTGCTCTTTAAAATCGATATTCATCTCCTTCTCCAATTTCAACAGCTCATTATAATGTTTCCACACAAGAGAAATAAATCCCAATCGATTGGTGGCAGCATCCTTTGGACTCATAGTTGCCATTCTACAGAAGAATCCATCCTCTCTATTTGGCAAATCAACTGCACACTCATCCACTCTCTTGCACAAATTCAACAAGATCCCCCTTCTCTCATTCAACTCATGATCATCAGTATTGACATTCTTCCACTCCTCATATTGAATAACATTGTCCTCCGAATTGGCTTGTTCCGTATCTTGAGTTCTTCTGAAATTTGAAGAGAAATCCTGAAATTCAGCAATCAAAGCCTTTGCTTCTTCAACACTAATCTTCAAGCTCACCGATTGGAAGGTAAATTGTTTAATGGCTTGATAGTAGTGATCAAAGGAAGTCTCCGATAAAAGCCTATTGTAGTCATCATCAGTTTCGCAATAGACTTTTACTTTATGATTGGCTGTATGTTGTTGTTGTTGTTGGGTAGTAGGAGTAGACTTTAAGGAAACTCCCTTGACAATATCTTGTAGGAAACTCATGATGATTTGGTGTTGATAATATTTAAATTAAAGTGTTGTTGATGGTGAAGAAAGAATAATATATTGTTTAATATATAGTACAGGTAATAATAATAATACAATGTTTTTTTACGGTTGTGTTGTTTGATGTTGAATACAGGCGAAGAAATACTAGTTTCAAATCTCTTCTGTGGCTCTTCAATGAACTACGAACTCTTCATAATGTCTTCCAAGTTCATCACTGAATAATTTTTTAAATATTAATTTTCAAAATTATTTAAATTGGATTGTGGTGATGGTATTCAATATCGAGGAAATGAAATTAAATCTATTTACACAATTACTCCAATAATATTCTCAATAGTTGGCACTCCACTTCCTGAGACATGAATTTTAACTTGTTTTGTATCAAAATCAACATCCAAAGAACCACCGGCCCAGAAATTCATAAAAGCATTAAAAGCCTTCACTGTTCCCTGATCCTCTCTCGTTCTCATAATCGAGCCAGTGTAGGCCGTTCTTGTATTGGTGGTATTTGGAGTCTTTTGTGGAGTAATAATTCTCTTGGTGCTTTGATAATTGTCGGGAATGATCTGCACAGTTCGATCTTGTCGAACAATAATGGTGCTGCTCGGATCAAGATCTAGTTGATTATTGGCAGAGAATTGAGTAAAGTTTACTCTAAAGGAATGAACAGTAGGTGATGTCGAAGTATTGCTCATGATGATGATGAACTTGTTTTTTTGATTAAGATAATAATATAATAGAGAAGGGAAGATGAACATTGTGCAATCAAATTAGGAGTGTATAGTGTGGTACGATATTCTATCTTTCTTAAAAAGGTTGAATATCTTCCCTCAACAAGATATCTGATGACCACAGTGCACCACACAAATAGTAATTCAATGTTGCAGATTTATTTACCAAAACACTTTGTAAACACTATTAGTATTATTATCAAAATAACCCTTGTTGGTCCAATTCACTACTATGATAACGCCACAATTTACGTAGCAGTGATCTCTTGTAAGATCTGTAAATTGACCATACAGGATCTGCCATCTTGTCACTATATAAGAGAATTCCTTTGAATTCACCAGTTGCCAGCATTTTAACCTTCGCTACAAGATGTGGAACTTTCTCAGTTTGACATAAGTAATAGAAGAGGGCTATATGAACTCCGTGTCCTCTCTTTCTTCCATAAATTATGCCTGCTGCTTCATAAATGTCACTAGTCGAAGCAAATAATGGACCGAGTTGATTGATTCCAGATGAATTCATTTCTGTAACGAAATTGGTATATAGCCCATTTCTTCTATTCTTGATGTGTTTTGTTATTGTGGCTCTGAGATGGTCTGTTCGTTGCTCTGGAGTGGTTGTAAATGGAGAAAGGTATTCACCCTTATCAATGGCATATCTTCTATCTGAATTCTTTTGATGATCAATGGTTTGTGTTAGTAATATTATTTTGGCAGCATTATCAAGTTCCAATGAAATTTCTGATTGTTGAGAGCCAAACATCCACTGCTTGATTTTGGTGAGATGCTTGTTAATATTCTTATTGTAAAATTTATCAAGTTTCTGGAATAATTCTGTGGCTTTTGGAGAAAGTTGAGTCAATTCCAATACATAGTCAATTAAATCTTGATTTTCATCCACAAGTGGCTGAGAAGTAACAGTTTCAGTTTGTGAAACCTCGTCAGAAACTGTATTCTCTTCAACACCTACAAGTTTTCTCATTATCTCTCCATATTGATATATCTTATCAGACGAATTATTTAAAAGTTCCATAAATTTCTCCTTCTTTCTAGAAACAAATTGATTAATCATTGTTTCTGTATCTACATTCAATAATTCGAACCACAAGTCAACTGAAACTTCTGGAATATTTAGCACAAAAGCTCCCTTTCTTCTCAATTCCTCCTCAGCAATATTCTTAAAGAAGAGATTTGTGTCCACTTGACTATTCGAAACATCAATCAATCCTATCTTGTTTGAACACAACAGTTGAGTGATAAATACTTCATTGTTAGGGATCACATCAAGTGTTCTACTTTCTGGCAACATGTTATACTGTGAGAAGAGTTTGGTTAAAGTTTCGGACAATTTCTCCTCCACTTTTTCTGCAGAGCATTCCTTTACAATTTGTAAACAAGTGTCCATGACTAGTTTCAATCTCAAAGCTTGGAATTCAGTGAGTTGACCTTCTGAACTTTCTTGAAGCAATTTGTACAGTACTAAAAATGGAATGGTCTTGAATTGTTCGAAAGAGTATCCCATAATATCTAATGTTGCAATGAATCCCAAAATTGGCTTCATCTTTTGTCTTGAAACCCTCCAGTGTTCTTCACTAATGTACAATGGAAGAACTGCATTGATACTTTCTCTGGAGGCACCTGAAATAATCTTTGATTGACTGTTCGAAACTTGACCTTGACTTACAGGTACATCTTTGAAACCACCATGTGAATCCTCAACATTATAGGCACTTCCAAGTGAGAAAGTCACAGAATCAAGGAAAGATTCGGCAGACATCATAGAGTTGGACACTGAAACAATTTGGACTCTGCTTGGATCAGCAATTGCTGCCTGAGGACGATTCACTTGTAATCCCAAACAGAGACAGTCCTTATCCTGTAATAGATCAATCCAATTTGAGGTGGTATAGAAGCATGGACCGATTTCCTCAGCTTGTTTGGAGTATTTTTCCTTAATTTCCGTAAAGTTCATTGAATCTACTGATTCTTGAATGATGTTTTCTGCCTGTTCGAATAATTCAACATTGGCTTGAGCTCTTAAATCCAATTTCTTTTGTAAGCTTCTCTTTGTGATGGATCTATAAGCAAGAGTATTCAAATTTGCAATCTTTTCATTAGATAAAGTTCCAACCATTGATTCTGCAAGAATCTTGTTAAAGTTTGCTAAAGATTCAAAAATTGGTTGAATCATTTGATAGAGAGTTCTTCTCACTGACTTGTCACGCATCTTTCTAATGTCAGTTGTTATTGATTCAAGCTTTTCTTCAATAGCTTTACACTTGATATGAATTTCCTTAAGGGAAGAGCTGTTTTTGGTAATTAAACCAGCAGCTTCAATCAAGAACTTTTCAATTATCATGATTTGATAGGATAGTTTTTCAACTGAACTAAGTTCAGGTCTTTTAAATGCTTCATAGGAAAGTGGAATAATCAACTCATTTTCTCCAAATTCAAGATATAATTCACAATCAGGAGTAATATCAGTATTGATGAGAGATTGAATAATAAATTCAGATTTGTCATTATCTTGCTCCAACTTGACTCTTTCTCTGAATATTTCATTTCCTTCCTTATTCTTGACAATTAATTGACATGTGAATGAACTTCCCTTGACTAGTTCAGTCAAACTAGCCATACATGGGGCAATAGAAGAAACTGACTCTGCAAACTGAAAAGAACCTTGAGCAGTTCCCAATCTTGTAATATCTGTCAATAATCTTGCATCATGAACTGATGTGAAACCAATGGTATGAAATTCATAAGATTCACTCTCAGTATTTAATCGTTCTTGCAATGATTTAATTGACCCTTCTCTAGTTGAATTTGACGAATATTGATCTTGACCATCGGTAAAGAAAATAATTGCAACTTGTCCATTCAATGAACCACCATAGTTCCGAATAATTTTAAAAACAGACGAAAAGTCAGTTCCACCTCCAGCACTCACTTTCTTCACAACTTGCAACTTGTTTTCAAGTTCCATATTTGTCATGTCAATTAATTCCGAATTACTATCAAAAACAATAAACAAAATTCTCTCATTACAACCTTCAACATTTGACAATAAAGTTTCAAGTGCCAATTTTGCTTCAGAAATTCCACTCCCAGCCATCGATCCCGATTTATCCAAAGCAATAATCAATAATTTTCCTTGATTTTTCGAAGTATGCTGCTGCTGCCAGAACTCATCTCTGATCGCCAACTGAATGCGAACAATTTCAATTGGCGTTGTTGTAGTAGTATTGGTAGGATCACTCAGAGGCGAAGCAACACTGAAAAATTCTTGTTTGATGACCGACACGAAAAATGATGCATCAGTAATTTGTGATTTTTGTTTTGCATTTTTTTTTCTTTTAAAATGTTGTAAACGTGATACGTGAACTTTGCTGATATTCATTTCTTCCACATGCACTCTCTAGCATTCTGCAATTGCATATGAGGCATGTGTTGATTGTGTTGCTGGTTCAGTGTGGATTTTGCATTCAATGTTAACAGTGCACTATGAGGATTGATTGGGAATGGTGATTCAATATTTGATTTCAAATTGTTGTGTGGTTTTCAATGGTTTATTGGGATATTTCTGTATGGGATCACTATTTAATTCTAACTCACAACTTCAGCAATATCATATGATTTGAATGTCAAGTGTCAATAGTAGAAACAAATTCATTAAAAAATGTCCTCATTGACGATCATTAAAAAATGTGTCTTTGGTAGGTAGTACTCTGCTTCAATCATTCGCTCATCAACTTTAGTTGGAAGTTGTTATAGAGAAAAAACAGCACTTCTTTGTACCGTTTCGACTGGAACCTATCCGGAAGGTAAGTTTCGAATAATTATTTCACAAAAATTGATAACTTTTATAGAATATGTACCTACCGTGATGGATAATCATTATGTTACTTTGAAATTTGAAGGAACTTCTTTTTCGTTAGGGTTGTGGGATACGGCTGGTCAAGAAGAGTAAGTTGAAAATTTGGCATTTGACAATTTGACTGTTACTAGATGGGAGTAAGTATTCAAGTAGAGATCTTTTGTGGATTGATCAAACTAGTCGTTTGAGACCACTTTCTTATCCAGAGTATGTAAAATTCTTTTCATTTCTCAAAAACGAAACCTTTCCAATAGAACTAATGTATTTGTTGTTTGTTTTTCAATTGTAGATTACGCATCCTTCACTGATGTCAAGTATAAATGGGTTCCAGAACTCCATCATCACTGTCCTGATGCTACAATCATCTTGTGTGCAGTCCAGATTGAACTCAGAAATGACGAAACTAGACGAATTGAAGTCACCAAAGAAATGGCAGAAGAAATGGCAAAGGAAACCAATTGTGCTGGTTATATCGAATGTTCTGCAAAAAATGGAATTGGAATTAGCGAACTACTCGAAACAATTAAGGAATTTGCATTATTTCCTGAGAGAGCAGATAAAAAATCAAAAAAGAAATCTTCAAGCAAATCTGGAATTTTTGGAAGATTGAAGAATGTTTTCCAAGTTAAACCAACTGGTAATTCACCTAATTCATCTCCAACTATAATGGAATCGAAGCAATCTTCTGACAATTCAACAATTATTCGATTGCCAATGCTTAGTACACCAAATGTCATGCCAGATGTCAGAACTACACCAGTAATTGAAGAGAAGCAAGCAAATAGTCCATCAATGTCAAGAGATTTCAATCAAGTTCCATTTGAGGATTGGACAGCTGAAGAAGTTTCAAAATGGCTTCAATCCAAAGGTTGCAATCAAACAGTCATTGACAGTAAGTATTTCACATGAATATTTTAACAATTGACATTTTCAAGCATTGAAGAATAATGATTTTGGAGGAACTGCCCTGCTCTATTGTGATAAACAAGATTTAACAAGTTTGGGAATTTCTTTAGGAAATTCAATTACAATTATGAAATGGATTGAAAGTTTTAAAAAGAATTCTGACACTGGTTCAGCAACACCTTCATTGGAAAAACAATCTGTTGGAAGCAGTGTTGGTAACTCTTCATCGTCCTCCTCTGATTTCCCTTCCTCTTTCCAAATGGATTTGAAAGCTAACGAAACTTTTTCCAATAACAATGAAAAGGAGCAAGAAAATGAATTTGAAAAGAGATATATCATTTTGGAGAAATTGGGAGAAGGTGGATTTGGAAAGGTCTATAAAGTAAAGACCAAAAAGACAAATCAAATTAGAGCTGTCAAGATTGTTTCACCAAGTCAGGATTTCACAATCAATCAGGCCTTATCTGAAGCATTGAAACAAGCTCAATTATATAGAGATGATAATCACATTGTTCACGTGTATGATGTCTTTATTGCAGTGGAGAATTATGGGCAGATTGTTTGCATTGAAATGGATTGTATGGAGGGAAATCTACGTACAATCTTTAGAGGAAGAAAGGTTTCGGAAGGAATGATTTGGTCAATTCTGAGGCAAATTGGAGCTGCTCTCAAGTTCCTTTCTGAGAGTGGAAAGATTGTACACAGAGATATCAAACCAGATAATATTCTTGTTAAGAAAGTGGATTTTGAAACAGACGAAATTGACGTTTATTTGAGTGATTTCGGATTGGCCAAGTCAACCCAAAATTCCATGCAAACATCACATCTTTCAGGAACCATTTTCTTCCTAGCTCCAGAAATTCTTGATTTTGGAAATTCATTGAATGGTGAGACATGTCGTACTCCTTATTCGATTGCTTCTGATATATTTGCACTAGGAGTTTCTCTCTATCAAATTATGTGTCAAACGTTGCATCGTTCCTCGCAACTAGCCAACCTTTCTTAATTTCTTGAATAAATATATGTTACATTGCAAATTAATAAAAACAAGATTGAGAACAAGTAATTATACTAATGGGTATTAAAGCTCAGGGACTGTTTCACCTTTAAGGTGATTCAGCCTTGAGACCTACCTTAATGGATATAAATATTTATTAAAGATGTGGGCTTTCAAATATTCCCCTTTGGAATCTGACAGCCCGTTGACATTAATTGTTGTGATAATTCAACAAGAATTTCTTTTCTACTAAAATTTCTACTATATGCACTGGGACAATTCGAATTTCAATATTAAAATAGTTCAAACATTAAGCAAGACAACCATTCAAGAATTCCTTTAATTAGTATTTCACTTCTTAAATGTTTTCTTCTTTGTCTTTTGGATCGATCTTAGTAAGTGACATATTTATTATTACTAACATTTTCAAACAGAAATATTTATTATGGCAAAATCTCTCCGTCCAGATTGTTTTAACCAATTTTTCCTGCTTTGCAGGAGTAGTTCTATTTCAATCTCGATTTTGTAAACAACTTTTTTAACTTGCTGAATAAAGTTAATGACCTAAAAAGCAACATTCTGACCAACATATCTCATCCTTTTGGAAGAAGAATATATTGAGTAAGCTTCTACCTAATAGTTTATCAACGATTGTCTAGATTGTTTTATTGTTTCTTTTGGAGAAATAAGCTTAATACCTAAAAACAGCAGTAACCAAGTTACAAACCACCTTATTGTATATTTATTAAATGGAATATTTTTTATGATAAATTTTTAACAAAATTAAAATCCAAATTGTTCATCACTAAATGGTGACGAATACATGACATCCCATGATCTCTTATCAACAATGCAAACGGATCCGTCTTGTTTGAAATCTTCACTACTCACACAATAAGGAGTTACCCACTCTGGTACTGATGTTAAAATATTGGCTCCCATATATCTCAAAATTGCTCTGTCAGAGCATTTAACAGACATCTCATTAAATGTAATCTCATCAAGTAAAAGTGCCAATTCCTTGTTCAATCGTTCGGTAAAATTATTCATCATGGTTGTTCCTCCAGAGAGAATTATATTATTGGAAAGATCGAGAGAATCATCATTAATTTTAGTAATGCATTCCTTGACCAATTGTGGAATAGATGAGCAATTATTGGTAAAGAGTATTTCAGATACTTGTTTGAATTCTTCCTTACATTCTCCAATGTTAATTGTCACTGTATCAGTCACATTGAAACTCTCATAAAGTGGGAAATTCTCACAGGTGGCACTCACATATTTTGCCTTGAGTCTATTCACAATTTCATCTGAAAAGATATTCGAATCGTGCTTTTCAAAATGTTTCTGTAAAGAATTCTTTAACTTTTCTGTCAAGTGTCTTCCACTCACACTTCCAATACACAGTGAATCCATTCTCACTTGGCCATCCACAACAGCAATCACATACGAAGAATTCTCTCCAACATGAACAACCAATCCAGACATGAACTCCACTCCACTTGCAACCAAACTCATATAAGCAGCATCTTGAATCGACAAGTGAGAAATCTTGAAATCTTCAAACAAGACTTTACAAATCACTTCTCTCCTTTTCAAATCATCAACATGATCCAATGGAGAATCAATAATCAAAACAGATTCCAAATTATTATCCTTTTCAATATTCAACACTTCCAAAGCCTTTGAAATATTTAATTTGAGTTCTTCCGAATATTTTACTAATTTTCCTTCAGCATCATTATCATCATCATGAAGAATATTAATTTTACGGAATGATCGGGATGGTCTATCTTCCATGATATTTGTCTTTCCACATCGAATGGTGGATTGACTAGATAGATCAATGATAATTGCAGATGATGTTGATTGGGAATTATTTGCGAGCCAATCTTCAAAGTTTGATGAAGTAAATTCTGTGCTTTCAAAATTTTCCATTTTTTTTATAAAAAATTAATTTAAAAAAATTTACAATAATTAAATATTTGTTATTAAGTAATTCAATCATTTCAGAAACAACAAATTAAAGAGCTGATACATCTGTTTTCACAGCAAGCATTATATGATCTGATTTGTCAGACACCAACAAATTGTAAAATATCAAAATCACTATATTTTAATTCAAATAATCCTTGCACAAATCGAGAGAGGTTTGCCACAATGTATCTTGCAATGAAACATTATCTTCAAACTTATTTCCAAGCTTTGTAGCACAATCGGCATAATAACTTCCAGATTTCAATTTACTCTTATCCTCCAATGCAGTGTGAAGAGTGGTTTGAGCTCCTTGGAGAGCTGACTTGGTGAAATACCACATTGCTGGGAATATGATTCCACCCAAAGTGAAGCTTCTTCCGAGCAGGGACCGGACAATGCCAGGATGGCAAGCATAAGATGTAGCTTCACTTCCATTTGCCAATTCACGAGCAAGTCTCTTTGTGAATAAAAGGTTTGAGAATTTGGATCTGTAATAGAGTTCGTATGGATTGGCCAATTTGCTTCCATCTCCAATGACAACATCTGGCTTGAATGAACAGAATCCTTCAAGATCACTTTCCTTCTTAATTCCACTAGCAGCTAATGAAGACAAGTTGACAACTCTACCATTTGATTGCTTAATCATGTCCAATAACAAGTAGGTCAATAAGAAGTGACCCAAGTGATTAGTACCGAATTGAATTTCCACATTTTGCCTTGTTGTGGCATGTGGACACATCATGATACCAGCATTATTAATCAAAATATCCAAAGTAGTGAATTTTGACTTGAATTCCTCAGTAAACTTCTTAATAGAAGCCAAATCAGTCAGATCCATCAACATGACAATCAAACGATCAGCTCCACCTCCATTTTCCTCAGTAATCATCTTCTTGGATTCATTACCATTCTTTTCAGAACGAACTCCCAAAATAACAGTTGCTCCCAAACTATGTAAAACCTTACTAGTTTCATATCCAATACCATAAGGGCTAGCACCAGTAACAATAATAGTCTTTCCCTTCAAAGATGACTTGTTAGCCAATAATTCTCCTCTCACAACACCTCCATTGAAAAACTTCTTTCCGAAATACAATCCAAGACCACCCAAAATAGATGAACAAGCCAATTTCAAATAACCTTGTGGGGATAATCCTTGGAAATAATAAACAGCTTCAATCAATTTAGTTTCCAGAAATTCAGAAATCATTGTGCTGATGAGATTTAATTTTTTTTTAAATTATTAATTTTTTGTATTGGTGTGATGATGGCGGAATTAGATGAAGAGCAAGTTCCTCCTATTGCGACACAAAATACATAGCAAAGTATCAACAATGATAGTAGTGAGATGAAGCTCTTTTGTGGTAATTAAATGATAATAAGCTCTTTTGGTACGAGTGAGGACAATATTAAGTAATTGTCATCATTTCCATTACATTATCATGTTGTTTTTTCTAATTGTTATTGTAACACAAGCGAAGGAGTACAAGTCATCCACACAATGTAACACTTATAGTGAACACAGCCAATATTATTGTAACCTTGCCAAATATTTATCTCCAACTGTTTTCATAGAAAGACACTTCTTATTATGATCACACATTGCGGAATCTCAAAGCTTCAAAAAACACAAAAAATCTCATCAATATTCTCTTCTATTGTGTGTATTGGATGAAATCACAATACTCCAACTACTACTACTACTAATCATCATCATCTCATCAATATATATTAATCATCATCAAAGAAGCAAATTAATAATTATCATCATTTAAATATGCAAAACACTAATAATATAACAGAACAACAATTGGCTGCTCTTCAAACTCTTCATAATCAAACTTGTTCCTATCTATCGGAGAATGAATGTCTCTCCTTTCTAACTTCCTCTCAGTGGAATTATTCTCATTGTGAATATTTACTTGTTACCATTCCAAAGGAAATTGAAAACAAAACTTCACTGCCACCAATACTTTCTCTGCGGATATTGGGTGATGCTCAGGTGGATTGGAGGAATTTGGAATTGTGCCAAGTAAGAATCAACATGATGGTCGATTTAAGTCAGAAAACAAGATTAAATTATTACTTGTGTCATGATTGTCTTACTCAGTCGAATTGGAATGTAGATTTAGCTTTGGAATTGTTTAATAGACATAAATCGAATATACCCGAGAGTGGTTTTATCAATCATGTTCATCCGTAATAATAATAATTTAAATAATTTAAATAATAATAATTTGGTTAATAGTTCGGATGAGTCGAGTAATGCATTCCAAGATGTTAATCAATTACCTCCAATGATTCAAATAGATCAACAACAAATGCCTGGAGAATCTCCATCATTGGGAAATGTTTACTTTTCTATTGGAAATCAATTGCCTAGTTCCTTCACAGATAATAGTCAATTAATGGATGGCACTGCAGCTAGTGTTGCAGTTCAACCTCATGCAAATACTCCAGAAAATTCACCAAATGAATCGGCAACGATTTTGAATACGAGTAGAATTTCAATTATTAGTAATTACTTTTAAGAATGCATTCTTTGTAAATTTCCATCTCATGATGATGATGTTAAATATTCCTCCTCCGATTCATCACCATCATCATTAAATCTTATGAAAAATATCATGTAAATAGAGAATAATACAAGTAATTTGATTTTCACACATATTTAAAAAGGAAATTAGTTATGTTATTTACTTTTTTATCATGATTGTGGAGTATTTCTGAAATTATACACAAAATTCTCGAATTTCTTATTGGTATCACATGGAAATTATCTCTTTTGCTCGATTATTGATTAGGAGTTGCGAGAATACATTCATCAATCAAACAAAATATTATTCCAATATTATTATTATTATTGTTACAAAATAAGAAATTGCCTAGAAACTATTGAATGGATACTTTTCTTTGAGATTCTTCTCAAATTCCAATTCTTTAATTTCCTGATCCTTTTGCAAGAATTTATCCAAATCAATTCCTCCATCATCAGATTCTTCCTGATGAGACAAGTCATTCTTTTTCGATTGTTGTTGTTGTTGCTGCTGTTGTGGAACTTGTTTGAATGAAGTGGATGGAATGAAATCCAATTTCCTCTTTGAATTCTTCTCCAGTACCAATGAAATATTATGTTCTGGCAATTCCTCATATCCTTCCATTCCATTCATTGAATAATCCTCTCCTGAATAGTTAGTGAAATCATGTTGGTCCTCCTCCTCGAAAATTGACTCTCCAGGAATGATCATTTTCGTCAGTCGAGCCCTCTCCAACTTGCCAATGTATTCTCTATCTGTAATTTTCTTATCGGAATGCAGAATGGATTCTATCGATGAGGATTCTTCTAATTTTATGGCAGTTTCGGCTGGTTGTTGATTGGTGGAAGGTCCTCCTGAGTTTTCTTCGGTTTGGGACATGGGTTTATAGAAGCACGTGTACCATCCTGTCCCAACTACTGTAGAGAAGAGAGCAATACCTCCAAAGATTAGCAATTCAGCCATTTTTTTTGATATTTTGTGATTAATGATGGATGACTGGAAATAGTGATTCGGTTGTTTTGTAATGTGATTGATATTCAGTGATTGTACTTTTAAAAACTTTGTTTATATTAGTATCATTTGAAATCAATTTAAATTTCATCAATAACCGAAACTAATCTTCATAACATTCTCGTTCTTTCAAGATACAAACTATAGTAATATCCACAAGTCCAGATGGTGGCGATTTACCAAGAAACGGATTTGGTTTCTCTCTAAACAATCCTCTCTCCACAGCATTCATCAATTCCGAAACAAAATTCGAAACATCTACAATAAAATCATCCAATTGATCTTTTAATACTTCTCTGACATTTAATTCGTTAGATCTTTCCATCAGTCCATCCATCAGTGCCATAATATATTGAGAAAGTATAAGAGGATTAGCCGTAGTGCACTTATCTTGTATTTTGTTAATAATCCAATCTTGGATTTCTTGTGCTTTTGAATCATCGTAAAAGTGAGACATTTTCACACCTGCTTGGTCAATCAATTTGTGGTATTTTTTTTGATGATTATTTCCAGTGATAGAAAGAAATGTCGGTCAATTGATTTTGTTTGCATTTTTCGAATAATGGTTTACAATGTGAAATTAAAGAGTGAGTCAACCGAGGTGATTTTTCAATTCCAAAAATAACTCCATGATTTGTTCGTTTGATTATCAGCTCTCTATCCTGATATGAAGTAGAATTCAATTCCTGCAATGGAAATCCAATATCAATCAAGTTGAATTTTAGAAAGGCAATCGAATACATTTTCTTATTAGAAATATAAAGTGAATAATCTTGCAATAGAAAACAAATGTGTGTGGAACCATTTCCATCTATATCTATACATGATGGTAATGAATTGGTATCGAGTGGTGATTTTCTTTTTCTTTTGGTTGTTCTTGGAATTAATCCTAATATAGAGTGCACATTCAAATTTGTAAATTCTATTCCATTTTTAGATTTTAAGAATTGAAACTTGACTGAATAGGCTCCTTCCTTGAATATCCACTCATTAGCAATGGTTTGAATTAATAACGTTCCACCTTCCAAAAATTTTATATTTTTAATCTTGTTTTTAATTGATTTAATTTTTGTAAATATTAAATTATTTCCTTTATGGGAAATTGTTGCTAAACTTTTATCTTCCATAATGCAATACAATAGTACTTTAAATGATTCACAGTTAAATATCTTTTTAAATTTTAAATTTGTTTTAAATTCCAAAAATTTTCTATCAATTTCATAAAATAATCTTCCAAAATTAGTAATAATAAATTTACAAAAATCTGCCTTATATACTAGACAAATGTCATCAATATACTCATTTTCCAATAGAAATCCTCTCAAAACAGAATCAGTATCACCCAAATTAGATGCAACAATCGCTGCATGATTATTAAAATCGTACAAGCAAACAACATGAGAATGTTTTGCAAAATAGCAAAAATTATTCAATTCAGAAATTGGCAATTGTTCATTTCTCATTAAAATGTCATATCTTTCCTGACTGTACTTGTGAGTATGTTTCACTGGGCATTCATATATAATTCCATTTTTGGAAGATATTTTGCATTCGAGTAAATTGTTTTTCAGTGTATGAATCGAATTTTGCTCAATGTTGAAATATTTCCAAACATTTCCGTGTAAATAATTGATGTTATTCAATTCCAATTGATTAATTCCATTTATATTCACATAATATACTTGGTCGACATATCTATTCAAGGAAATGTATGAATTGCTATCATACAAATCAGAGAATATATCCTTTTTAAAATTAATTGCACATTTTTCAATACCATTTCCCAATAATTCTTTGCCATTTCCTAAAAAGGCAGTATTTAAAGTATTACAATCTTGTTGTTTCCTTACAAATTCTGAATAATCATACAATGGCAATACAACCTCATCATTTTCATCAATTTCAGATAGTGAACAAACATTATTCTCATCATCAATCGTTTGTTCATTTCCATTTCCATCCAACAATATTGAAATTAATTTTTCACTATTTTTACAATTATTTAAAAAATTATTTGCAAAATTCTTCTTCCGATCATTAATTGTCGATTGATGAAGAATAAACGAAGAATTGTTGGAGGGAAGTGGAATGAGCATTTTTTTTTGTTAATTTCAAATTTGAAAGTTCAGTTTTTAAAAACAGTTAGAAACCTACTGTTTTATTAAAGAGTCATGAAAATAAAGTGGGTGGAAAGTGATTGAGAAGAAACTGTAGTTACAATTCTAGTTATTGTAAACTAGACGAATCGAATAGGAAACGGAAAAATCTTTTGTGGTAACCACATCAAAGTCAACAAAAGATTCTTTTCTCTCATTATTTCACCTCCTCTCGTTCTTTTAAAAAGTAAAATTGAACTCCAACATCAACTATGCTACTTTCTCCAAAACTAAACCTTTCCAATAAGTTCAAGCTATACGAATACACTATCCAATTAACACATTTAACAAATCTTTCACACAACTAATCGTGTTAAATTAATGTATTCATCATCCACGAATGCCAAACATCAACATTGGATTCTTCCAAGGATTCTTTCGTATAATTTTTTTTGATACGGAACTTGTCTTTAATAATTTCTTGGGCAACTTGGCTAAGAATCCTCACAATATTTTTGTAATCCAAAGAATCCTTGAAACCCCGACCAAGAATCTTCTTGCCAGCCTATTTCACCACCTTTCGAATAACACTTTTCACATTACTTTTAACACAAAAAAAACATTCGAAACTAACATGCCTCTCCCATATAACTTTAAACTCCAAAGAACTGCTGTCTTACCACTCAAGCAAGCTGGTTTGTTCGGTCTTTCATGTTTCTTCTCCTTGGCTGTCATTACAACTGTCAAGAACGCAATTGGTCAACCAGAAACTTTGAAGAATTTGAATGAAGAAAACATTCTTTATTGTAGACCTTTGGAAGAAAAGAGAGATATCTACTTTTTCAATTGGGCTCCATTGACTGGTGAAGCTGCTGGTAGACCAAAGAGAGATTAAATTGGTTTCTTATAGTTTTTATGAGAAACATTTTTGACGAGATACATTCGATTATTGGTTTATTTTACCTTTCTAACCACACACAAATAATAAACATTTAACACTAAGATTTTTTTGCAACTTGGAATATCATTGCTTTTAATCGTTTCGTTTTTATGGATTAAAGTGTGTGCTCAAGAGTTTCCAATAGTAGTCAGTTTTCTATCATCTTTACTATTTCTCGTAGTATCTTTCTCTATGAATTTCTCGAGAATTTCGTATAGTTCTTTTGCGATACAATCATATGGTACACAAGTTGGAAGACAAGATTCATGCCCTGTTGAGAATGTGGTACTTCAAGAGCTTGTTTTAAAGCAAACACAATCCAGAGAAACAATTGTTCATGAACGACTCCAAACCCTCCATTCGAATATGTCATATTAGTATTTCTAAGATTTGCATGAGAATCCAAATAATTTTTCAGAAGCAAAATTTTTAGTTTTTGGATGAAAAATAGATCGAACTTTAAAACACATTTTAAAATTTTCAAAAAAAAATGAACAACACCCCAAGTGCTTCTTCATCATCCAACAACAACAACAACAAGAGAACATACTTTGACTTTTTAGATGAAGATTTTTATCACCTTTTCAATGATGAATCAATATTTGAAGACAGTGTTTTTGAAAGTGGTGCATTTCTCAATTTTACAGAACATGAAAATATACAGAGACAGATAGAGAATCAGGTTGTTTGTCCAAAGAAGATTCGTACAGTGTATGATTTGACTACTTCTCCTACAATTAGTCCAAGTGAAATGGTTTCGTCTGCTGATCGATCTGAAAAGAGAATTATCCAACGAGTCGAAATTGAAGGATTGAATGAAAATTGTTGGTCTAACATTGTGTCATTCATTGGAAAGGAAGAATTTCTTTGGTTTAAACCATATTTGATCAATAGAGATGTCTATGAAAAGATATTCGAAAGTGAATCATTTTGGGAAGCTTTCTTCCAATCGACATGGAAAGGAGATGAACAAGTTGGTAAATGCTATGATTGGCTCTATAAGAGAGGATATTGTCTGAGAAAATTTCACTCATTCCAAACTCATAATTCCTTAAATATTCACATCTTGACAGGTCATTCACATGATAACGTTAAATACCTGTCACAAGTATATAGTGACATGTCCAGTTCGTGTTTCATCACAAAAAGTAATTCACATAACGGACAATCTTTCCACATTCAATGTCCTAATGGATGGTTAAGTGATGTCAATTGGCTTGTTGACATTTTCCTGAAAGAGAAACCAATTCATCTTTTTCTCAAATTGGAAATCAAATCCTTCTCGTCCTTTTTGTCACGTGATTTGAGTGTAGAAGCAATTCTTCCATCTGCCACTAATCAACCAATCAAAATATTTGGAAAAGATGCCATTATCAAGAATGGTATTAGGAAATTATTTAAGGAATTGAATTTGGATGAGGAGAAGAATTTACCAAATGATGAAACTGAATTGGATTTGAGATTTTCAAATTTGAAATTTGGTCAATTGATGCAAGATAGATATTTCATTTGGTTTTGTAATTCAATTCTGAGTTGGATTCCATTTCCTATTGAGGATGTCTATGGAGTTTCTGATTATTCTGATCATTTGTGTTTCAGTGTAAATGATGCAAGAAATGAAAAAATTGAAAGATATTTCGAATTGAAGAAGGAACTTGGTTTCTAATAGTATGATAGATGGCCAGTTGGTTAAATTGGTTAAATTATGTAAATAGTCTAATATTAAATATATCATGTAAATATCTCTGTATCAAATTGTTGAAATTATTAATGAAATTCCAAGTTTAGTTTTGATTATTTTGATTTAATTTTTCCTGATCTCTTTTCAATGCCAATTCATATCTTTCTCTAAAATCAACAATATGTTGTTCGGTTGGTTTCTTTAATTTCTTCATAATTTTCTCCAAATCATCACTTGATGGCAATAGAGGAAGTGTCAAAGCTGTCAATTGTTTAGTAATTGGAAGATTTGATGGTGGAGGAGGAGGAACACTTCCTGGAGATGTGATGAATGTTGTACATTCCGATGAAGGTGATGGTAAATCAACTTGTTCATATTCAAATATTTTCAAGTCATCACTAAAAGAAACAGTTTTGATTATTGACATTTTTTTCAACTTGGAACTTAATACCGAATCAAATAACAAAGTGTTGAACAAGACGTTAGGCCTATTTTTAAATAAGTTCCACATTCACCCAGTTTCGAATAGTTTTTTGATAATCTCTTTACAATTTTACAATTCAATTAAAAAAAATGTTCATAGGTCAGTCCACAGAAAGTTCATCATCGTTGAAAATATCATGTCATACTCTACCACAAAATAATCCACACAAATTATTATTGCAAAGAAGAGGGGTAGGTTTAGTTTACTTTCGAATATTAAACAATTCAATTTCCCACAGCATAGCACAGTGTTATTCAAAGAAAGATATTTAATTGTATTCGGAGGATGTGATATGAGAGGTAATTTCCTCTCTGATATTCTTCGTTTTGATTTATTGACATGTCAATGGTCAGAAATTAGTTCTTTTGGTGACATGCCATGTGGAAGATATGGACATTCTGCATGTATCCACAATGATTACCTAATGTACATCTATGGTGGTTATTACAGAAACAAAACTAATGAATTGTCTTGTCTGAATTTGGAAACTGGTGAGTGGAAAGTTGTCGAATGTAGGGGAAACCAAATTCCTCCTGGAACAGATGGTCAATCGATGATTATTTACAATAATCAGTTGATAATATTTGGAGGAAGAAAGAAGAGTTGGATTTCTATTAATTTAGTTCATGTTTTGGATTTGGAAACGTTGGAATGGAGAAGAGTGGAAATTACTGATCTTTCGAATGTTCCATGTCCTAGAACCGATCATTGTGATGTATTCCATGATGGAAAGTTGTATATTCAAGGAGGATATGATGATGGAGGTCAATTCTTGGGAAGAAGAAATGATTTGTATGTATTTGATGTAAAAACCGAAACTTGGACTCAATTGACTGGCCAATGTAATGGTTTACCACCTCCAGAAATGTCCACTCATAGAGCAGAATGCTTGGAATTGAATGGGAAACATTACATGATCATGGTGGCAGGTTGGGATAATTACAAGAGACACAGGAATGAAATTTATGGATTGGAATTGGAAACTCTGACATGGATTCATTTTCCATCCATTAACCCTAATATTTTCCATGAGAGAAGACATTTTGGAATGGTAAAATTGTCATCCTCAATTCAATCTGAGTATTTCAGAGGAAATGATTTGATTGTTTATGGTGGTTGTACTGATACCTGCATGTTGAATGATGTTTGTGTATTGAGATTGAGCGATTCGTCTGTTAATGAGGATGAATTGGTGGAAGTGTCGTCTATCTCTGAATTTGATAATGGAAAAACTGAAGAATTGTGGAAATTATTAATGAATGAACATTCGAATTGTTTCGAACGAATTCTTGAATTTGGAAATTGTTATGACTTGTTGGATTGGAGTCTTGTGAACAAGAAACAATGGAATTCATCAATATCTAACAATAATTTACTAAAGAAAGCAGTAATTCAATACTGGAATTACAGAAATAGACATCTCATTGACGGGAATGCCAAGATTTTGAAATTACTTCCAAAAGAAGCAACACTCAAAATATTACAAGAAGATGACGATAATATTTCAATCACAACTGTGAAGAACTTGATACACCAACTCACTGACACATTTTTTTTTGCAGATCCTTATGAAAATATTGCCTGGACTTCCTTTCCAAAAATTAATTCCTTATTAGGTATTGCCAAGCTCAATTTCTCAAAAATTGAATCACAACTTGATAATAATTTTTCATTCTACATGGCCCTCCACTCTACCTGTTTCGACGAGTATCCCATCATAACCTCAATCATTTCTACCTCTCGAAAAACAATCAAATCTCCACGAGAAACTTTCATCCTTTTTGATCCATACATTGGCTCTCTAATCTTTACAGAAAAAGTGCAAACCAAGATGCTTAATGATTTCAAGCGATTGCTAACGACCACAATCTCACCTTCGATAACGATTCCACTCATTGATTCTCAATTATCTGACACACCATTATCAAACTCCCAAAATGGAAGTATACTTGAGGACATTCTATCGGTACTATTAAGAAATGCCTCAATCCAAAAAGACAAACGATAGTGACGCACTATTACATTGAAAATTAAATAAGCGCAATAAATTTTAATATCCGCCCACATGTCCAACAAGTCCGAAAGCCAAGTCCTCGCTTGAATTTTGTTCAAAACCTTAAAAAAAATGAAAAAACGACAAGTTAGAGATTTCTTCACGGTGCATGATTCGAAAAAGTTGAAACTCTGTGATTCTGGAACATTGGTTGATTCGGATGATCATGATCACGTTGATAATGATGATGATGATGGGAAGATGCATCTGACGACATGTGATGATCGCGATGAAAATATTTCATCTGATGATTTTATTCTTCCTATTGAAATTAAATTATATATTTTGGAATTTATTCAATTTCCATTGGCTAGGTATACTTCCCTGTCGGAGGCTGGTTTTTGGAAGGAATTGAGAAAGATTACTGAGGTTAGAAATGTAAATTTGAATACAGGATGGAAAATTGCTAGAAAGATTGTTAGAGATCGAATGATCAAGGCGATGTTTGGTTATTTTGTTGGGAAGGTGACAAACTTGGTGAAGGAACGAGAAGTTCATCAACTGTATAAGCATGTAAATTATGAATACGTTGGAATTTGGGGACAAGATGAATTTTATTCGAATTTGAGGTTTAGAGACTTGAAATCGATTGAATTTTCAAATGATTATTCGTTTGCTTGTAAATTTGATTACTGGAGCTATATGCCAAACTTGGAATCGATCATTGGGTTGAATATTGAACTAGAGGGACATGAAGAAAAGTTCATTAATAATGTAAATAGAGACAAATTGACGAGTATTTCTTTTGCTAATGCTAAAGGAAAATTAATTAATGACGGAAAGAGATTCTTTCAAAGTTTACCAAATCTAACTAGGTTGAAAGTGTCTCCTGCCTACGCTTCAGATATTATGGGTTTGGAAAAGTTGAAACATCTCACATTTACTGAAGGAACAATGGGATTTGATAATTTACGATCCATAATTGAGAAAAGTGAGAATTTAGAAACTATTGATGTGAGCCAACTGAAACTAATTGCATCTCCAGACCGAGTTTTTACCAGTCCAAAGAAAAAAATCAATCTGAAAAGTATTCATGCAACCAAACATGGATTTACACATCGAGTCTTTACGAATCTTATCAGGAGTGTTAACTTTTTGCCAAATTTAACAGATTTACGAATTGGAATTGCACAAACTGAGTTGTTTGTAATGGAAAACTTTACTAACTATTGCCGAGAGTACTCTAATATAGAACACATCTCACTCAAAGGATTTGAATTCACTGCTGAGTGTTTTAGTGAAATGCAAAATTTAAAGAAATTGAAAAGTATTCGGGATGCTACATTGAGAAGTTGTGAGGAATTGGCAAATATTCCATCACTCAAAATACTAACAATTGATCCAAAATGTAATCACTCAATAGATTTCTCTCCACTGCACCAATTAGAAGGGCTCTCTACAGTAGCTTCACTTTCACTTTTAAGAAATTTCAAAGATTCTAACTTTCTTCCACGTTTAGGAAAACTTTCTTTGGAAATTCAAAACGAATTGGCAATGGATTCTATTTCTAACGAATTTCTAACTTTGGGAACTTTTAGACCTCATCTGATTATCCATCTTTCAATTGCACCTTTAATTTCTGAAGATAATTACCACAACATTTTGTCATGTCCATTAATTGAAAATTTACATGTCAAATGTAATCAAATTCCCGAATCAATTCAATTTAATACTACTTTGAAAAAGCTAACCCAACACGTCAACTCTCTTTTCATTATACCTGACCACTTGGCATCCAATCAAACTATTGAGGAAATTAGAATTTATGGAATGGATCCAAATTTTATGATTTCAAGTTCACAAGAATTATTTGATTTTGTGGAAAAATCAAAAGCTACTTATATTTCATTTGTGGATCCAGATAGAGTTGGATTTATTGATAAGGGAGAACATGATCCAGATGTTTTGCTTTGGTAATATTTGAACTGTCAAGCATCAAAGAAATTAAAAAAAATGTCAAGATGCCCGCAACTACATTCTATTTCCATTATTTGTTTAGTATTGTTGTTGGTTAATCAAGCCTTGTCAAGTTACATTGCTCCGAAAACTTGTTCATCATCAACTTCATCAGATTCGTATAAATATTGTGGACGAATTTCAATAACGGAATTAGAAACTAACTTTATCTACTCACAAGTAACAACATTTCCAACAGATTTTATATCTGCCAAACCAAATACATGCCTCTCTATCACTCCTTCTAACTTTACCCTTGATGAACAATATCCAAATCATCAAATTATTGGAAACCCTTTCTTTTCTATCGGAAAGTATTTTAACACAACTTGGTGTACATGTCGATGGAAAAACACAACCTCCATCATTTCTACACGGAGGGAAATATGTGCCACCAATCAAGATTCCAAAATATTTTACATTATTTCAGATTCGTATAATGTTGACAAGACGAAAGGATTTATTTTGGTGGATGACATTGTGAATGAAAATTATTTTGCAAATAATACAATTTTAATGCCAACTGCTTATGATGATAGTGTATTTATTGTAAAAGGACCTAATTTTGCATTGACAAGTTGGAAAAATGGAATTATTGGAACAGTTTCGAATAATCATCCAAAACTTTTAACAGATACTTCATTTCAATTTCAAATTAGTTCTGTGGGAAGTGGAGATAAGAATGGAATAGGAATCACTCTGAAAAATCTTTATTCCAATGATTGTGTAACTGCCTCCATTGATCCATTCACATCGGGAATTAAACTCCGAATGCAAACTTGCTCTGGAGTTACAACTTTGAAGAGGGCATCTCAGAAAGGAGATGATATTGCAAAAATTTATGCAAAACAAAAGTTTTTCTGGACTGGAAAGTTGTTATTTTCATCAGTAATTGCCAATTCTTGTTCTGGTCAATTGGAAGCTATTGCAGTGACTAGCACAGTATTTGGATCACCTCATTTTCAATGGAAAGGAGTTCAATTTTTGACACTGAATAGTTTGAATGAAAGTAATGTGGAAAAGTTTTATTCAACAGCTTGTCTGTACGATCAGGACACTACCCTTCAAAACCAACTTGTTGACAATGATTTAGTGAGATTTTCCTCAGCTGTGCTATTGAATCATTCGTCCAGAGTGTTAACTAATGGATTATTACTGATATTGGTATTGTTCATTGGATGCATTGTTTGTTAATATTTCAGTTTTTCTCAATAATTATTATTATTCTATTGAAATAGAGTTTGAAACATGTAATTACTCTTCTGATGGTGTGGATGGACTTGAGGAATTTTCCTTCTTTTTTGTTGTAACATTCTTGAGTTTGGTTCCACCTTCTTTCAATAAATTTCCTCCTTGCTTTAATTTGTTCAAACCACCAACACCTCCTTCCTTAAGCAAGTTTCCACCTTGTTTCAACTTGTTTAGTCCACCTGCTCCTCCAGCTTTCATGAGATTCATTCCTCCCTTACCTCCTTGTTTCAATTTGTTCAAACCACCAACTCCTCCCTCTTTCAATAAGTTTCCTCCTTGTTTCAGTTTGTTTAGTCCACCAACACCTCCAGCTCTCATCAAGTGAATTCCACCTTTACCTCCCTTTTTGAGAATATTGAAACCTTGAGTCATATTTTGCTTTTGCTTATTCATCATGTTACCAATTTGTTTCATGGCTGCCTTTTCCTGTAAATCCTTAAATTCCAAAAATGTTTTCTTTTGGGCTTTCTTGAAATTTGAAAGAAGTGATTCTTGAATGGATTTGGCCACGAAACCAAGTAAGATACCCAACAATCCAAGACCAATCAAGACAAAGAAACCAAATGTAATCTTACCATTGGTTGTCTTTGGGTAAAAATCTCCATATCCAATTGTACTCAGAGTTACAAATCTTTTCATAAAATCATTACCAAGTATAATTACATATGATTGTAAATAAATTTTCTCCTAAATATTGAAAAAACCTACGAATAATAGAATGCATCATAAAACTCCCAATTTTCCAAATAACTAAACAATGCAGCAGCTCCCACAACATATCCTCCCAACAGTAAAATCATGTTAATAATCTGAGTAGCACCTCTATTAAAGAATGAAAACATTTTCTTTTCCAATGGTGTTAGCTCTGGATTTTTCATATTTGCCTTAATTCTCATCACTTCTTCCAAATCTCGATTTTTAGCTGTTTTGAATGTAATTACAATGGATCTCTTAATGTAGAGCATGACTACAAATATTCCAGTACCGAAAGAGTTCATAATGGCACCTCCTACGAATGAAATCCACATACCCATGAGGGATATTCCTAGAAATCCAAAAAAGACAACCCACAGTTTACCTCCAATAGTAGTTGGTGACATATCTCCGTATCCAATGGTTGATAAGGTAACAATCATGAAATAGACACTGTTTCCATATGTCCATTTAGGATTAAATGGATCAATAGTGACATTGGCATTTCCTGTCGAATTATCAAATGAATATTCATCTAATGTTGAATTCAATAGATTTTCCTTATATGCCAAATAATTCTTATATTCAACATCTTGTTCAATGAACATGACAGCCATAGCACCCAATGCAATGACAGCCATGATTAAGGCAAAGGAAATTAGCAATTTCAAAATATCTTTTGCAAAATCTTTCAGTGATGGCTTTTGAATATATTCCTTTGAAATGTCACCCATCAATTTATCTGAAAATCCATTCAATAATTTCATAAATTTCTTTTCCTTGACTTCATCTGCATCAGAATCCAATTCTGATTGAGTATTATCAAGTGTAGGAGCTTCCTCTTCATTGGAAACTGTTCCAGAGTTGACCAAATCGACTATTACATGTTCTCCCATGAGGTGTTCTTGAGATACTTGTGGAAATTCTCCTTGTTTCTCATCGTTATGACCTATTTCTCCTGTAAATTGTACATCTTGCTCATTATCCATCACATCCTGATCTAGTTCCGCAAGTGCCAACTCACTAACTCGTTGCTCATGCTCTACACCATTCATAAACATGACAAATTCACTATATCCATCAATAAACTCAAACAATCGATCACAAATTCTCAATTTCCTCCTCTCTGCATCATCGCCAAAGTACAATTCCACATAGTGTTGAATCATATTTTCAATATTTCCCGAACTTGTTGAATTGCCAAATAACTGATGAATGACATCCCATGAAACGCTCTTCAACGATGAAGGAGATGCCATTGGTGATACTGCTTCTATCCTTCCTTCATCATTCTCATCATTTTCTAAAGATAATGGTGGTGCTTCAATATAGAAATTACCAGAAAAGTCAACGGAATCGTGTTCTCTTCCACACAATACACAAAAACATTCTCTATTCACTGTTTCCAACACTCTCAATCCATTATCTTCTTCTTCTTCTTGTGGTGATGATGATACAGATGATGATTTATTCCTATTATTTTCCTCTCCATTATCATCATCATGATGCTGCTGTTGTTCTTGTTATGATGAATGTTCCGCTCTTCTAGTTCTATTACATTGCTCATGTCCCCCACCACATGATGTTGTTGTTGTTGGTTTTGTGGTGGACATTTTTCTTCGAGTGACTGTTCGTTGTTGTTGTGATTTTGATGGATGAGCTGTTAATGTGAATTGGGAAGAGCGAAGGATTTTATTGGATTGATGTGTTCAAAACCTTCTTTTGTTACTTTGACATATTTTATGCATGTGAAAAAGTTCAATAATAGTTGTGAAGAATAATTAATGTAAACAATTGCTACAAACAAAAATCAGTTATTTAATTAATTCTTCATTGTCAATTATTCCTCTTTATATTGTAAGATCTATTAATTGTTTCATTTCAGTGAAGTATTTTGTTCCTTCTTCAGTAATAAAATTGTTTCTAATATCAAGTTTGGTCAATTGTTTCAATTCACTAATGTATTTAGCTCCTTCATTACGAATCTTATTGTTATTAATATAGAGATAGATCAATTTCTTCAATTCTCCAATAGGCATAGCTCCTTTATCGCCTAAATGATTAGTTTTAATATCAAGATAGATCAATTGTTTCAATTCACTTAAATATTGAGCTCCTTCATCTCCAATTCTATTATAAGATAAATCAAGACTTTTTAATTGTGCCAATTGACCAAAATATTCAAGTCCTTCATCACCAATATCATTTTTACAAATATCAAGATTTTTCAATTGATTCAATGAACTAATGAATTTAGATCCTTCATTTCCAATACGATTGCTATTAATATGAAGAGTGGTCAATTGTTTCATTTTGCTTACATATTTAGCTCCTTCATCACCAAGCCAATTACTGGAAATATCAAGACAGGTCAATTGTGTTAATTCACTTAAATATTTAGCTCCTTCAGCACCAATATCATTTTCATCAATAGAAAGAGTGGTCAATTGTTTCAATTCACTTATGTATTTAGATCCTTCATTACCAACACGATTGCAAAAAATAATAAGAGTGGTCAATTGTTTCAATTCTCTTAAATGTTTAGCTCCATACTCAGAAATACCATTACTAGGAATACTAAGATAGGTCAATTGTTTCAATTCACTAATATATCGAACTCCCTCATCACCAATATGACTTCCATAAATCGTAAGTTTGGTCAATTGTTTCAATTCACTTATATATTTAACTCCTTCTTCATCATCACATCTAATGATAAGTTTAGTTAATGATTTCATCAAGATTAATTTTCTATAGGTATCCCTTGTGATCACACCAACTTTAAGAGTTGCAATATTCTGTAAAAATCGGCCACTCATTCCACCAACACCACCAAATCTACAATTCAGATTGAGATGATTACATGTTGATAAAATAACATGGAACCACTCTTTGGATACCAATGCACAATTCATGACAATAAATTTAAAATCATCCAAGAAGGACAAAATTTCATAAATAATGTCAGTGGGGAATTTATAATCTTGCGACAGTAAGTTCTCCGTACTTGTTTCTGCTTCTTCTTTGTGTGAAAGTTGGATACACATTGTGTGTTTGTCCATTTTTTTTGATAAATCAGCGGATCAACTTGTCAAGAGTTAACAATCAATATGGCAAAAACGTGGTCTTCATGTACAGCCGCTACAGTATTGTTAGGTTGTTTGGTATTTTAAGAAATAAACAAGTTATCTTTGAACAGCTTCCTCTTCAGAAAGTCCACAACATCCATATTCATACTAGTGATTAAATATTGATGTTGTAACATTATCGTAATCCATTAATTTGGTACCTTGTTGTCAAGCGACTGGCTAATAATTACCATAATTGCAAAAGGTGGTGAGTTCAGTGTTTTTCTATTTTTCCAATTAATTATATTTCAAATATTCCATAAATCTAATACTATCTATTATCAAGAAGCGAGTGATTTGGCGCCAATTTGAAACTGGGTTGGATAAGACAGTTACATTTTACAAATTAAGAAATTACCTAAAATGTAAATTTCAAAAAAATGTACATAAAACCATCAAGATCCTCTTCACAGCTGAACAAACACTTCATATTCCTATTGATTCTCATCATATTGTCCATTTCCTTCATTAATGCACAATCCAAGACAATCATCTTCCTTCCCTTCTGTTCCTCCCTCACAATCTCTCCAACCAGTAAGGTATTGAGCTCCAACTCACTCTCTCTTACAATATCAGCTCCGAACACTCTGTGGTAGGTTTATCATATATTCGGAATGTTAACATTTGTAAATTGTTAAGGTTGCCAAAATCAACAGGCCAATATTATCAATTGAACACCTTGACAGCGAGTGATGCTACTGAACAGATCAAGTCACTAGTCGTTCTGTCTGATCCTAAGGCTGGTGTTGCTAGATCTCCTTCAACTGTTTCTGTTCTATCTGCTTCATCATTTAGTGTTCAATTTACTGGATTGACTAGCAATGCTCGATTCACATTATTAATTGCTTATGGATTTGCTTATTTGGATGTGGAAACTACCAGTTATGTTCAATTAATTATGATATCCTCACAGTCAGTGTATAACTATGCTACAGGAACAGCTCAAATTGAGACATTTGCTTTACAGAACTCGTATGAGAGCTCATTGGGTCAATTTTGTTTATCTAATTTATCTCCATATGCATTGACATATCTTTCTCAAATTGATAATATTCGAAACAATGTATTTTCATCTCCATATCTTCAATCTCAAAAATTAATTCTCAATGGTAAATGGAATGGACAACCAACTTTACAAAAAATTACAGAATTTGTTTCGAATGGATTCACCTATCAATTGAAGAGTAGTATTGATATCCAATTCCAAGAATTAGCAAATACTCAAATCATAATTCCTTTACAATTCAAGAGACATATTGGAGCTGTCTTTGAAAAGATTGATATTGATGATTTCAAGATTAGTGAAAGACCAGCTGATCCGCAAGAATTGGAAAGTCTATTCGAAAGGATACGTCAAGAAACTATCTTTTACAAGGTGAGTCTTGATCCTAATACCGCTCCAGTCTCTCAGGAATATTTAACAGGAGCAGCTGCTGAAACTAATGTTGCCATTCTAATGACCTATGCCTATTACTGGGCAGATTTCTTTGATTGGTATCGTAATCCAATGGTCAGAGTGATAATCAAGGATGGTATTATTGGAATGATTAGTATTTCAGTGGCAGGTCTCAATTATTTCACATGTCCTTATGGTTCTCTTCGTAGTGAGATACAACACTTTACTCAGGGAGACTCCTACCATTCGATTGGTTATTCCTCCATCCATTCGATATACACATTTGCCTATGATCAAAAGAATTGGAAAATCAATACGCAAGTGAATATCAATACTAATGGAATGGTTGCAAATGTTGCCAGCCTGTCAAATTTTGAAAATTCCTTGAGTTGCATTGATGGAAATTTCAAAGTAACCCTCTCGGATAATGTACTAGCAGATTATGAAAGCTTTTTCACTGATAACTATATGATTTCCAAGATTGATACTAGAATGTCCATTCAGTCAATTGAAAATTTTACACTTCTCTACGTTGACGATTTGGGAAGTGAATTCACAGGCCCATTAATTACACCAGAGAGTTTCGTTGGAGATTTGCAATTCAATCCAGGATTTTGTGATGAAACTATTGGTACTGGATTAGGAAATCAATTATCTTACTATTTTTCTTCTAGTGATTTTTCAGTCGAAAGGTTTCCAGAATATTCGACAAGATTGAGCTATGAAAATGGAGTTTCTTATCTTTCAGATACAAATTCTGTTGGTTTAAAGTATTCCAATCATGAATATTTGCAGGATTTCTCCATAGAAATTGATCAATCTATTCTATTATATAAGGAACCCAAAGTTTCATCTGTGAATTTCACATTAATTCCAAATCGTTCAGAATGGAATGAAATGAATGCTACAATTCAAATATTTTCCTTTAACAGTGGGGATTGGGGTGGTGAATTCACTGTTGAATTGACTTGTTCCTATCCAATCATAATTTCCAATAATTCGCCTCAGAAATTCAACGTGGAGCCAGGACAAAACTTTACAGCCTTCTTCACTGTCAAGAGTGATTTCGACTCGTGCAAAACTGTATCCCTCCAATCTGTGTGTGATTTCAAAATTTCCATCAAGAAAGAACAATTGTGGACTAATCTAGAAAAGGAAATTTCTGCCCATGAATCTGTGGCCATAGATTATGGATATTTCATTCCAAGATGTCAAGCCAAATATAATGAACCATTCCTCTGGCTGGAGAATATGACCCTATCCTCTCCATATTTCCAGAGAAGTGCCCATGATGGATTTGTCAACTCAATTCTCGTAGTTTTGAAAACTAATAGTTCAGATTTAATCCTTTCGAATATTGCAAGCGGTCTGTTGGCAGATTCTAATAATCCATTCCACTCATGGAAAGATTACTCAATTATTATGCAACATGCTGAATATTACATGTTGAACTTTACGATTTCAAGCACAAACGTTGCTAGAATTTTAAGTGAACGAGTTGACCAAACGCTTTACACATTCTCCCTCAATTTAACTCTATTAGATAATTATATTTGTTGGTCAACAAATGGAAAAGGAGGAATCTTCCCATTTTCCTTTAGTGTTGCCTACGATTGTCCAATCGAGTATACCGGTATCCAATGTGATATTCCATTATGTTATGGAATTAATGCAACCAATTATACGAACGTATGTTCAGGTCATGGTGATTGTGTATCGCCAGATTATTGTTCCTGTCATGCAAATTACACATCTGCCACCTGTTCTGTTCCTATTTGTTATGGTGTTCGTGGAGATAATTTATCTACTTGCTCATCCAAAGGTTCTTGTATAGATGCTAATACCTGTACCTGTCAGAATGGTTATACAGGTGTCAATTGTGAAATTCCAATTTGTTTCAATGTTCCAGCTAATTTTTCACATTCATGTTATGGACATGGTAACTGCATTGATCATGATCTTTGTTCATGTAATGATGGATACACTGCTTCATTGAATTGTTCACTTCCAATATGTTATGGATTAGATTCTAGTCAGCTAATTGTTTGTTCTTCACATGGACAATGTTTGGCTCCAAATAATTGTTCATGTTTTGATGGTTTTACATTCGATAATTGTTCAATTCCAATTTGTTACAATATTGATGCTTCCAATAGTTCAGTGTGTACTGGATTTGGTGAATGTTATTCTCCAAATAATTGTAAATGTCATGAAAATCATATTGGATTACAATGTGAAATTCCAATTTGTTTTGGAGTTCCATCAAATGAAACTCAGTCGTGTAATGGTAATGGACAATGTATTCAATATAATGAATGTGTGTGTCATTTAGATTATACAGGACTCAATTGCTCCATTCCAATATGTTTTGGAAGTAATGCCACCAACCCAACTGTTTGTTCTTCGCATGGCGTTTGCCAAGCACCAGATCAATGTCAATGTCATGAAGGATATACTGGAATACAATGTGAAATTCCAATTTGTTTCAACATTCCAGCAACCAATTCCAGCACATGTTCATTCCATGGAGAATGTATCGACCATAATCTTTGCACATGTCATGATGGATACACTGCTGCATTGAATTGCTCCCTTCCAATATGTTATGGATTAGATTCTAGTCAATCAATGGTTTGTTCTTCACATGGTCAATGTTTGGCTCCAAATAACTGTACATGTTTTGATGGTTTTACATTCGATAATTGTTCCATTCCAATTTGTTACAACATAGATGCTTCCAATAGTTCAGTATGTAGTGGATTTGGTGAATGTTATTCTCCAAATAATTGTAAATGTCATGAAAATCATATTGGATTACAATGTGAAATTCCAATTTGTTTTGGCGTGCCATCAAATGAAACTCAAGCTTGCAATGGTAACGGACAATGTATTCAATATAACGAGTGTGTGTGCCACTCAGATTATACAGGAATAGACTGTTCAATTCCAATATGTTTTGGAATTAATGCTACTAATCAAAGTCATGTTTGTTTTTCACATGGTATTTGTCAAAAACCAGATCAATGCCAATGTCATGAAGGATATACTGGAATGCAATGTGAAATTCCAATTTGTTTCAATATTCCAGCTATTAATTCCAGCACATGTTCATTCCATGGAGAATGCATTGATTTCAATCATTGTTCTTGTCATGATGGATACACTGCTTCATTGAATTGTTCACTTCCAATATGTTATGGATTGGATTCTAGTCAGCTAATGGTTTGTTCTTCACATGGTCAATGTTTGGCTCCAAATAATTGTTCATGTTATGAAGGATATACAGCTGAAAATTGTTCCATTCCAATTTGTTACAACATTGATGCTTCCAATAGTTCAGTATGTAGTGGATTTGGTGAATGTACTTTTCCAAATAATTGTAAATGTCATGAAAATCATGTTGGATTACAGTGTGAAATTCCACTTTGTTTTGGCGTGCCATCAAATGAAACTCAGTCTTGCAATGGTAATGGACAATGTGTTCAATATAATGAATGTGTGTGTCATTCAAATTATACAGGAATAGATTGCTCAATTCCATTATGTTTCAATATCAATGCCACCAACCCAACTGTTTGTTCTTCGCATGGTATTTGTCAATCACCAGATCAATGCCAATGTCATGAAGGATATACTGGAATGCAATGTGAAATTCCAATTTGTTTCAACATTTCAGCTAATGATTCCAGTACATGTTCATCCCATGGAGAATGTATCGATTTCATGATCTTTCACTGTCATGATGGATACACTTCAGCAAATTGTTCAATTCCAATATGTTATGGATTAGATTCTAGTCAATCAATGGTTTGTTCTTCACATGGACAATGTTTGGCTCCAAATAACTGTACATGTTTTGATGGTTTTACATCTGATAATTGTTCAATTCCAATTTGTTACAACATAGATGCTTCCAATAGTTCAGTATGTAGTGGATTTGGTGAATGTTACTTTTCCAAATAATTGTAAATGTCATGAAAATCATGTTGGATTACAGTGTGAAATTCCACTTTGTTTTGGCGTGCCATCAAATGAAACTCAATCTTGCAATGGTAATGGACAATGTGTTCAATATAATGAATGTGTGTGTCATTCAAATTATACAGGAATAGATTGCTCAATTCCATTATGTTTCAATATCAATGCCACCAACCCAACTGTTTGTTCTTCGCATGGTATTTGTCAATCACCAGATCAATGCCAATGTCATGAAGGATATACTGGAATGCAATGTGAAATTCCAATTTGTTTCAACATTTCAGCTAATGATTCCAGTACATGTTCATCTCATGGAGAATGTATCGATCATGATCTGTTGCACATGTCATGATGGATACACTTCAGAAAATTGTTCAATTCCAATATGTTATGGATTAGATTCCAGTCAGTCAATGGTTTGCTCCTCGCATGGCCAATGCTTAGCTCCAAATAATTGTTCGTGTTTTGAAGGTTTTACATTCGATAATTGTTCCATTCCAATTTGTTACAACATAGACGCCACCAACCAATCAGTATGTAGTGGATTTGGTGAATGTTCTTCTCCAAATAATTGTAAATGTCATGAAAATCATGTGGGATTACAATGTGAAATTCCGCTATGTTTTGGAATTGCATCAAATGAAACTTTGGCATCGTGCAATGGAAACGGCCATTGTTTTGCAGTGGATTCTTGCTCTTGTAATCAAAATTATACTGGAGCCAATTGTTCTATTCCTATTTGCTTTGACTTCAATGCCACCAATTCGAAGGTATGTTCGGGACATGGAAGTTGTTCGAAACCAAACTATTGCGAATGTTTTGAAGGTTATATGGACACCCAATGTGAAACTCCAATTTGTTTTGATATTCCAGCAACTATGAATAATACCTGTTCTGAAAATGGCATTTGCCAAGATTACAATCATTGTAATTGTAGCTCTGGGTTTACTTCTTCAAATTGTTCAATTCCTATTTGTTTCGGTTCGAATGCCACTGACGAAACAGTATGTTCCTCACATGGTCAATGTCTTTCTCCTAATAATTGTTCCTGCAGTGATGGATACATGCATTCAGATTGTTCTCATCCAATTTGTTTCGGGCTTGAATCAACTAATCGAAACTCTTGTTCTACTCATGGCACTTGCATTTCACCAAATTCATGTCAATGTGATGGCAATCATGTAGGTGACATGTGCGAAATTCCACTTTGTTTCAATATCCCGGCCAATCATAACTCAACTTGCAGCTCAAGTGGAAAATGCATTGGTGTGAATTTGTGTGAATGTTATGGAAATTTCACAGGAATGAACTGTTCTGTTCCAATTTGTTTTGATGAGAATTCAACTTCCATTATGAGTTGCTCGTCGAGAGGAAGATGTATTGGACCCAACCTGTGTGAATGTCAAGTTGGATATACTGGTAGCGTTTGTGAGTATCCTGTTTGTTACGGTTTCTATTCGGAAGATGTAAATTCATGTTCAGGACATGGAGAATGTATTGACTATAACAAATGTCAATGTGAAAATGGGTACGTTACTGAGAATTGTTCCATTCCTGTGTGTTTTGGTTTGAATAGTTCAGATTCCAATGTTTGTGCTTCCCATGGCGATTGCTTGTCACCAAATAATTGTTCATGCCATGAAGGATTTACATCAATCAATTGTTCCATTTCAATTTGTTATAATTCACCTGCCACTGACCCATTTGCATGCAATGGAAAAGGAAATTGTGTAAATCCAAATGAATGCGCCTGTCAAGAAGGTAACATAGGATTACAATGTGAGATTCCACTTTGTTTTGGCGTGCCATCAAATGAAACTCAGTCTTGTAGTGGTAATGGAGAATGTATTCAATATAATGAATGTATGTGTCATTCAAATTTTACAGGACTCAATTGTTCCATTCCAATATGTTTTGGTATAAATGCCACTGATCAAAGTCACGTTTGTTTTTCACATGGTATTTGTCAAGAACCAGATCAGTGTCAGTGTCATGAAGGATATACTGGAATACAATGTGAAATTCCAATTTGTTTCAATATTCCAGCAACCAATTCCAGTACCTGTGCATCCAATGGAGTTTGCATTGATTTCAATAATTGTTCTTGTCTTGATGGATACACTTCGGAAAATTGCTCCCTCCCAATATGTTATGAATTGGATTCTGGTAAATCAATGGTTTGTTCTTCACATGGTCAATGTTTGGCTCCAAATAATTGTACATGCCTTGAAAGATTTACATTCGATAATTGCTCCATTCCAATTTGTTACAATATTGATGCTTCAAATAGTTCAGTATGTAGTGGATTTGGTGAATGTTCTTCTCCAAATAATTGCAAATGTCATGAAAATCATATTGGATTACAATGTGAAATTCCACTTTGTTTTGGAATTCCATCAAATGAAACTCAGTCGTGTAATGGTAATGGACAATGTATTCAATATAATGAATGTGTGTGTAATTCAGATTATACAGGAATAGACTGTTCAATTCCAATATGTTTTGGAAGTAATGCCACCAACCTAACTGTTTGTTCTTCGCATGGTATTTGTCAATCACCAGATCAATGTCAATGCCAAGAAGGATACACAGGTACCAACTGTGAAATTCCCATTTGTTTCAACATTCCAGCTAATGATTCCAGTACATGTTCATCCAATGGAGAGTGCATTGATTTCAATAATTGTTCTTGTCATGATGGATACACTTCAGAAAATTGTTCAATTCCAATATGTTTCAATTTGAATAGTACTGATTCTAGTGTTTGTAACTCTAATGGAATTTGTACTTCCCCTGACAAGTGTCAATGCCAAGAAAATTTCACAGGTGAAAATTGCTCAATTCCAATATGTTTCGGATTGGCAGCAAACTCAAGCGGGGCATGCTCCGCATCTGGAAGTTGTGTTTATCCCAATACATGCCTCTGCAACCAAGGAATCATTGGCATTAATTGTGAAATACCTTCCTGTTTTGGAATATTCCAAAATAATAGCCAATCCTGCTCAGGAAATGGAATTTGCATTGAACTGAACAAATGCTCATGCTACCTAAACTTCACAGGTGAATCCTGCTTAATTTCTGCATGTAATGGTATTGCCTCTAATGATAGCTCTGTTTGTTCCGGAAAAGGAAAATGCACAGCTCCAAATCTTTGTGAATCATGTGAGGAAAATTACTTTGGAGAATGGTGTGAAATTTCACAATGTTTTGGAATATTCTCGAATCAGAGTCAAGTTTGTTCTGAAAATGGAAAGTGTGAATCTTACAATAATTGTAATTGCTCAATGGGTTATGTTGGGGAAAATTGTAATATTCCTGTATGCTTTAAAATTAATTCAACCGATGAAAATGTTTGTAATTCTAATGGAATTTGTACTTCTCCTGATTTGTGTTCATGTAATTCCAAATATGGAGGTTTAGAATGTTCAGAACCGAAATGTTTTGGAAAAACAACATTAGAAGGTGCATGCAGCTCGAAAGGTAATTGCACACAACCAGATTCATGTACTTGTGAGAAAGGTTTCTTTGGTATTTCATGTGAATTGCATTCTTGTTTTGGAATTCAATTGAATGATTCGAGTGTGATTTGTTCTGGACATGGTGAATGCAAATCTCTGGACGAATGTGAATGTGACAGTGGTTACTTAGGTGAATCATGCTCCATCCACACCTGTTTTGGGATTACATTCAATGAGAGTGGTGTTTGCAGTGGAAATGGAAGTTGCTCAAGTTTGGACAACTGTACCTGTTATGGAGATGGAAAATTCTATGCAAATTGTACTTTAATTCCAAGTGATTCTCCAATAATTGATAGTGATGTACCTTCGAATCATACAGAAATATCCAATAATTCAAGTTCTTATCCAAATTGCTTTAACATTTCGGCAAATCATTCGAATGTTTGCAATGGAAATGGAAATTGCACAAGTGAAAATGAATGCAAATGCAGAGAGGGATATTTTGGTGGGGAATGTTCTCTATTTGCATGTTTTGGAAAGGAATCAGCTGATTCAAGTGTTTGTTCATCCAATGGAATATGCGCGAGTCCAAATACTTGTAAATGTCGACCAGAAAGATATGGCTCTCAGTGTCAACTTGTCAAATGTTTTGAAATTCTTTCTAATCAGTCCAATGTTTGTTCCAGTAAGGGTTCATGTCAAGATACCAACGCATGCATATGTAATGAGGGCTATTTCGGCCCCATGTGTAATATCACAAGTTGTGAAGGAATTTTGAGTAATAATTCTCAAGTTTGTAATGGAAGTGGACAATGCACTCATTACAACACTTGCCAATGTAAGGAAGGATTCATTGGATTGAACTGCCAATTCACCAAATGCAACTCTACATCGTGTAGGCATGGAAGTTGCATCACTACCTCTCAGTGTGAATGCGAAAGTGGATGGACAAGCTCGGAATGCAATCTTCCTATTTGTTACGATTTGTTGGCAAGTGACTCGAATGTTTGTTCTACACATGGCAAATGTATAGCTCCAAATAAGTGTAACTGCTCCACAAATCCATTGTACATGGGTGATAAGTGCCAATACTTACAATTAGATAGTTTGCAATGTAGTATTAATCCATCACTCAATTTGATACCAATTGAGTGGACAATTTCAGGATTGGATAAAATAACATTTGATATGAGCTCGAAGGAAATACTTGTTAGAAACAGTATCCCATACAGTACATCTCTCCATTCCAAATCAAAATTCAACTACGAGCTCAATATTTACAACACTGGAAAGCGATCTTTCAATTATCAAATTAATTCATTCTGTGAAAATGGAATTTCATTCAAACAATTGGGAATTTCTTCTCAATTCGGATTATTACAAGAAGGAAACAATGCAAATATTAAGGATTTACAAAATATTGGATTTGCTCTCTTTTGGAATGATGAAAGTTTGAAATATGAAGATATTAAATGTCATGTCGAATTAATAGTCAATCCGAAAGATCAATTCGATGAATGTCAACACTACGATTCGAATACTGAAACATCCTCCAAATATAATATTACTCTCATATTGGAACGTACAAATGTTTGTCAATTTTTGAAAGAAACAGATTTACCACTGACCTTTTCAAGCACTCAATTGTCAACCATGAGTGAAATAGCTCTAATTGATGAAAATATTCTTTCAGATAACGATATTCTCAAAATTATTAATACATTCACTCAAAAGAGGAATAACTGGCAAATAATTAATAAGGACAACAGTACTCTTCAAGCTAACATCTTGTTAACTGCCCAGTTGAGTAATCCAAACAATGAATTGGGACTTTTTGTTCCATCTCTGATATGTAAGGATGAAAGAATTGTTGATGACATAGAATTTACCACAGAATATCTTTCCAATCAATCTCCATTCTCCATTTCTCACTCTCTACAAAAGATTCAATTCCAATTCAATGTTACAATTAAGAATGTTTCGAATTATGTTGATTATGGTAGAGTGAGAGGAGGAAAGGAAGGAATGGCAACAGTTCTCATTGAGGACATGCTCCTTAATTGTTCTCTCATTCTCCTACCAAATCCATCTGAGTGTTGGTCCAACACGAATAGAAATTCCACATTCTCCAAATATATCATTTCACACTTTACACTGCCAATTGTTTCTGGTGAATTTTCATTCTTCCAAGCTGTGAGATCCTTCGAAATAGGTATCATTACACTTACCTACACTTGTATGGGCATTGGTTTTGCATCCATGATATGCACGACCAAAGTTCCTCGAGATCGAAAACATTCTCTGCTCCAACTTGTAGAATTTGTCAAGGAAAAGAGAAGAAACAAACTCAACTCTACATCTGATGACTCCAAACCACTCCTAGAGAATCAAATTGATAGGCCATACTGTGAAAATTGTGGTCATCACACTCGGAAGAAAGCTCGTTATGCCATTCGTGTGGAAAATTATGATGCTAATTGCGAAATGTTCATTTGTGAGAATCAGGTATGTTTTGAAGCCATGATCTCTCTCCACAATAGAGGATACTCCCATCACTATCAATGTTTCGACTTGGATAAAGAAGAAGATTGTCAACTCATGATTGAAACACCATTCAAGACACTTGCTGATAATTTTGATGAGTCGGATATTTATGAATCTATGGATATTGAATTTCCAATACCTTCCGATATCAATGATGATGAAGAAGATGACTCTGATTTATTCTAATCTAAATTGTTGGTATTTTTTTAATATAATAAAAAATAACAACTTGTTTTATTTAAATTTTGGCGGGAATGAAGAGTGAACTTGTAAAACCATAAAAAAAAAATGGGTCAACCAATGAATAGACAATTACAGCACACTGGTTTGATATCAGAAAGTGTAAATGAAGTATTCGCATCGGAAGATGAAACTCTCTCGGAAAATGTAACAATTTCTGATCAGAATAACCCTCTATTTGTTTTTGATATATTGTCTGAGATTTTCTCATATTTGGATAATTTTACAGTTTATTTGAGATGTGTATTGGTTTGTAAAACTTGGAGATATTGTGCTTGGCATTTGTTGGATGAATTTAATTTTAGATATGATGATTTGGATTTGTTATTTTATGGGAAAGAGGGAGAACGAATTGCCAAGCAATTTAATCCTTCTCTTGGAAGATCGGAGGCAGTCCGATTGAATAATACTCAAATGTTGGAGTACATGTTGAATTTAATTGTGAGAAATGCTAGATATTTGAAAAAGTTTAATGTTGTTGGAGCACAACAGAATGAGGATATTAAAAAGATGATCAATGATGAGAGAATTGCACTCTTGATGAGATCTTGCTCTGAAAACTTGGAAATGTTGGATTTATCTTCTTGCGATAATTTGAAAGAGGTTTCGTATAGTCAAATACTGAACAAGTGTAGAAAAACTTTGAAATCACTCAAACTCAGATGTAGTTTAAGCATTAGAGATACCTTTGCTAAGGATTATATTTCAACACTGGAATCTTTGGAGTATCTCAATCTTTCGAAATGTTGTTACATTGGACTTTATAGTTTAATACCAATTTCTACCAATTGTACGAAATTGAGAGTTTTGGATGTGTCTGGATGCACGTCATTTTATGGATTTAGCTTTTTAAGGAATTGTACAGTATTGGAAGAGTTACATGTACAAACAACATATTTTTCCTCAGATGATTTCCAATACATTCCAAATTCATTGAAAATTTTGGATGTGCAAAATTGCGAACAAGTGAGAAGGTTGAATCATGTAGCAAACTTGGAACACTTGGAGGAAATCAACCTTTCCTACAATAACATTCAACTTGAAGGAGAGTGGAAGAATCACGTTATGAAATGGAAAATTCTAAAGGCAATTTCAGTACCAGTTGGCTGCGAGTTATTAGACCAAACACCATACTTGAAACATTTAGAAATTGGTTTCCTTGAAGCCTCTGCTAGCATTACAATGCTAAGTGTTCTCAAGAGGTCTCATTCATTCACAGAGGAAGATTCAACAGCCAAGCTCAGCACCAATCTGAAACATTTACTCATAACTGATTCACACCTTACTCACTCTTTTGTTGAAGAATTGAAATACTATTGTCCTTCAATAGTATTAAAAACTCGACGTTGCAATATCTAGTCTTAGACCATTGCCTTTGTTTCATCCATAATAATCATGTTGTGGTTGAAAGTTCAAGAAGAAAAGTGAAAAGAAAAAAATGAGTGAAGAAGAAATTATTGATTTTGGAGGTGATGACCTTTTCCAAGTCGACCCTTCCTACTACAGGCAACCAAAACCAAATCGTGTAGAAATTATTAAAATCGATAATACAGATATTGAAATTAAAGTGAGCATTTTGGGTAAATATTTAATTAGTAGACTTTCGGAAGTTGAAATTCGATTTTTTTAATTTATTTTTTAATTTATTATTATTTTCATCACATTCATCATCACCATATCATCACAAATATTGTATTGATAAATAATAATAGGAGAACACAGTTTATGGGGAAATTACTTGTGGAATTCTGCTAGATGTTTATGCCAATACTTTTACGAAAATCCATCCGCCATTCAAGGTAAAACAGTGATTGAATTAGGAGCTGCAGGAGGTCTTCCAAGTTTAGCTTGTGGCAAACTCGGAGCCAAGAAGGTTATTATTACCGATATTGATGATGGAGATTTAATTCCAAATCTCAAGAGGAATGTTGCATTGAATTTTGATGAAGATAACACTGTGATGGAAGTGAGAGGACATGCTTGGGGTGAAAAATTAGAACAAACATTCGGAAAAGGAGAGGAGAAGGAAACTTTTGATATCATTCTGTTGAGTGACTTGTTGTTCAATCATTTTTGTCATTCTCAATTGTTGGACAGTTGTGAATATTTGTCACATCCTAATACTTTAATTTATGTCGGATATTCGTAAGTAATTGTTAATTTCAAATAATACTTATTGTATAATATTATTATTAATAATAATTAAATAATAATTTTAATAATATTTAGACATCACCGACCTTGGTTGATTAAGGAAGATATGAATTTATTTAAATTGGCCACAGAGAGAGGATTCAAAGTGGAATATGGATTCCAGAGGAAGTATCCACCAATGTTTGAAAATGATCCAGGTGATTATGAAGAAAGATCTACTGTTCATGTTCAAATTATGAGACCACCATCACACAATTAGCTTAATATCTATTAAATATTTTGATCACATGCTTAATGATAACAAGTGATCTTTTGTGTTAAATTCAAGACAAAACAATCCAAGTTAAATACAATGAAAAGTATAATAATACACTATATTTATACAATTTAGTTCAAGAGGGAAGCAACAGATGGGTCTTGAGCCAAAGCTTCAGCAACCTTACTGACAGCAGCATTGATATTTCTGGCATGGTCCAAAGCACCCCAAACGACAATGGTGGTCTTCTTCAACATATGACCACAGACACAAGTCTTTTGAGTAGAATTGGAGACAAATTCAGAGTCATCAGCTCTCATACCCATGAATTTAACACCACCCAAAGTGCAAGAAATTGGAGCACCAGCACTAGTCTTAATAGCATTAGCCAAAGTGGCAGCTTCTTGAGCAGAAACATTCCATTGACCAGCCAAACCCCACATACTTCCATCAGCACCCATCAACAAGACAGCAGAAGCACCAGATTGAGCAAGAGGAGCCAACAAAGCACCTTGAACCCAAGCAGTCCATGGAAGAGAAGCCATTTTTGTATAATAATTAAGGAGGTTGTTTTTTTTAATAAGAAAAAAGTGGTTGAGTGATGATGTGGAGCCTTATTACACAACAATCACAAACAACACTCTCACCTCCGCTGCTCTCACACGCACACTGAGAGAGTTTGTGAAGAACAATATGAACGTTTATTGTCGATTACTGTATCGCTCTTTTATGGCGGGAAACTTGTAGCTTCCTTCAAAATTCGAGCAACTTGATTGGAACCTTAATTGGCTGAAAAGTTTACAATGACGAATATGGTGAATATTGTTAACAAGGGTTTCATAATGGTGAAATATTGTATCGTTAAGAGGGTACTTGACTTTGATTTTTTTAACAGTCAAGTTGACTTTCAGTGTTCTAAGAAATTGTTAACAGTTTACAACAATTTTAATGGATTACAGTATTATCCACTTTCCACATCTTTCTGCAACACTGTATTAATACAGAATAAACCAGCCGAACTCGAACGAAATTACTATGAATTTCATTCAATTTCGTCATCTTGTTGACTTTTTAAGAATCCACTTACATTTTTCTATTAAAAAAAAATGAGCAAACATCTAGAGGGTGAAATTCTCTCACCCTCAACAAGAACATTTTCATCATCACGTGATGATGAACTTGAAACTTTTCATCAACTGCAGCAACGAATTCTTCATCATCATCATGAGGGGAAGAATATTTCATCATCATCGGCACCTTCGGATCATGAAATTAAAATCAAATTGAATACACGAGATGGAGGAAATGAGGATGATGCAGATGATGCACAAATTAAATACTTGATACCTCCTAATGAATTAAACATGCAAGGATCCGAATTATTTATGAAGGCTTCACCCATGTTGGAGGCAATTAGAATGAAGTTTAGACAAGGAAGGGCTGGGGGAAGAAAAAGATATTGTCTCATGCCCTATGATTTGGATTTGACAATGATTACATCACGAATTATTGCAACTTCACTTCCCACTTTGAATTGGTTTGTTGGATATTTTAGAAATGATGCTAGTGTTTTGGCAAAGTTTTTGGAGGAAATGTATGGAAAGGATCATTATATGATTTATAACTTGTCAGAATTCCGATATGAGAAACAAGTTTTTGATGGAAAGGTTGTTGATTTGAATTTTCCTGATCACTATAATCCACCATTGGACTTGTTAATGATGGGTTGCAAGAGTATTCAAGATTGGCTTGCAAGAGATGAGAAAAATGTTGCATTAATTCATTGTGCTGGTGGAAAGGGAAGAACAGGAACATTTATTACTGCCTACTTTTTATATTGGTATGTTTTATTTTACTGTTTTCTTATTCAAATAATAATATGTTTAATATTTTATGTAAAATATTTAAACTGTTTAATTTGCATTTCTAATAGTTCACTTTTCCGTGATGCAATGGATGCACTCATGTATTTTGCTCTGATGAGAATGGAAAAACCTGTCAACCCATTCTCAGTTTGTCAGAATGGTGGTATTAATTCTCCATCTCAAATCAGATACATTACCTACATTCAACATTTGCTGGAAAATAAGTTTGGATCCAAATCTCAACGACACACTACCACTAACCCTCAATCTTACTTGTACAATAATACGATATTCGAGAAGGATAACCTATTCTTGAAAAATCATTGTAACATTCCTGTAAAACAATGTGTTAAATTGGAAAAAATTGTAATAAGAGAAGCTAGTCAACAAATTGTTGACCATGTAAAAGCCAATACATTCTTGTGTGAAATTTGTGAATTGAGAATACACAAGTTTGAAGAGACTCATAGCCCAATTAGAAATACTCTAGATATTGAAGATTATGAAGTTAGAAAGGAGATTTTACTAACTTTTGGTAATGAATTTTGTGAAATTAATGGTAATTTATTGAAATTCAATTTACCGAAATCGGTAGCACTCTCTGGTGATGTCATTATCATTATGAGAATGAAGAATCATATCAAAATGAAAGAGTTTGCTAGAATTGGTTTCCACACTGCATTCCTCATTAATAATAGACTCTCCCTTACCAAGCCTGAAATTGATGGTGTTCACAGAAGAGAGACAGTTGGCTCAGATTTTGGAATGGATTTTTACTTTGAACATTCCAATAATGAAACAATTCAATCCACTACCACTGAATACTCTCTCAATAATCTCTACCAGTTACCAGAGCAACCTGCCACGCTCAGTCCTCATCACGTATTTTTATACGATACTGACTTCCACTTCCCTTATCATTCCTATCTCAAAACTCAGAGTGTTGAGAAAATAGAAACAACAACTATGGAAACTCTCTCCCCATCAGTCATCCACTCTCAACAAGTTGTTCACATCAGACCAATGAAATTCAAAGTCAAATTGGCACCAACCTTACACGAAATGGATCATGCCAAAGGTAAATTCATTTCACTCACCATAACTCTAGGTTAAAACTTACATGTTTGTAAATACGAGATGATATAATCTCTTGATAATTTATTATAAATTAATTTATTTAACAAATTTCGAATATATTCTTTTCGAAATCTTTTTGCTTATACATCGATTGGACCTTGTTGTACATAACCAATATCTTTCAGACTTCTTTGACTTCCATCAAATGAGGAAATTTCCTCCTCTCTCATCATACTCCATGCATTGTTATTCTTGAGAATGACAGAGTATCGACGAAGACTCTTTCTCGTTCTCTTTTCACACAAGGCACAAACAAGGAGAGTGATACACCCCAAAGCACACAAGGAAACAACAATGGTCACTGACAGAACTATATACAAATAGGAGAAGGGTTCTGTTTTCAGAACACCAAACTCCCCATTCAAATAACTGATTTGCTTAATTTCTAAAGTCTCATTTCTTGGCTGTTTACACACAACTTGAATATCAATTACCAAATGTTGATCCTTAGTTGACATGAACGAGGTTGAAAAACTCTTGACTGTTAAATTACTTTGAGGATATTGAGCTTCAATTAATTGTAAAGTTGGTGATACAGATCGTTCATTAATCAAATCATTCATCAATGAATAATCATCACGATTCAGCTCAACACTGGAATCCAAATAATGAATATAACCATGAACTCCCAACAAGTAATCCGACGTTGTGTAAGCATACTTTAAAAACCACTGAGCAACCTGTGAAGTACACTTCCTACAAAACACTCTTATTATATTATTCCTCAATTTCCTATCGAGTGATTGTGCCACCCCTCCACATGATATTTCAAATTGACGAATGTTGGCTACTAAAGTACTTGGATTTAATTCGGTAATGGAGTGAACAGCAATGAGCGTCGAATTGGTAAGGTAGGGAAAACGTATTGATGAAGCAACCAATAATAATTGGGAATTAGAATTGTGTGATGTGATCGATAGGGTTGCATTCAATCTCGGAATGATCAATAGCAATATAAGAATTGCCAAATTTAAAATTAAAATGATTTTCATAATTCAAATCTCTATGTAGAATGGGCTTCAATATTCCCTCAATTTTCAGCATATAATATTAAGGAAGTTGTTCTTCACAAAATTTAAAATCTTTGATTTCCCTCTTCTTGTTGGAGATCTTTTTTTAAGTGGTCTTTGAGCGTAGGAGATTTTCTCAAAGGAATATGAGGAAGAAACAATGGTCCTTAGCATCGCTTTATAATGTCAATGCAATTAAATGTTAATGGCTTAAAAATAGTGAGTTTATTACTCCATCAGAGAATTAATTGCAACCCTTCTTCCCAAATTCACCATTCGTAGCAGTAAACTCAATTCATCATACTATGCCTTGAGAAAGTACGAAAATCGTTTATCGGAGGCTGCAGGACAATTTGTAATTTGAATAAATATTTAATTTTGTGTTCAAAAAAAATACGTAAACGACAAAATGATCTACGATATCCATTCTGACTTGTTCTTGAGATTTGTTAGAAACAAGACTAACCGTGCTCACTTGAAGTATGTATAAAAACATTATGATAGTAATATTTATTCCGTTATATTAAATTCTTCACTATAACTTCATCATGACGTTATTCAATATTAAATAATAATAGGAAGCAAGAAAAGAGAGAAAAGAAGGAAGCTGGTAAGGCTACTGGCGACAAGATGGAAGACGAATAAATTGTCTGAACCCCAATAAAACCTACTCCTCCTAAATTATTTAAATAATATAAAAACTAATTTTAAAATTAATATCTGATTAACGACTAATATCTACAGTACGTGAAGAGAGTTTTCAACGTAGACATACAACAACAAAATTCCTTCTTAGTATTCATCGAAAAAGTAACAATCAATTTATTCCTTCTTGGCTTCTGTGGTAGCTGAAGGAACAACTTCCTTCTTTGTTGGCATGGTAAAGGAGAGTTTACGAACAGAGAGGAATTCCTTGACTTGTTCATCGGTAATCTTCTTTCTTCTCTCTTGATGTTCGGCAACCATCTTTTGCAAGAGGTCAATCAATGCTCCCTTGACTTGACCAGTCAACATCTTACCAGTTGAGTACTTTTCACGAATATCTTCTAATTGGACATCATCTTCCAAGAAGAATTGCAAATATTGATAAGGAACGTCAACAGCCAAGTTAGCTCCATACTTTTCTTGGTCTTCCTTGGTGGCACCACCTCCAGAGAAGGCATGTTTGTTAATCTTATCCTTAATTTGCTTTGGAGTATCTGTCAAGAAGATTGAAGAAGTGTCAGATGAGGATGACATTTTCTTGTTAGCACCTTGCAAAGCAGGGAAGAATTTGGAGTGAATGAGAGCTGGCTTTTGGAAACCCAATTTTGGAGCAACATCTCTTGTCACTCTAAAGTATGGATCTTGATCAATAGCACATGGAATCAAACACATAATATCATTCTTTCTCTTTGTCTTCTTTTGCTTCTTTTTATCTTCAGCTGTTTCTGGGAAAATGTGTGGGAATGAAGTATAGAAGGAAGGAGCAGCTTGAATAGCAGGGAATGAGAATTTACCAATATTATCGGAATCTTCAAAACCAAAAACACCTTTAACTTGACTACAAGTTACAGACTTTTCAATTTCGAGAACAGTTCTATATAAATGTCCCATATAATCCAAATTGGAGAAGATGAAAGTCTTACTCATATCAAAACCACAGGCAATAATATCCTTGGCGTTTTCATAAGTCAAACGATGAGCTTCTTCCAATTCCAACTTTTTCCACAAGAACTTTTCATCATCGGTCATTTGAACTACCAAAGGAACATCAAAAACATCTTGCAAATATTTAGTAAACATGAAAGGAATCAAGTGACCCAAGTGCATTGATTCACTGGATGGTCCTCTACCAGTATATAAATAAAAAGGTTTGCCTTGTTCATAGTAATCCAACAATTTGTGCATATCACGATGTGAGAAGAAAATTCCTCTCTTCAAAAAGTGGTGGACAGGCTTCTTGGTAACACGTTCAATACGTTCTAACAAATCTTCAGAAATTGCTTGAGAACCGAATTGATTAATTAATTTACCATAATCGACACCATCATCACCAGCATCAACATCCCAAGGGGTGACTATTTGTTCCTTCTTTTCTTGTTGTTGTTCAGTGCTTTGTATTGGTTCTTGTGGTTGTTCGGACATTTTTTTGATTTTGAATTTTTAATTATTAATTATTTTTAAATTTTTATTGAAAATATGAGTAATGAGAAAATTTAAGAATAGAACGATGATGAAATAATGGCAAAAGGTGCAAATGTAAAAACGAAGGTTTTGTCTTCCTTCAAATCTCGGAGAGGGACGAATGAAATTGAACAAGGATTTTGCTTGAATTTCAAAATCTATTTTTATGATCAAAGATGAATTGTTTACAATTACATTGAATCTGAATCCTCACCTCTGTGGAGTGTTATCATTGAAGCTTTGTTCTTTTGAGTATGGTTTAAGATTCATTTCTGGGCAGAAGGACTTTTTCTAATAAAATTGTTCTGAGAACATCACATATAATCTTAATCGGAGGATACTTCTTCCTTCATTGCTTGCATTATCCACTGATAAAATTCAATACTGATTGGATCGAGCTTGAGTTTTTCTTGAACCTTCTTGATAAAATCTTCATTCATTTCTCTCGAGTGGAGCATACACTCTGACCATGGCTTATTGAGGAAGGTCATGATTGATTTGCACACTTGGAGTGTACATCCAGCTACTGAGTGGAATGGTAAACATCTGAATAGACCACTGATAGGTGGTTTGGCCAAATAATTAGGAGAAATTCTCAGCACTTTGGCATTTGGATCCCATTCCACTTTACATTTACAAATTTTACACTTTCTATCAACAATAAGGCAAGAGTAAATATCATTGAGATTGATTCTTGAAACTGAACGTTCTTCTGGAGTTGCTGATCTGAATTCACCAATTTCCATAATATTTGCATCCAAAGCTGCCACACTGAGCATTGGTGGAATATTCTTATTCAAGTGCTTGAATACATTCAAAATATCTGGAATGTTAGAAATTTCAAAAGCGAAAAAGTCTCGTATCATGTCAATATTTCCAAGAGGAAATTCCAGAGGGGCCATCTTTTTCTCAACAATCATTTCCATCCTATCCAACCACTCCTTTTGTTTTCCTTTAATAAATGCCATATGAGGGTCATACAATATCTTTTTAAGGAAATCAGCAGTTACCTGATGTGACTTGTTGTGATCTTTAAAGAAGCAATTTACATTAATTTCCGCAGAAAATTTGAAAGCAACTTGTAGAGCATTCATGATGTTTCTACAAAATCTTGGTGCTGTTGTACTCAAAATAATTTCAACAAAACTTCCAATGGTCATTGATGTATCCTCTGCAACAAATCTTGCAACAAACCAAGGATCAAAATCTGTTGGATCATAAATCCAAAACGTTGTATCATCCTTTCTTTCAATATGACTATTGAATGGATTTAATTTGCCAGAGTTTGTAGATGAAGTAGTATCGGATTGTTGAGGTGGTGTTTTGGAAAACATTTCATTAAACTCTGCCAATGATATATCATAATTTACTCCTTTCTTTCTCTTGAGAGGTGGTATATTCTCTCCATTTTCTCCCTTCTTCGGAGTGAGGTGGTTTACATCTTCATGACGAGTGATAAAGATTGAACAGGTCATGTTATTTTTTTTTGAAAATCATAATCGTAGATATTTTTGGAGGGAAACTAGACAAACATGGAACGTATCTAATTATTTCACATATTGTTGTTGAATTACATGATCATGTAATTTCAAATATTATGTTGTTGTTAATTGAATACCAATTGGTAGTGAGCTTGAAATGTAAATGAAGAAACAAACCTTGTTTTTCAAAAAGGAGAAAATTCCTCCATCATTACTAGGAGAGGATTGAGAATTGGCAGAAGAGTGTGAATTACTATTCACTCCCACTTGAGAAATATTTCCATAATGTCCAGGAAGGAAGGAGTAAAGTTTTTCAGACCCTCCTTTTGTGTTATTGATTTCGAATGCTGGAATATCACCATGATTAGTATTGTTGGGTTGAAGGGTATTGAGGGTTGGTATCTTTTTCATATCTTTGGTTTTGGGATTGAGAATAATTTTGAGGTATTCTTTCATTTCCATATTCAAATGTTCAGGGAATATTACATCAAATAATACAACTAGGTTTCCATATTGTCCTTTTTTGCCTTTAATAGGCATTCCTTTTCCAGGGATAGCTTTCTTTTGACCTGGCTGAATGACTTCATCAACCTTGACCACAATTTTTGAATTGTTTTCAATAGAGTCCAGAGTAATATTGAATCCTGTCAGAGCTTCCAATAATGTAATAGTTCTATTAATTAACAAGTCATCTCCACTGTATAGAAATTATCAGAATGTTTAACATAAATAATGCTATTCAAGAAAATAAAACATACACTCTCTGAAATTCCTTATGAGGAATTTGATGAATTTGAAAGATAATATCACCAGTGCTCTTATTTTGCCATTCATCACCTTGATTTTTCAAAACGATACGCTCTCCATCAGCAGTGCCTGGTTCCACATTTACAGTTACAGTATTTACCTCATTCACCAATTTTCTTCCTTTACAAGTGTCACATTTTTTAGTGACATATTGTCCTCTTCCTTCGCAATCCATACAGATGGTAGAGAATTGTTGTACAATATTTCTTGGTAGAGTTCTTCTCATAATTCTTCTACCAGTTCCTTTACATGCCTTACAATAGAAAACATGTTCATTTGAGAATGCTCCAGTGCCATTGCAAGTTCTGCATAGGATTTTCCTCTTTTTGGTAAATTCTCTCTTGCATCCATGATAGAGTTCCTCTAATGTCACTTCAATAGCGATTACCATTTCCTCTTCCGGTTCCTCTGTTGAGGCATTTGGTTTCTGTCCTCCAAATAATGATTGAAAGAATCCAAACTGATTTAGATACATATCGAATGGATTCATAACAGAATCAGTCTGGTCAAAATTCTGACTATTCAATCCAGATTCTCCAAAGGCATCATATTGTTGTCTTTTATCTGGATTTGATAACAATTCGTAGGCTTCAGTAATTTCTTGAAATTTACTTGTAATTTCCGCTTGATTTGCCTTTGGATTTAAATCGGGATGGTATTGTTTTGCCAATTTCCGATAACTTTGTTTAATTTCCTCATCCGAACAATCCTTTTCTATTAATTAATACAAATTAAATTGGCAACATTATAATTATATTAAAATTATTAAATTATTAAATTGTTAAATCGTACCCAATCCGAGAAGCTTGTAGTAATCGTGTTTTGGAGATTTATTTTTACTCATTTTTTTTAAATGTTAATAACAGACTTTAATGATATCACACTGAAATGAAAACGAAAGTATATTCTTCGAAACTCTTTGGTTCTTATTGTAATCAGTGAATAATTATAAATATTAGTTTACTTCATTCTAATGAAAATATTGTACTCTAATCCTTCTTATTTCCTTCAATGTGTTCCTTAGTATACTTTTCGAGACGTTCTTGTTCTTGTTCCTTAGTTTCTTTCACATTAAACCTTTCTTTTCCATCCCAAATATAGGCAATCAGTTTAATACCATCAAATAATCTTCCATGATTTTCACTAATACATGTTCTTGCTGCATGAAGTGTCTTGAAACGAATTTCGACAACACCATCAGGATTTTCAGGGTAGAGTTTGATTTTTTCAATCTTTCCATATTTTTCCATTTCTGGTTTGATTTCATCTTTGAGTTCTGCACCAAAGAGTGGATTTGAAGAGAAATCATCTGGAACAAACATGTGTTTCAAAATGACAGTTCTATCAGATGGTTCTGCAGTCTCAGTGGTAACATCTGGATCATCGGCAAATCCCCAGTGAAGTTTCTTATTTTCCTTCTCCTTAATTTGCTTTCTTCTATTATGGTATTCGAGACTAATGTTGGCATCATAATTTTCTGGCTTGGTAAATTCTGCTCTTGTCACAGTAATGGTTGAACCATCTCCAAACAATGAAGCACCATCAAATAAAGTGATTGCCAAGTCAATGCTCTCCTCTTTTAAAAAGGTAACTCTTGCATCACCCTTCAGAGATCCATCATCATTTCTATACAGCTTGACTTTTGGTTGTTCTGTAAATGGATCAGTTTTTATAATACCACACTTGGAAAATTCATCAATTAACAATTGATTATGGACCTTCTTTTCATCAAGAGGTAGTCCACTAATATAAATCGATGTATTGAATTGAGAATGCCAACCAGGAGCAAAATCATTCTTTCTCTTCTTTTGGTAAGGTTCCCCATTTTCTTGATCCATCATTGATTTTATATTTCCTCTCTTTTCCTTCTTTTCCTTTCTTTCCATTTCCAATTGTTCACGTAATTTTAAAGCCTTTTCCTTCTCCAATCGTTCAAATCTCATCTCATCAGTTTCCTCAAAGTGATAAATTGATTGTTGATTTTCAAATTGTGCCTCCTCTACAAATGGAAGCCAAGCCTGTTGATCTCCATGATAGCAATATTCCAATCCAGTTTCGGGATCAACAAATACCTGTCCATCTTGTATGATACCAGTTGGAAATTTTGTTGTTGAATTTTCTATATTATTATTATTATTAGTACTATTATCTGTTGTTTGTTCTTCTTGATCCGATGACGATGACTGTTTCTCCACCACCACAGCATTAGTCTCACTTGCTGATGTTGTTTCTTCTTGATTTTCCATTTTTTTCAAATTGTTATTATTAATTTTGATGAAGAGCTTGAACATGTAGTTTAATCCCTCATCATCATCGGAATGAATTAATTTATCATCAATTGATTTCCCATCACCATCAAATATTAATTATAATAAAAATTAAATTTGCATCATTAATTTCAAAAATGCAGTAAAACTTCAAAAAAAATTCAATTAATAATTTAAGAATCGGAATGAAGAAGACAACGTTTGTTAGGAAGGGAGCCTCTCTTCAGAGACAACTCCCAACAGGTACCAAACCATCTGTACACAATGGACAATTACTCGTCTCATCAGGTCTTCACGATTTGGATAGTATTATTGGTGGTGGTTTTCCTTTGGGAAGTTTGGTTTTAATTGAAGAGGATCGTTATAGTGAATATTGTCAGAATTTGATGAGGTATTTCCTCTCGGAGGGTGTTACTAATAGACACTCTGTTGTCTGTGGTATTTTCAATCAACAACAAATTGCTCAACAACAAGCATCATCATCATTGCTTCATCCTTCTCTTTCCTCTGTTTTTGCTTTTAATTATTCACGTTTTAAACAAGAACAAGAATTGAAGGAAGAAGAAAAGGAAGCCTCTACTACTGCTCAAACATCTGCTACTTTACCAGAAAAAACCGAAGAACAACAACCAACAAAACCAGCCTCTAATAGTATTATGGATAGATTGAATAGAAAAATTGGAGCCAATGCTGCATCTAATAGTAGTGGAGGTTCTACTACTCAACTCTCTAATTCAACTTCTCAATCAGGAAATGATAGTGAATTGAAAATTGCTTGGAGATATCAAGATTTCGTCGAACAACAAATCAAGGCCAAACAACAACGTGGTACATCATCTTCTGCTAGCTCTGGAGAAAAGAGTGGTGTTATTGGTACTGTTTTGTGTAGTGAATATGATTTGAGTAAGAATATGCAAGAGGAATTAATCAAGGAAAATTTGGATGGTATTCATGTCTTGTTTGATAAGGATGAAATTTTCGAAAGTGACAAGGAAGAAATTAAAATGTTCTACGATGACATACTGAAAAAGATTGCCAATATTATCACAGAGAGTAAGAAGCATTTTGCTTCAACAGCTACTGGAAATGAAATTTCAAGCAGAGCAGTTGTTAGAATTGGATTACAATCACTGGGATCATTGTTCTATAATTCTGGATCCAATACTCACCATCATAATTACATGCTCAGATTCCTTTTACAATTGAAGAGTCTTTTGAGGTCTAGTCTTTCAGTTTGTGTCTGTACAATTCCAAAGGTAGCTCTTCAAATGATGTCATCATCTTTGATTCAACAATTGGAACAATTATCGGATTTATCCATGTCTATTGACAGTTTTACAGGATCTCAATTGGATGTTAGTGATTGGGAATTTAAGGAATATAGTGGACTTTTCTACATTAAGAAACTTTTCAAGATGAACTCTCTGACCTATAATTTCACTCCTGATACTTTGAATTATGCTTTCAAGATTAAGAAGAGAAAAATGTACATTGAAAAGTTGCACCTTCCACCAGAAGAAACCAGAGAAGCCTCAAATCCTGATCGACCAAAGTTCAAAGCTTCCAACGATGTCGAAAGACACAAACTCAAAGTTAACAAGGTTTTGAAGGAAGTTCCATCTGTGAATCAACAAAATGATCAATCACTTCAACAAGCAGATGATCACGTTTTTGGTTGTGCATCTCAGTCAAGTGTGACAGGATCTAATCCATTAGATTTCTAATAAATTAATTTATTGTTTTTCTTTTGTTTGAAAGAATGTTGTTCTCTCTGTTGTTGAATCAATGAGTTCTTCTTCATCCACGTCTTCTTCCCTGGGTTGGTTGATTCAATTTTGCTGAGCTGGAATGTTTGCTAGATGATGTCAATTTACTAGTTGCTGGTAAATTGATTTCTCGTTGTTCTCTCCAATAGCACGAAAATTCTCCAACCAATGTCATGATAATTCCGTGTAAAACAATAAAGACATACCATTCCCAATAAACTGGAAATGCCTTGTAAATGATACAGAAAATCAAATGAATAACATGGAAAGTAATTGTGAAATCCATGCATTTCTTACTACGTCTTACAATCATGAATAGTAAAAATCCACTATTATATTAATCAATCGGAATACATATTAACTCAACAGAAAATTCCAAAATCCTTACCCCACAAAACCATCCAATACCCAAATTCCAATACTAATCCATCCAAACAAACTGAAAACAGAAATGGCCTTATATGAGAATATCTGTTCCAATGTCGGAACGTATCCGAATGGTAAATCCACCACCACACACATTAATACCAATAAAAAATAATTCATCAATTGAATTAATAATATTTGCAAAATAATTAGCCAAGCATCGCTTATCGAACGTCCCAATGATACTTGAAGCATATTTTCATCTACTTGTTTTTATATTTACAATCTAATCCTCTCTTTATACAAAATTTTCTTTTCTCCAACTCTCCGATTATTATTGTCTTTTTGATTATTTACAACTCTGAGTTTTTTAATAATTGACAATAAAATATTTCCTTCTGCTGATGCGTTGAATTGTGTTGTTTTATTTTTTTAAATTAATTTTTTAAAAATAGATTTTGAAATAGAAAAAACATGTCATCAAATGAAAAAACACACAAATCGAATGTCGAGCACCCGTTTTATTTCCCTTAACATATTTTAATAAGGAATCGATACAAATCTTGACTTTTAACATTCATGAGACAGGTATCTTTGAGATGGGAGGCAAATTGAATCGAGTATTCATCAAATTTTCCACAAACCTTCTCAAAGATTTGAATGTGAGTTTTGACACAGCTCAGATCAGCTTGTTCATCTGAGTAACAAGTCTTGGAAGGGTTTAATCTCATCATATCGTCAATGAATTGCTTTCTATACTTTTGAAGTGTTCCTAGATTGAATTGGGTGCTCATTTGGGAGAAGATTAGGTCAGTTCTTGCTTTCTTCTTTAAGAAGGTGTGATATTCGGTTTCGTATCGAACGAATGTTTCCATGGAGGATTCTAACTTGGCCTTTGTCATTCTCTTGATGAGATAATCTTCATAGACAAATCTGGAATTGAGTGGCTTTCTGATTGGATTATTGACCTTTCGTCTTGGTTTTGTTTCATGATAAGTTGAAACATTTCCTTGGAAATAAATCAAAGTTTCATCCTCAAAGGACATGTCACCATATTTACAAACATGTGATGTTGAAGTTTCCTTCAAAACATGATCAAATTGTTCAGCAATAGTTTCCTTTCGAATATCACAAAAATCAGTATCATTCATCCAATTAATCGAATAGCAATCATTCAAATAAGCTCCAAATATATCACTATAATCACATGCATACGATGATTCAAAAGGAGTCGAAGCAGTTTCTGCATAAACATTCAAATTAGCATTCAGTACAGAATTAAACATGCTTCCACTCTCACAAGCTTCCACATAAAACAACACTTGACTATACATTCTCTTCTTATACATATACTGAAGTGTTTCTAATAAATCTTTCGAATGCAATACATTAAATCCAGGGAAAGCCAAAATATTGGTAGCTCCATGATCAGCAAAATAAATGAAAATCCTATCATTTGGTCCACTTTTCAATGTCTTTCCATTTCCTCTAGTGATATTCGAATCTCCTCTGAGAACTGAGAGGAAAACATCAGGTGTAACATCTTCACCTCTATAATCAATAGCTTCCTTTCCAGGATAAACATTGGTGCCATTATATTCATTGATAATGACACCTTTTTGTGGGTTATCATGATTGAAGGCAATGTCATCGAACATGAAGGTGATAATATTTGAAGCAGGAATTCCTCTATCAGTTACAATTTTGTAAGCATGACAAATCTAGAGTTTACAAAAATTGTAAAGTGGCTTAATGAGAAATGAAAAGGTAGATTGAAACTTACATCGGCTTGATGTCTATAGTTAAAGTATCCATTCGAACCTGCTACGAGAATAACCCAATTTTGACCTTTCGGATTTTGAACATTAAATGTTGGATTATTTTTGTTAATATTAAAAGAAGAAACTCTGGAGAGTAAACAGAGAAAGCCAACAATCAACAACACTGAATGTAGTTTAGCTTGCATGATTGATGCTATTATTTTGAAGAATAAAAATCAATTGGAAAGACTATACGAATTCAATTTATAAAAAGAAATGTATTAATCAGCATTCTTTCCAATCTAGGTGTTATTCCTTTTCAAAAATGTAGAATTCAATGAAACATTTTAGGACTATCCAAGTTATTCGAAACATTATCATTTGGCTGATGGATAGTTAGGTTGAAAATAATTCTAAATACAATCATATGTTGCTGTTCTGTTTTGATAGATTGTCATACAAATAAGAACGCTTTTTATTTTGTAAAAGTGCTGATTACAATGCCAAGGGTGTAAGCAATGAAACCAATAATTCCATTTCTTGTTACCGTTATTAGAGAGGAGCATTATGATTAGAATGTGTTAATAACAAAATTTTCAAAACCAATTCATTGGTATTATCAGCTAAAGAGTTAAACTTTGAAATAAATTCTATTAATTGTAGTATATTGCAATTAACAAATGGTTTTCTTTATTCAAATACAAACCAATTATTCCTAGTCCAATTCTTTGAGTTTATCATTCAGTGAATGATTTTCCTCTCCAAAATAGTAATCTTGGTTCTGTTGTACACGTTACCATATAATCCAAAGCATTAATATCCAAGGAAAGAACAGGATATACATCATCTGTTTCACTTGTATCCATTGAATCGTTGGAAGGGAGTGGTGAGTGTTCAAAATTCTTTGTGTTACAATTCAGTTTAGATACTATTGTCTCTGTTTGAATATCCCAAACATAAACATAACCATCTTCACTACATGATAGAATTACATTTTCTTTTGGATGGAAGGTCAAGTTAACACTGAATCGATTATTTACATGTCCTGTATAATTTTTGATATTTCTCACACTAGGTCTTACTTGCCACAATCTTATAATGGCCGGTTCAGTTTCTTTAGACATTGTACTCACCAAGAGATAATTTCCATGTGGTGAGAGTTTAGCACACGAAAGAGGTGGAGCATCATGTGGGTCTTTAAGGATAGTTTTCAGACATTGACCAGTTGTTGTATCCCAAATTCTACAAAAACCATCATAGCTTGAGGTGACCAAAAGTGATCCATCACGTGAAAATGAAACTGATGTTACAGGATCTGAATGAGCTGGCAGCGTACGAAGACATTTTCCTGTCTTGACATCCCACAATCTAACAGTTTCATCATAACTTCCACTGGCAATAATATTACCACTTGGGCTGTAAGCCACACAATATGCAAATTGATTGTGTCCATGTAAAATCATTAATATTTCACCAGTTTCAGATGACCACAACCTTACAGAACCATCATCACTGGCCGAACAAATAAATAGCGAATCTGGACTCCAACAAACATCATTCACTCCTTTAATGTGTCCAACACATTTAACAGTAGGTTCTGGAACTTTAAACTTGTATGCAGTATTAATCACAATATTCGAACTTTTCTTTTCAGTAACATTTGAAAAGTCAACAGTTATACCATTCTTGGAACTGGTTGAAGTTGATGTTTTAGGATTATTATTATTATTATCAGGATTAAACACTCCTGGTGGTGTTTGCCTTGCTAATAATTCTCCACTCACATTTTCAATACTATTCTCATGATCCGATACTTTTGAAATTAAATCCCAAATTTGTATAGTTCCATCAGCCGATCCAGTAGCCAATAAACAGCTATTTGGTGATATTTTAGCTGTGCTAATAGGTTTTGAATGTACTTGTTTAATAACATCGGGAGAGAGGTCATATAAAATTTGAAACTCTACATTTCTAGGTTTAAAAGGCTTGTTATTAGTTGTTGTTCTATTATTATTTCTACTATTATTATTATTACTAGGCACATCTTCATCGTGAATTGTTTTAGAGTGTACGGAATTTTTAATTATGCTTGGTGTTGAATTGCTCAAAACCGATGATGAAGAAGCATGATGTGATGGTGCATCAGCAGACTCTTCATCATCATCAATTATTTTACTCTTTCTTGAAGGTGGAATGGAAGGAGAGGAACGAATGGTTGAGGAAGAACCAGTTTGGCTGCTGCTCATTTTTTTTTGGTTAATTTCCAGCATTTCATTGATATTATATATTTAATAATACTAGTATTATAAACATTACAAAATTAGGAACTAAGCCAAAATCTATGATTGGGATAATTTTAGATTTCAACTCTATAAAAAAATTAATTGTTGAACTCCATCACTGCGCGCACCATGATAGCAAATAATAGCACACACATGAATATCATCAAATCTGATCAATTCGCTCACAAAATTTGTGGTATGAATCAGAGAATGATTAACGTTTTCAGAGCTTCCCGTGATGATCCCACCAAACTCGAACAAAATTTCCTTCTCATGATTGCCAATATTAAGAGGAAAATACTTGGTGGATTAAAGTTGGAAGCATCGGAATCGATCAGTGTTGGCTTTACCTTTGGAAATGTGGCCCAAGTTTTAACGAGTCATAATTTAAATATTCAAGAAAATGATATTGTTGTTTGTTTCCTTTTAGATACTTTGGATATTGATAGTAAGATGGTTACTGCTATTAGAAAATCATCAAAAGTAGTTGATGCAAGTGATAAATCAGCAGTTTGGAATTTACTTTACAAATTCGATGCAACTTCTTTCCAATAATAAAAACAAAAACAAGAATTAAACTAATATTAAACAACAAAATATTTCATTGTAAAATTTAGTGTCATGATATTTAATTTTGTTCACCAACACATCCACATGTACGACATCCTCTCTCATCCAAAAGATAACCATTTTCACAATGTCTAAAACAGTAAAGTTGAGCACAAGCAACTGCTGGTTTACAAGCACAAACTGGACAACCAAGTTCATTAACTTTGAAACCATTTGGACAGTACATTCTACACATTCTCTTATTACAAACACCAGTGACCAATTGTTGAGAAATATCACTCAATGCAACTTCTTCTTCGACACATGTACATGTTTGACAACCTTTAGCGTTTAATTCATAACCGTGACGACAGTAACGAGCACATTTGACCATTGGACAGTTTGCATTTCTTATTTCGTAGGACAAGTTGACCATCATGCTGATGACAACGAGGAATAAACAAATGGCGAGAGTTGTTTTCATTTTTTTTTGATATTATTAGGATTCGTTGTTGAAAGGGAGAGGTCATTACTTATTCGAAATGGTGATGATTATCTTGATGATTATAATAAGTAGTATCTCATGAGATTTGGCATTATAATAATTTGAATGGGTTGTTTATAAAATCATTAGATTCCATTGTACTTGAATCTCAACTTGCAATTTACTAGAAAAATAAATTGTAAACAAAATTGGACAAATCAAGTTGAGAAAATCAAAATGTAAGGGGGCGAGGGGGAATCGAACCCCCGGCCACAGCTTTGGAGGCTGCGATGTTACCATTACACCACCGCCCCTTACCTGTTTATTCTTATAAAATTTCGTTCTTATAATAAACATCCTTAAAGAGATAATTTTATTAAAAATCAACTGATTCCATACTTAAAACTCCTCGACTAATGCAAACTGAGTAAATCTTTGAATTGGTTGAAGCAGCTATTGCACAATCTTCAACACCCTCAATCTTTGATGAAATCTGCTTATTTACCTGCCCTGCACTATTAACCAACACATAATCTTGAATTCTGGAAACTGAAATTCCATTTCCAAGAGCTGCCAATCCATATCCTCTTGTTGCAAAATTATAATTTTTCTGAATTTCAATATTTCCAATATTGTCTGCCTTTGAAGTAATGCCAATTAAATTTGGAATAGCTTTTGCATCAGAGCACACAATTCGAATATCAAACACAAAGTTATTCGAATCTAGTTTGGTCACATTAGCTGTTGGACTTGCACAATTTCCATGTTGTGCCACCCAAGGATTGAACAATATAACAGATTGCTTTCCAAAACTCTTTTCAACATTGATAACACTCAAATAATCACCACCTGAAACTATTGTTTGAACACTTGCAGCTGCTATCCATCCTGGAATTCCCAAATAACTCATTGACACGATGGTATATTCCTGATTGGAAAATATTGGACTAGTTGGTTGACCTGTCAAAACTCTTAATCTAAAAACATAATTTTGACCTCCAATGTAGATCATATCATTTCCATCCCCATATTCATTTGGTACCAGAAGCATGCTACCTGTTTCCATCACTATTCTATTGTTAACTTGCCAAACAATTTCCAAGCTTGACAATTTCACACCAATAATTTGATCGGTTGAAATAATTACTAAAATGTCATGTCTTTCAGAGTATGCAGTATCCCAAACAGATCCATCTTGGAGCATTTTCAAAACTCTGAATTCAGCTTTGAAATTATTCAAAGTGTCAAACTTTACAATAATTGGGAATGTGTAATTGAGTGTCAAAACATTGACATATACTTCAGAAGATGTCAAAATAGATTGTGTTAACTCTGATGCGGATACGGATGCAGGTAACCCTGGAAATTCAGTGATTCTAGTTGAAAGACCAGTTTGTAAATCAACCTGAACTATTTTAACAGCATTTTTCATATCAGAAACTAAACTAAAGGCCTTTCCTTGCTTGGAAGAAAACACAAGTGATTGCTTGAAATCGCCAAAATAAACATCACCACAACCAGCACAAATATTGGCATTCTCCCAATTTGCATGCGATTTGCGAAAATTAAATTTGTTTGTTCTGAACTCATCAAATTTTTGTTGTGGCCATTGGCAGTTGACAAGTGTCAACAAGAGATGGAGAATAACACAAAGCACTAGAGTGTTTTTACTTGCTGACATTTTTTTTCAAGATATTTCAATCTCCTCGCTCTAAATTTTTTGGTCAACTAACAATCAGTTATGAAATGATGGATTTCAAACTCCTAGAACTCAATTTGTTCCACGATTTCTGATTCACTCAATGGAGATGATTAATTTTAATTTTCCATAGTGGAATACACATTGAGGAGTTTTGACGCAATTAACAAGTTTGAATATTGGCTTTAATGGAATTGGATCTAAAGGGGCTGCCCATATAAGTGAGATGAAACTATTGACTGAATTAAATATTGAAACAAATTATATCAAAGATGAGGGAGCTGAATCAATATCTAAATTGAAAAGCTTGACCAATCTTAAGGCAAGGGGAAACGGAATTACAGAAATAGGAGCGAATGCAATCAGTACATTACAAAGATTGAATTGCCTTGATATAAAAGAAAATAGAATAAGATCAGAAGGAGTAATTTCCATTTCCAAGTTGACTCGTTTAACCAAACTTGATATAAGAAATAATGTTGTAACAAATGAAGGACTTGCTTCTATTGATAGGTTAGAACATTTAACAAAGTTAGTTATTACCAACAATAGGATATCTGATGAAGGAGCATTATTTATTAGCAAGTTGAAGCATTTAAACTTTCTTGACATTAGCTCAAATAGTATTTCAGACATTGGTGCAGAATACCTCAGCAAAATGCGCACCCTAACAAGTATTAACGCAAATAGGAATGAAATTGGATCTGATGGGAAAAGATTGCTTTCTAATATGAAAATTTTAGTTTCTTATTCAAAACAAAGAGCAAGCTTATTATAAATTCTACTTTTCTCCAAAATAATTGTAATCCTTTAAATAATCAAAATCAAAATTGGTATTGAATAAAGGAGTCCTATCTCCATCATCTATATGTTCACTTGAATCCGTTTGTTGTTGTCGCAATTCATCCTTACCAATAAACTGATTCAAGAGTTGGAGCAGAATCTTGCTTCTATCATCAAGATTGCAAAAGTTCTGTAAATCATTCATTGTCTTGATTGATTTAATGTCCTTTCCTAACTTTCTCATAAATATTTCAAACTTTTTTGAATCATTTCCATCGCCTTCTTCATCTTGTGAGCCACTTTCATTGGTTGTTTTATTCTTTTTAGATGGTTGACCCACAATGAGTGGTAATTCACCAGATGGTGAGAATGGTGATTCACACATTTCTCTTCTCTTCTTTTCATTATCAATCATTCGAGAAAAAACTGTCATGCCATTCAAAATATGCATCTTAGCATTCTTATCAGCACCACCACTATTTGTGAGTACAATTATTCCAATCATGAAATTGCTGTACACTGATGAAATCTTCACCTTCTTGAATATGTCAAACTTGATGACATTTCTAGTTTTCTTTCCTTTCATACTTTCAGTGCTAAAGAGAGTCAACTTGTTAGGTTCATCTAATTGGAAAATGTAGGCAAATATCGAGTTTTGAGGCTCCTCCACACCATAAAACAAATTGCTCAACAAGTCGACACTAATTCTATATCGAATAGTTTTTCGATGTTTAAGAATTTTGGTATCGAAAGTTTCCTCATCAATATCAGTCTCCACTGAGAATGCATCCTTTGAGTTGTGAGCAACGAATGGCCCTTCATGAAAGCTTCCTCCTCTCAATTCATTCAGTAAAACATCTCTGGCCAAGGGATGGACAGTAATCACATCTGTGGCCACAAGAGGAAGACCATAAGAAAACTTTTTAAATTGCATATTAATGGAGCACTCGACCTTTCTATTCCTCACAATAGGAGTGGTCAATACGCTTTGATGATTCAATAGACTTTCTAAATTTTTGCTCATTGTGATCACAGAAATTGATTTGTTTTTGTTTTTTTTGTTTTTTTTTGTTTTTATTTCTTAATTTTTTGTATTGTTGCAGAGTTTATTGCATCACTTTGGTGTAACACTGAATCACACAACACTTTTCATGCAAGAGAAGTTGAGAATTCACCATTACCACGGAGAGCAAATAATCATGTATTGGTGATGAGATGTTAAGGTTGCAGATACAAATAATTTCTATCTTGCTAATAATTGTTTTCTAATTTTTAATTAAAAATACAAAAAAATGATAGAAAGTAAAGAAACAAAAAACATCCAACAAACAACAACAAAAACTCAAAAAGAAAACCTATCAAATTTCCTTCTCCTATTAAAACAGGGAGACATTGCCAGAGTTTCCGAAATATTTCATCATGATGATCAATTTAAAAAAAGCCTTGATGAAGATGATTTCAAAGAGTTTGGTAAAATTGCTGCCCAAAACAATTATTCAGACTTGGTTGAATTAATATTCAATGAATGGAGATTGTTGGAAACTACTGAAATTCGTCCAATCAAAGATATTGTTTTCCTTCTTGATGTTCTTATGGAGGCTTGTGAACATTCGAGTGTGGATGTGGTTAAATTCGTTCTCCCACGTATGGATACTCCCTATAGATCTCAAGTCGATTTGGTAAAGTTTATTTCTCCAATCTATTTGGGAATTACGAATTTGGATATTGTTAAATTGTATTATGAAAAGTTTGATGTGAATCAAAGTTGTTATGTCATGTCAGAAGATATGTTTAATACTGAATATGAGATTTTCCCATTGTCTCATGCAGTGGAAATGGATGCAGAGTTGAGTATTGTGAAATATTTACTTGATAAGGGAGCTAAGGTTAATGAATCGAGTGGCAGATTGTTTTATACAGCCCTATATTATGCATGTTTGGTGAGAAATGAGGAAACTACCAAGTTATTATTGAAATATGGAGCTGATCCTCAATATGTCTTGGATACAAACAGTGAAAAGGTGATAGACTTTCTTTCGAATATTTTGGAAAATTTGAAAATAATAGAAGAAACGAAGGTGGAATTCCATGACAACCTGCAACAAAATATTTCATTAACAGATATTCAGATTTTATTTACAAATTAAAATAATTGACATTTACCATTCCAAAGATCTTTTGGATAGAGATTTCAAAGTTGGACTATTTTCAGAGTAGAATTGCGAATACCATCTTCTAAATTGACCTATTGGTCCATCAGTTCTCACCAACACTGGCTTTGGAAGATAGGTTTTGGTATTCCAAATTGGAATGTCTTGTTCCACAAAGGAGGTCATCAAGATTAAAAACCACTTGGCAAAGAATCTAGGAATATACCAAGGAACATAGAGAACATGTTCAACATGTTGATGAAGAGGGCCAACTGGAGTTACGGTCTGAACGAGATCAAACTTTCCTAAAATTGTAGAAAACTCAAACATGACCAAACCAGGTCCATATTGACCTCCCTTTACATCCACAACACTGAATGGAATTTTCAACCTATCATTCATGGCAGTTGAAACGTGTTGAACTTGAAAGTAAGCCACATGGGAATCTTCCTTCTTTTCACCTTTTTGCCACTTGGCTCCCCAAATATTCCACACAAATCCAAAAGTATTTCTCATTTCTCTATGGACAACATTTAAATGATTGGCATCTGGTCCATTCTCTGGAATTTCCTGAATATGACAATAGATGTGATGAGCAATCTTTCCATGTGTGAAGAGATTTTGTCTTACTGATGGTGGTTGCCAATGAGGTTCACGACCCTCTGCATCAAACCACAAATAGACGTTATCATTTCTTTCAATAATTGTATAACTCTTGGTGTGGGCTTGTGATGGAATGCCATCTCTATGTTCACACTCTTCCACTTGTTCACAAGATTCAGCCAATTTTCCACTCTTGTTTTTTGCAATATCAAGAGTTGAATCTTGAACAGATAGCTCACTTTTGAATTGACCATTCTTTTTCAAAATTGGCATTGGAAGTGGAGAATCACCAACGGAAACACATTTTCCCTCTCCATTGAATGACCAATGATGAAATGGACATGTCAAACATTCACCATTGACACTTCCCAATGACAGATTAGCTCCCAAATGAGTACAGTAAGCATCGATAGCATGAACTGTTTTGGAATGTTGAGCTCTATAGACAGCTAGTTCTAGACCTAACATGCTCTTGTAGATTACTTGTCCAGGGGAAAGATCCCATGAATTGCAGATTTTGAACCATCCATTTGGATAAACTGGTGGAAAGTCACCAATTCTCTTTCTACTCTTGGAAGCCAAGAAGGAAGTTCTGGTGGATGGTTTCATTTCGGAAAGTTTAGGTTCAAGATCAATGAATCTATCAAGAGGATGAAAGAATGAAGAGTAAACTTCCGAAATCAAACTCTTTAATAATTTCCATACAATTGCAAGCACAATAATTGAAACTCCCAATATGCAAATGTTATTAAAGCTTGTAATATTTTCCACATCAATTGATTGATAAATTTTGGAAAGTGACTGATGGAAGAGAGTTTCGTCTTGCATTTTGTTTTTTTAATGTTTTTGAAAGCTTATATCCCTTCACTCGGCCATTGCTTTACAACGATAGGAAGTCCTACTTTACAATGTGTTGAGGAGTTACGATAAGATCTATAAAAGGAACAGTAAAATCCTGTACATTACAATGAAAAATAATTAACTTCTGACCCCTCTTCATTGTTCCTTGAAATTCAACTTGATATTGAACTTTAACACTTGACAATATCAACTTCCAACTTCCCAAGCAAGCTCTACAAAAAAAATGTCTCAAAACCTTCTCACGGCTGCCACTACCATGAACAATCACGAAGAAGAGCTTGAAGTTCCAGGCTTTTCATGGATTATAGAATCGGAATTGGCTGGTATGAAATTTCCATCCCTTCCCGAACATTACAAAAATTTAAATCATCATCACATTGGTTTGGTGATTTGTGTGAATGAGAGGGTAGCTTCCTTTGTTGAACAATTACCTCATTCAGAATATTTTAATTTAATTTCTAAAAAATTACAAAAAATAGAAAATTGTGAAGAATTTACTTATAATGTTGGAAAATTGAATATTGCTCATTTTCCTATTAATGATTATGGAGTTCCTAATATGGAATTAATGAATGAAATGATAAAATTGGTAGAATATGTGAGAAAGGTGGATTCGAACAGGGGAATTGTTGTGCATTGCATGGCTGGACTTTCTAGGACTGGAATGATTCTGGCATGTTTGTTGGTGAGAGTATGGAAAATGACATTTGAGGAGTCAATCAAGTTGGTCAATCAGAAGAGAGGAAGAAATGGTAGAGGAGTAATGACTAGCAAGCAAGAAGCATTTGTGGAAGATTTTTCAAAGACTATTCCTAATATTCAATAAGATTACTATTTTTAAATACTATTTCGAATCTTACTAATTAAGAGCTAAAAATTTACTTCTTGAATGCGTCGACCGGGAATTGAAATTTCCTTTTTTGGAATTCATTTAACTTTTAATTTTATGATGAAATTATGAATGTTTTATTTTAATATTATTCATGATGTGAAACATCATGTTGAATTCTGTTCATAATATTTAATTCATGATGTGAAACATCATGTTGAATTATTAACAAATGTTGTTCTTCAATTTTTAATTGAATGTTGTTCTTTCATTGAATGTTGGAAATATTGGAAAGTTGGAAATAAAAGTTGGAAGTTAGGTAACGGGTTATGGAATTACCTAATGTGGAAATTGAATTCAATTTTGAAATTGAATTAATACAATGTTTTTTAAATTATTATTATTTAAATGTATTTCACACATTAATTTTGATAATGTAATATTAAAGATATTGATAATTGGGTATAGGGAAACGGAATTTCCTAATTGGGAGTCATCACACAATAAATTAAATTTATTATTTATTCATTGATGATGTTCACAAACTTTGAATTAACATATTACATGATGAATCAATTACAAAATTAACATCACTATTATTCTGGGGGCAAAATGAACATTAACCATCGGGTAACGGAAATTGACACATATACCACTTAATTAACAAATTGAATATTAACCATCGGGTAACGGATTTTAATACATGTATTAGTATGTTGATAATTGGTCGACGCACAGAAATTTAAATAAACAGAATTAACAAGAATAAAAGCAAAATCCTACATAAGAGTTGGAGAACGGGAAATGAAATTCCCAAATTGAGAAACACAACATGCACAATCACAATAATTCATACTATCAAAATGAATTGAACCCGGGTCACGGCGATGGCAACGCCGTATTCTACCACTAAACCATCGACGCTTCTTATTAAGGTACTAAGGCTCATCAAATTTTATTCAAAATGATGTTTTACTAACCAGATTTTTTACAGAAAATCCATTCCAATCCTTCATACAAATTACTCTCATTATCCGAATGTAGCACCACCATCGTATTCTCCTTCTCATATTCTTGCTCCATAAACTTCTCCACAAATTGTTTAGCCTCCAATGCACGTACTATATGGTCATTGGTTCTGTGATCCGAATAAATAACAAATAAAATAGGTCGAAAATTCTTCTTCTTTTCAGGAGGAATGAAAAAATAATCATTTTGCCTTTCCACACTATCATCACATTTTGCACGTTTTATCATGTCTTTCAATGAAAACATATAGCCATCGAATACTTGTTCAACAGTTTGTGGCCACAATGAATGAATTCTAATCCAAATCACAAGTGCATCTCCTCCTTTAATATAATTCGGATACAAGTATTTAATATGAGTATATTTGGAAACATCTCGATCTTCAATAAAGAAATTTTTAAATTCTGTTTTATAGATTCGAGATTCTTCTTTTATCGGAGAATGTTCATCTGTGATGTGATTTGATTCATAGAGCAGTTTAGCAATTTCCTTATATCCTTCTGCAGATACTCCAGAAAAGGAAAAGACAAAAAACTTTTTCTGTGGTCGCCCTACATAATCATAGATTGAATATAAAAATCGATAGATACTTGATGAATAGAGCATCTGATCAAATTGTTCCAGCAGATCACTAAAATCCATCATTTTTTTAATATTTTTAATTTTAAATAAAATATTAATCAAATACTCTCATGCTCTACTTTGCTTTGGTTCTCTCTAAGTGTCATTCTATTTCTGATCATGAAAATTAAATGTTGAAAAATAGAGTTGATGGTAATGGTTGTAAAATCAGATTCAATTTTAAAATGGCGCCTAAATTTTGAATATTTGTTACAATAAAACTGTGAGCCAATCAAAAAGTACCAATTCAGAAGTTCTGGGATAGTTGCTGATGGTTGTGCAACACGCGCTAAAAATCCGTGCTCGACTGGAGATTTTGAAAAATGCCTCAACAAACATTTATAATGTCAAATGATAACAGTCAACTGTCCAGTATGTTAAAAAAAACAACAACATTAAATAATGAATAAGATTACTCTCTGTATTCTCTTTGCTTTGGTTGTCTTGGTTGCTCTCGTTAGTGCCCAACAACAAGAAGAACAATCCCCAGCTCAACTTTTGAGAAGTATTGCTCGTAGATTGTACCCAAATTCTTCTGATCGTCAAATTGCCAAGAAATTGTTCCCAGGTATTAGAAAGTTGAAGAAACCAAGCACTGATAAGTTGCTTAGTTTGATTTCTGCTTTGAGTGATTCCCAATCTTTCGATTGTGCTAGATATTGTGCTGGAAGTACTGGAGACTACAAGGTTTCTTGCTACCAACATTGTCAACGTTATAATTTGTAATTTGGTCGTTGACAAAGTAGTATCAACATTTTGGCAAATTCATCATCATTCGAATAAAGTTTAGAATTTCGTCAACTACAAAACATCTATTGATAATTTCGGAACAGGGATTCACATGCACAATATTTTGAAATACAACATTACAAGCACTACTGAATTCAAATTCATACATGTATTTTAAGAATTGATTATTTATTGACACAACAATATTTAATGAAAACTTTCAATTCAAAGAGAAACTATCCATGGTTTAATAAGTATAATATCACTACTTCAAATACTCTCATATAAAGTAGAACAAAAGCCACACAACTAACATGCAATTTCTTTAATATCTGCTAATAAAAAGCCATGCATTTGGTTCTTTACCAGTTATAACACAAACATCCCCAGACTCAATTTTAGGGAATCTATCCACAAGATGTTGGTTAGACAATTCTGAAAATTTTGAATATCCTCTAAATTCAGCATTTGTTTTCTTGTAAAAATCCTCTTCCACTTCATGAATCCTATCCCACAACTCTTCACTAATATGGATTGGAGCAACAACATGCCAGAATGGCGAATTAGTAATTGTCTTGGCATTGTATTCCATTTGTTGCTTTTTTCTCATCTTTGGATCTGTGCTTTGTAAGTTTTGTTTGAATTTTTCGTTAAAGGTTGAAATTAATTCTTCCATAGATTGAGCTTTTACAATTTGCACTCTATTCAAAATTGATTCCTTCAAATGTGAATCTTCCTTATCTAGTAGAGAACTGATCATTTCGAAATTGACTTCATTGGCAGGAATTGTAGATTTCTTCAAACTATTTCTTCCCTTGATTGTAATGGTACTTCCTTCCAACTCTTGTTTTCCAATTGATACTACAAGTGAAACTCCTTTACTCTCCCACTGATAGAACTTTTCCACATTCTTGGTTGCATATCTCATATCGGCATGAACTCTAAAACCAAATGATTTGAGTTTCTTCTCCATGCTCCTCACATTCTCATACAATATATTGGTATCACAAGATTTACTGAGCATTGGAACAATAACTATTTGATACTTGTTCATGGTAGAGTGCAGTCTCAACCCCTTGTCATCTGAGCATGAAGCTGCACAAGCTCCAAGAATTCTAGAAGATATATTGCCACAAGTTTGAAAAATTGGCTGAACAAATATTTGAGATCAATACATGTTGTGAAAAATGTGAATAACTTACAGAAGTGAAATTATCTTGTTTCAATCTATACACGATATTGTACACATCTGAAAATATCCTTCCATAATACTTTCATTAAATGAAACAAATTAAAGTAGAATTCACTTGAAACAACTTACATTAGTTCTTGCAATATTTACACTAGTATTTACAAAAGGTAGACTCACATCAAACACAATGGCTTGTTTACAATGTGAGAATGCCTTCCAAGGGAAGAGATGATAGCTAATACCATTCCACAAATTACAAACATTCAATAGAACTGGAAGGTAAACTCTATTCCACATTATGTCATTCATATAAGAAAGAGCATTCTCCTCTGATTCGTGACAGGTATGAATTTCATGCTGATATTGCTCCTTATTTCCATAAAACAATGGCAATTGAATTCCCTCATCACTCATTACTTGTTGAAAATTCTTTGTCTTACAAATCACCTTATATGGTAACTGAATATAACTCCTTATAATATTCTTAAGGTATGGGAAGATAGCCCACTCACTATTTGGTTTCAAATAAACATTTGGATAATTAAACTTCATTTCATAATCCTCATAAATATATCCTCTACTAAGTGAAAACAATTTAGGATCCATCACATGTTGAAATGCATTGACATTGAATAATGAATTTGTTTCCTTAACCTCTTCCATTATACTATCAACTTCAACTTGTGATGATTCATTCCACTCTGGTTCTTCATAATCATCAAATCTAACCAATGGATCAGCACCCAATTCCATCATGGCCGAATTATTATTATTACTATTATTCATCAATTGTTGTTGATATTCTTCACCATCTTCCTGTTGTTGACTTCTTGGATTTGGATTACTATTTGATAAGGGTTGATCTCTCAAACTAACCAGCATGGGTAAATCAATCCTCTCCAATTTCTTCTCTTCTATGGCTCCGATCATTGTCTTTTGTGAGGAGGTTATTCCTTCATCCTTATTAGAGGAGGAATCTTGATCGGAAGAGGTTTTCAGAATTTCATCAATTAATTTGGCCTTTTCCAAAGCTTCCTCCTCATCAAATCTTTCATCCACTTTGCCAAATAATTTATCCATCAATTCAAGTGCCTGTTCCTTCCAAATGATGTGTCCATCGAGTGAGTATCGTTCATCCACAAAATTCAAAATCATTGGAGAGGTACTCCACTCCTGAAGCCAAGCTTGAAATTGTGTTAGCTCGACGGTGGTTATTCCTTGAGAAGACATTTTTTTTTAATTGATTTGAAAGTGAAGAATGCACTTGTGAAATTGATATTGTAAAGTTAGTTTGGATTGTGGTGATTATAGAGATTCATGACATGCACTTTCGAATAAATGCATTAGGTGTCTTATAGGGGATATTTTGAAAAAATTACACCTTGAGTGAAAAGGATTATCAAGAATAAGCCTTCCTAAAACTTTCTTATAAAACCATTGTCGACAACTAATAAGAGAAATCATTTTGGCGATCAATTTTCACATGTCACCAAAATTTAAATCAAAAAAACAAATCAAAAAAAATGTCATCAGCAATCCTCTCCCGTTTAGAAACCTGTGTAACTCGCTTGCAAAAAATCAATCCAAAATCATCTTCTGGTGGTAGTTCTTCATCATCAAGCGATGCTGCTCCTCAAGTTGTTGCCTATGAAGAATATTACAATGATAATATTGTTCCATTGTTGGAAACCATGACAAAGATTGGAGGTGAAACTGCTCAAATGGTTAGTTTCTTCTTTTCAATGTTCAATATTTAATCTTCATCACATTTTCATGTTATTATTCGAATGTTAATATACTATTGTATTATTATTTTGTAAATATTATAGAAAGATGCTGTTGAACAAGGATTCAAGGGATTAGGTAAAGTCATTGCTTTGGCTTCCACTCATCGTAAACCATCAAGTAATTATGACGAAACTATTGGTCAAATTCTTCAAAACAGTGGAATTGGACAAGCTTTGCAAACAACTGCTGATTTCCGTTTCAAGAATTTCAAATCAACTCAAGTTAATCATTTATATGCCATTGAAGAAGGTTTGAAGGTTGTTTTGTGGCCAACTACCAATACTACTATTTCCTATGTTAAGGTATGTTTTAATTATTTTAACATCAAATATCTGATATTTGGTTTTCATTCATCACAAATTTACTTTTCACTTTGGTCTATTCTATCTATTTATGTGAATGATTTTGTTGAATATTGGATTTATATCTGAAAAATATATTAGGAAATGGTTAATGCAGTTTCATTCTATACAATGAAGGTTTTGACCTCAACAAAGACTAATAGTGATGCTGAAGTTCACAAGGCCTATGTCAACCAATGGAAAACATTGATTGAAGCCATGTCTGTTTATGTGAAGGAATTCCACATGACTGGATTGACTTTTAATCCAAAGGCTGCTCAAGAAGCTAAATAAATTGTACATTATGTTGTTTTAATAAAGTCAATTATGACTTCCCCAAAAGAAAGTATTTCTCATCTTTTGTAATTTTTCTAATGCACCACTACATGTTCTTCCAATTTCTGTTTGTGTATCATTAATTCGTCTTAAAATAGAGTACATGTTTAGTATTTCCTCCGTTATATCACCAATAACTTTCATGTCTACATATAATTGATCGAACCACTTTCTGGCCTTTTCCTTGTTGATATTATTTTCTTCATCGTTCTTTAATATTGAAGTCATGTAAATGGATGTCAGGGACACCAGATAGGGTGGATATTTTAGAACCACCTCCGAATAGAAGCTATCATTCACAATATTCCAACAAATCTGATACAGAGATTTATCAAGTTCTGCATCCTTTACATAGGTCATGAGGGAAGTATGAGAGTGAAAAACTGTTAAATTAAAATTCAATTGTTCCATTAAATATAATTCACATTCCAAAATTTGTTGTAGTGGGTAAGGAAAAAGTGTGGTAACATCCTTTGTATCATAATTTTGTGATGATGGTGTTTCCTTCCCCAAACATATTTGATGTATATTCTTAGCATTGAGTGGACATTCTTCGATTTTACTTGCCAACAACAATGCTGCAGCTCCCAGCAAGGCAGGATCACAATCGGAAATACTATTCTGACAATAAAATCGTTTAAAATACACCATTGCTGTTGAAACTACTCTCAGATGGCCACCCACTTTCTTTCCAATATCTTTTAAATTTTTAATAGTACTCATCAAAATTAATTGTTTTTCCAAGGGAGAAAATTGTGCATCGGGATCGGATGTATCAAGCTGCTGAAGGGATGTTTGTGGTTGATTCGAAGAAGCTTGCTGCTGTTGTTTTTTAGATAATTGTGTTTGTATCCATTTGCTAATCATGTCATTATTTCCAATAGTAATAATAATAATATTAATAATACAATAATGTTGTTTGTTATGACGATGATGGCCAACAAAATATTCAACACAATAGTAGAACATCAACAATACATCACACACGAGAAAATAAAAACACTTCTCCTCCGATAATGTAATTTTTGATTTCTACTTACTATTGTGATGAAACCCAATAATTGTCCATTTTTTTGTATTTTTAGAATTATTAATAAATAGTATTATCATTTGTAAATTCTTATTGTTAACGTTAACAAGATTTGTTGTTATTGATCAATGATCATGAAATTGTTGATTTATTCCGAATACTACTACTCTATCTTTTTGAATTTTTCATTATTGAATGGTCAAAAGTTAGGTGATAAAAACTTGAAATTAATGGTTAATGATGGTGATTATTTATTCTTACCTAAAGAAAATGGTTTGATTTCCTGTGTTTCGGAAACAGCTGTAGAAAATTTGGCAGTCTTGGGCTTGATCATATATCCTCTTAATGATTCCCTTAATGAATTTTTGGTTAATTTCTACAATTTTTTCTATGAGATTTGCAAATTGTATGAATGCTAATTCAATTGGAGTTTGTTCTCTAACGAAGAAATTGACCTTCTTATGATTACCATACATATCTATTAATGTTTGATTCTTCAAAAGCATTTGAAAAAAAAAATGAAGAGAAAATATGAAGAAGATTTGCCACAAGAACAACATGATGAAGAAGTTTCCGTGTTGGCAACCCAAGAGGAGGAAGGAGTAATTTCATTACAAACACAATCATTGGAATCGACGTCGGAAGAGTTTCCAATTGTTGCCACTCAAGAGTTTGAGCAAAGTGCTCAACAACAATCTTTGAATACTCAGGATAGTTCGAGCCAAGTAGGAGATGTTATTAGTGGATTACAAACACAATCGGAAGTCGTTGAGAAGACTAGTAAGAAGTGGAAGTTTGAAAATAATTCAACAAGCAAGGATTCTAGCTTTGGAAATTATAAGAATTATTATTCATACAGGTACAATGATGTGAATGCTGCCAAACCAAAGGAAGATAGGCACTTGATTGATCCAAGATTGGAAATAATTTCAAATTGTTTAACGAATTACTTCAAAAATTCCACGGAGTCACCAATTAACCTCAATTGTTTAGATATTGGATGTAATCAAGGGTTATTTTCAATGCAAATGGCTGACTTTTATGAATCCCAACTTGGTGTAAAGGCTGAGAAAGAAATTTCCTTGAAAAATATGAATGCAATCGATATTGATTCAGTACTAATTAGAAAAGCAAAGGATCATTTAATTAATTTGAAGAGATTCAATGCTACAGAGAAGGATCAAGATGAGGACGACAAACTTGGCATGAGTGTTCATACTTATGTGGCTTTACATCGAGCAGAGACTCCAGAGGAAAAGGAAGAGAAAATTTTCATCTGGAGAAATAATAGAAAATTATTGAAAGAACATTTGGACAATTCTGTGAATATTTGCCACAAATCCTACATGAATACTCTAATCGATAAGGTACATTTCAAGGTGCAGAATTTCGTAGAAGAAATTGTAGAAACAAAGATTTCTGACTTAACAATTGAAAAGATGCAGGAAATTATTTCAAAATCAACAAACAAGACTCAGGCCACATTTAATATCATTTCTTGCTTGAGTGTAACAAAATGGGTTCACCTTAATTATGGAGATAATTCTGTAAAATTCCTATTCCACAAAATTCACAAGCTACTCAAGCCTGGAGGAATATTCATTTTAGAACCTCAACACTGGAAAAGCTACACAAAAAAGAGAGAACTCAACTCTAAAATTCAGGAAAACTTTAAACACATCAAATTCAGACCAACAAGCTTTCACGATTATTTGTTGAAGGAAGTTGGCTTTACTTCTAGTGAAACCTTTTTCATTGATGAAAATTCCACTGAGACACCAACAGGAAACAAGGAAAATGAAAAAAAGAAGAAGAAGGGATTTAAGAAACGTCCAATAGTTTTTTACTATCGTTGAGATCAATAGATAGTTCTGCAGTTTCATTTCACGGATGAATGTTAGTAAAGATGATAATCAAGATGAAGAAATGAATTAAAATTAGGAAATGGTTAATTTTTTTCTTCTAGAAGGAAGAATTATTGAGAGAATTGAATCAAATCTTTAGAAATTAAAGTGTGACACTACTCAAAGAGTTGCTGCTTTATTGAAATAAGTGACCAATATAAGACATGAAACTTTCATACTTAATACCATGAGCAAATTTTCAATATGAATGTGAAGGGGATGTAGCTCACATGGTAGAGCGCTTCTTTAGCATGGAAGAGGTACGGGGATCGATACCCCGCATCTCCACTCAGTATTTTTAAAGTTTGGAGTTTTTTGAATTCTCCAGCAAAAAGAAGAAACTTCCTAGATCTCCTTCTTTACTTTCTGAAAATAATTCCTCAGAAAGAATAGCACGAATAAATCCACTCAAATACAAAGAATGGACCAGGGAAGCAATTTACTTAATATTATGCTCTAAAGATGAGAATGGAGGTGCTGGTTTAACTGAAGATGAAGCAAAACAATTATTTAATGCTGGTTTTACAGCTACTGCAATTAGAGCAATTGTCAACAGACTTTTAGAATCACATGATAAATCATTTGGTATTAGTTATGTGATTGATAATGCCTTAAAGTACTTTCCAAATATTTCACGTAATTTAATTGGCAAAGTTGTTGATTGGGTAGAAAGGGTTATAGTGAAACCAATGGAAAGACCTAAAACTCTCCTCCAATTAATCATAAAATCACAACAAAAACAGATCTCTGACGGTTCAGAGGAGGACATGAAGAAATGTGTCGATCAATACGGAGAAGCAAATTCAACTCTCTTGAAAGAAAACCCAACTAAAAACTTAAAGTTTGAAGATTGGCCAAATTTTAAACAAGAATTACTGAATGCAACAACTATTCCTTCTTCAGGTGTTAAATTTGGACACCCTGCTTTTGGTAAAAACTTTAGATCATGTGAATTACCTTTAAACGGTGACAAATTTGCCAAACAAGAGCTACCTTACTTTTCTCAATTCCATTACAAAATGGAAAAAGATGATGAATTATTTAAAAAACTTGAAGAAAAACATAGAAGTTCCATAATGTTTTTGGGTCCATCTGGTTGTGGAAAGACAACCATTAGATTACTATCTAAAAATCCAGGAATGATTTTAACTTGCACTAGTCATGCTGAATCATCAAGTGGTTTAACAACTGAATATTGATTTATATTTTAAAATTAATTCAAAATGCAAGAGAAAATCCATTTGTTTTACTTTATTTGGGGAATACTTCCATATTTGGCAAACATGCAATTAAATGGTAATACTGGGGCAAGTGGTGAAGCGTTTACCAAGTTTTATGTTCAATACACATTCACGCCTTCTAGTATTTTAATTAAAATTTCTCAAGTATTAATTGGAGAAATTATTCAAACCTAAAATAATAATTCTACCTTATTTGGAATTCAAAATCCAATTGAAAAATTCATAGCTGTCATTGATGAAGCAAATGTTTATTCACTGTATGTATTAATTTTCAAATTTCTCTAGAATATCTCTCTAACAACAAACAGTTCACTCACAGATTCGTCCAATCTTTCACATTTAATAGGATTAAATGGTACGAAAGGAGGTCTATTAACAATCCTAACACAAGCTATTGTAAACAATAATTTCTTTCACATGTCTTTATTCTGTGGAACCAATTTTTCGGCAGAATTTGGCAACACTTTTATTCAATCAGCACGTGTTGATAAAACAAAAGCAAAGATTGAAAATTATTATGACTTTGGAGTAATTGCCGATAGAGATTTATTTTCATTCCTTCAAAAACACATTAGAATGAACAAGAAGGAACAACGAAATTTAGAACAATTCATTTATGAAAATGATTTTAAATATTTTAGAAGAAGATTATTTACATTGGCTTTGGAAGAATTGGAAAAAATCAAAGATGAAAGAAGTAACAATGATAAAAAATTGGTCATTGCATTCAAGAAATCAATTGAGACATGTTTACAATATGTTTGTAATGTTATGGTAAAGAAATATTTTGGCAATTACACAACCGTAACACCAACAGAACCAGAACCTTTCAATACACTTCAAGAAGGTATTAAGGAAGCTCTTGTTAATTATATTGCACACTATAAGTTTCCTTTTTTAGGATCAACCTTTAAGATTGAGAATAATGCTGTTGCTGATGCCTTATTATATTCTGCATTCTCTGGTCCAGAAAATTATGAAGATAAGTGTTATTCGTTCTCTGCAAAAGACTTTTTGGGCGTTGAGTGTGCTTTTGTTCTCGATATGATTATTAATACTAAACTTTATAACAAGGAGTGTCAAATATGTAACAAGGAGAAGGAAATATGTTATTAGTTCAAAGATTGAACTGATTAAGCGAACAGATTCTTATATCAATATGGAACATATTATGATCAGTAGATTGGTAAAAAAATGGAATGAACAATAAACAATATTTGATTACACATCTGAGAAGTATTACAAACTTTGAACAAGTTGTTTTTGTAAACTAGCAAATAACAATTGAAATAGAATTGATTTGGATTCAAATCTTATTGAAGATGGAATTTATTAATTGGTTTTTATTAAAGCTCTGATAAGCCCATCGATAATCGCACCAACTTTCTCAATTTTCCATAAAATTGGTCTAATTTTTCAGAATCAATACTGTTGGCATCTGTTGCTGAATAGAATTGTTCTTCTCGCTGTCTGATATATGCAGATACATTATATCTAAGGAGAAGTCTGTCAGATTCATCAAGTGACTCTTCTTCATCTGAGTCAGAGGTTGAAAGTGTTGAATATGTTGAACAACCATTACCAATTAAATGTTTGAGGTTTTTCAATAATAAAAAGAAAGATGCATCTCTAACTCCCCATATGACCAATAAACTTGGTAAGATACATAATGAAATAGCAATTAGAGCTACCAAATAAAACAATGAATAATCTCCCAATACTAGGAAAACTCTCCACAATCTTCCTTCCAAATGTCCCAAATTTCCTCCCAAAAACGACATGCTATTAACAATAAGGAATACACAAATACTTAATCCCATTATAACAGTTGATAATCTCAGATTTAGTAAAGAAGGGGATGGTTTTTGAGTGATACCAGGATGGAATTTTACATGATTACACCTTTCCATTATCATAACTGTTAGATATTGTACAGAAACAATAATAAAAATCATCAAACTATTAATATGCTCCAAATCATTTTTAAATTTCCCAAATCTAGATATTTCAATATTTAGAGAATTTTCATGAAAATTTTGAGGTCTACTCAAAATATTGGCTCCATAATAACCAATTCCAAAGCAAGTGAATAATACAATAATAAAACCTTGATAGGCAGCATTCAAAAACCATAAAAATAAGCTGGTTTGTGTTAAGGTTTCTCCTCTTCTGGAGGATCTGTATAGCTCTGGAATCTTTTCTAGAGCCATATCAGAAACTTCAAATGAATGTCCATTATTAGCACTTCCCAATTTAAGTGAAGCTGGAGTAATGTACCGTATTAAATCTCCAATTCTCACATCCCCCATAGAAAATGCAAATGGCACAACACTAGTATAAAGGATGTTATAAAAAACCAGAGAATGGGATTGTAAAATAGTATTTCCACTGAAATAGGTGAAAAGTAAATTATAAACAAGCTGGCATGCAGCCAAAACAACTGATTTGTACATGGTGTACTGTGAAATGAGAGCCAATCTCTTGTAACTGTTTCTTCCATGCACAAGTAAGAGACGTTTCAACATACTAAATCTTGGAATGCCAAAATCAGCTGCTCTAACAGCCTGTAAATGTTCTGACTCTGTATTGACCTCTTGATGAGTTTCTTGATCTATTTTGGCACTCGAACTGATACCAATACCAACATCTGCCTCTAGAATCATGTTACAATCATTTCCACCATCTCCAATAGCCAAACAAATTGGAGAGGAGAGCGATTGAAGTCTATTGTTGGAATCTTCTGAGGAGAGCGGATATTTAATGAGTCTGACAATCTTTCCTTTCAATTTGGGAGTCATTCTGCAGCTAACACATGCATTCACTGATTTGCAAAGCTTTAAAAAAGTTGAAACATTCTCCAAATCTGTTGACTCTTGTTCATCCAATATGAAATTCAATACTCTTCCTTCAAATACTAAACATTTGAAAATATTAGATTCCAATTCATCGTATTTTTCTGAAATTATTCTCAGAGAATCTCTAACAGAGGAGAAGGAATTTCCTTTCAGATGGGATATATCGATTAAATCTTGATGTAATGAAGGAACCAGATGACAGGCATGAGCAATTTGTACAGCTGTTTCCATCTTGTCACCTGTGAGCATCCAAATAGAGATTCCAGCCTCTCTCAAGCTATCAATACACTCACCAACTCCTTCTTGAAGTTTATCTTCCATAGCAGTGGCTCCATGTAACAGAAACTCCTTCTCTATTGAATCGACAATTGGTTGTTGTTCTCCTTCTTCCATTTGTGAAATTGTTTCCAGGAAAGTGGTGACTTCCTCCATAGCAAGCTCTTTACCAGCCATAAGCATTACTCTAAGTCCTTCTTTCGAGGCAAGATTCTGAATGTGACTCAAGGTTTCTTGTAGTATTTCAGCATTTGCTTGATTGTTCATCCTCTCACAAATAACATCATCTGCTCCCTTACAGAAAATATAATATTTACACTGGTTTGGATCGTCAGATATTCTTTTTACAATTATGGACATTCTTCTTCTATCTGAAGTGAAGTGAATTACTTTCAATATATTATATTCCTCCAAAGTAAAATTATTAGCATCTGAATGGATTCTCAAAATCATTCTTTCCTCATCTCTGTAATTTAAAACAACTCCTTGATATGCTGCATATTTGACAAAGGCATCCTCTTCGGGCGAGCTCGATCTGTAATGTGGCAAGAAGGATCCACTTGTTGAATTGTCGCAATAAACTGTATGGCAAAGGGCCAAATTTCTCAGGAAGGACAATGTGCTCTCTGTAAAATTACATTGCTCATTGAGGAAACCAATTTTGTGAGTATTTATGCTGGTAGGATGATGAGAAACTGAGGCATCAACAACCTTTCCATCAACAATAACTCTAGAGAGTGTCAATAAATTCTCTGTTAGGGTACCTGTCTTGTCACTGAAAATGTAATCTATTTGACCCAAGTCCTCTGCTACAGAAGTATTGGATGCACTAGTTCTATTCCCCTGAGCATCACATAAAAGGTCATCTTTTGGTATGAAAAACATTGAGATAATGTACTTGGCTACATCTGACGTGATTTTCAAAGATTGTGGAATCATTAGAGAGCATAACATGGTAAATCTCAGAGGTATGATTAGGTAAGGCAATATCTTTTCAGCAAAATATTCAAGCACATCAAGAATGTAGTAACCAGTGACAAGCTTGGAATGTTGAAAATCTACGGCCGTATTAAGATAAAACATATTCTTTCCATTATTAAAATAGAGATAATTGCCAATTAATCCAAAGGCCAATCCAATAGAAAACTGGACAATAAAAATTCCAACTACTACATGGTTGATAAAGTTATCCATCTTGGTCCATTTCATTTCAACTTCCTTTCTATTCATTCCAATTTTTGTTTCATTTCCAGTATAAATTACTACAGCCAAAGCAGATGCGGTACTTTTCAATGTTGTGCCTTGTAATAGTAAATTATTAGATGTGACTGAAAACCTGTCCATTCTATTCTTGTAGGGTACGATTATTTCACCTTTGAAATGATCCAAATCTGCATTAGGAGCATTACATTCAATAATACATGAAAAGTCATTTACCATTGATACTTCACTTTCACCACTGGAGGTAGTTAAAAGTTTCTGGATTGCACCAATAGATTTCTTCTCCTTGTAGTGAGATTCTCCATCGAGAGCACTTGTTTCCACCCAGGCAATACCACCTGTTACTGTGGAAAAGCCTTCTTTTTTCAGGACATTGCTTGAATGAATGAGAACCATATCAGCTCTAATCTGTTCATCATCTTGCAGATAGACAATATCTCCTGCTTGTAGTTGATAGGAAGGAATTGTTTCAGTTTTTCCATGTCTGATAATTGTCACTAATTTGCTATTAATTTCAGAGTCCTTCTGATATCTAAACAAATCATCCACTAGCTCCTTAGCTACTCCGACTGTCACGACCAATATTAAGGGAATCCACGTCGTACTTTAAAATTATGTTAAGAATGTTTCTAACTTTTTGAACTCTTATACTCACATTGGATTAGTTGGACTGGCAGCTTTCCAAAACTGAAGACAGGCCAATGCCAAAAAGTACTGATTCATTCTTAATGAAAATTGAGCACTAATACTCTTCCACAAGAAGTTGTACCATCTATACTTAGTATTACTAATTGTATTGTCAGAATATCTGGGATAATTAAAATTTCGTTCTCTTGAAAATTCTTTCCTTATTTGAATGGCTTCAGTCAATTCCTGTAAAGAATGGTATTGTTCAGAAAAGATAAATTTCCAAAAGTAATCAATTAATTCTTGCCAAAACCTTTCGAACATGGCTCTACTTTGAAACATTCCCAGTGCTGTTCTATATACAGATGCTGTTGCATGACCAGTGCTGGAATTTGCTGATGAAGTCGAAGACCTATCGTCCAATAATACAATTTGTGAATATTCATTACATGAACAACTCGAATAAATTAAAGATCCAACTATATAAATTACATTCTTTACACAAATATTAACCAAAATATTTGTGACTTGATAAATTATTAAACATATTAAACTTGTTATATACATTAACATTGTTTTTTGCTTGGCAAATGATTTTGCAAAATTTACAATTCTTCTTCTACCATTATTTACAGAGGGAGCAATTACCTGATCATGATAATGTTCATGTATCAGCTGTTCCCTCTCAAAACAATGTGATTCTACATTTCCATAAATTATTCTTCGTTTTCCTTTTTGTTCCGAATCAAATTCCTCCATAACAAGTACTGACGATGGTTGTATTTGTTCATAATCATCAGAATAATTAATATTTGACTCATCGCCATTGTTAGAAATTTCCTCTTCCTGATAATAGGCAATCTCTCCTCCTGATAATGATGAAGATGGACTTGACACCTCTTTCATAGTAGATGAACGATCTTTTCCATCATCCCGATCATCTTCCAATGTTTTACTATTATTTATTGTTGATGATGTTAATGTTGATGGATAACTATTCTCATCATCGTCATTGTTGGATGATTTCCATCCTCCTTTACTGGCTGCCACTGATGTTCGAGAGAGAATGGTTCCTCCACCATTTGTATTCATTTTTTTTAATTTCACTTCTAAAATTGGGTATTAATGGGTTGTGCTTGGAATTAATAATTTAATGTATAATTTAATATTAAATTAAATTGTATTATTTATTGGTTGATTTGAGTGAAACTAATTTTTGAAAATTAATTTTCAATTAATATTAATGTTGTGTTCGAATATTTATATCACTAAGTTTATAATCTGGATATGTAGTTTCCACATCGAGGACTTGATTTTTTAATCTTTCCTTAAAAAGCTATTCAATAATTAAATTAATTTTCCAAAAATAGAAATTTTAAAAACACGTACAGCAATGTTTCCCATAAACTTATCAAGCAATATCAAGACATCATCATGCCCATGAAAATAAGCTCTTCTCCTAGGTGTGTGGCCTTCCTTATTTTTCACATCAACCTTAATCTTTGGATGATACAATAACAAGGCAACAATATTGAAATATCCCTCACCACAACAATAGTGAAGTGGTGTATTTCCGAGTGAGTCCTTTACATTTACTGGTACACCTCTTGATATTCCATATTTTACAGTCTCTATATTTCCCCATTGACAAGCATGATGCAAGATATTTCTATTCATCTATATTTTCCGATCATATTAATTAATAATTATTAAAATAATAATCAATTTCCATTATCACAATTATCACAATATATATAAACCAATCCACTCCAAAAAAGAGTTCAGAATACATACATGATCCTTTACATTAGCCTTCTCCTTCTTATCCAAAATTTCCTTCACATATTCAGGTTTTCCCAACAACCCTGCACAATGAAAAAAGTATTCATCAATAGCCATTCCTAAATTATTTTCTAAACTACTACCACTACCACTACTAACATTACTCCCGTTAACGTTCTTATTTTTGTTGCTTTTTGGTGACGAAGATGATGAAGAGTTATCATTGTTCCCGCCAGCAGTGTTGTTGTTCGTTGTGGATAACCATAAATTTTGGCGGGAAGAATCAGAGAGGGAATTGTGACTTGAGGAAGAAGTAGTGTTGTTGTTGTTATTGGTCTTGTCCTTCTTTCGGAGGGAATCTAATAATTTTCGAAATAATGTCATGTTAACGATGAAAGGTTTCTTTTTTTTTTGCTTTTACATTTGACATGTGGCAAAAGTTGGTGTCAACAGTTCACCAAACCTTACATTTCAAATAATTAATGGTCATACCAGATTTGAATAGAGTTTTGTAACTTTTTCGATTAATCTCTTACACTTTAAGGGAGGAGACATATCTATAACAAAAATATTCGAAAGTTAACGAAACCTTGTAAATTTATTACCTGGGTTGACAAGCAGACATGCAATGAAGTGTTGCAATATCCAGCTGTCTCAATCCTCAAAAAAATAAATGTTTACTGTGAGTGAGGGTAATCGTCAACTAATAGAATGAAAGAATTTGGAGACGGAATTAATTTCTCTTTGTTGGAAACTAGAAACGAAACTTTACCTTCATCAAATAGCTCTGTTTATTGTTATGAAATATTATTCGAATTGGGATCTTTGAGTAGGGATAATTCGGAATATCAGTATGGCCTCTGTCCAGATACTTGGGTAACTTTAGGAGTTTCGTCTAGTTTACTACTACTTTATTTGATTATCTTGCTTACAAGCATTGTAGGAATTGCAAAATTTTGGAACGAGGGACATATTCGAGCAAGAAGTCCAATACAAATGATCTTGACTCTAACTGCAACCACTATTTGTGTTGTATTGGCATGTTCTAGAATGATTGCTGGCAGGAGATTATTTCCATGCGGTTTATACTTGTTGGGATGTTTAATATTCCCTCAATTAACGATTATTCCATCATGCATTCGATGTATAAGAATGTATCTCTTGTATATCTTAAATTTGAAAAAGACGAAACTGGTCGAACTCAAACGAACTGCATCCATGTATCTAGGTTCTCGACCCAAAGATCATGAATTCTCAGAACCAAACTCACCAACCTCTCCAGTTCCTCCAACTTTTAGTCCTGATTTTCAAACCCTCAATTCGTTAAATTCCGTTACAACGACCATTGATGAGGTATTTGTTGTGAATATTGAGAATGAAGATGCTGATTCAAAGATTGAGGATGGTGATATGTTTTCTAGTCCAAGATCAGATGATAAAATGATATCGAGTTATTCCTTGGCATCACATCTCACTTCTACAGAAGGTTTTACAATGGAAGATAATGTTATACGAAAGGTTGATTCTCCACCTAGGAAAGATTCCAAGAAGGTAGATTTTGAGGCTTTCACCATTGAGTCAACCACAATCGATTGTAAGCAAATGGACAAGATTGAAAATCAACTCGAGGAGCAACACTCTGGAGTTTTCGTTCGAAAATATCAGAAACACATCAACATCCTCTCCTTCATGGTCAGCTACAAGATGTCCATTCCAATTTACATTTTCTTTCTTGGAATGCATATTGTCTTGTATTTCATTCTGGGTGGAGTTGAAAGCTATTTCCAATCAACACAGAATCAAGAAATATTCCTTCGACCTGGTGGAGATTTTTTCCTGTTCAGTCATGGGTGTGGAATGTCCTTGAATTATTCCATTATTTTGGTCTCACTCATGGCAATCTACATATTCGCAGAGATTTGTTGCTTAATTTTGAGTTTTTTCGGTGATAAGGACACATGGAATATCAAGAGAGAAACCATTGCCTTAATTATTGTTCAAATATTGTGTGCCACGTATTTTATTATTGGAATGTCAGTGCCAATACTGATTGGAATGGTCGAGTTTTTTGTTCCATCCTCAATGGCTTTTGTGGTCATGTCCATATGTGAAGTATTCATTACGGTGTTTCTTCCGGTTGTGTACAGTTTCTTACAACATATCCGAAAGAAAAAGAGTAGTATGGAAAATAATTCATCTGATTTGTGTTTTATTCTGGCGAGAAAGAGAAGTTTTAAAATATTTCTCGACTTTGCACGGAGGAGTTTTTGTCCAGAAGCTGTCATTTGCTATGAACACATTCAACATTATAAGAAATGTTCGAAAAGAAATCGAAAGAAAGTTGCGAATAAGATATTAGAAACTTATTTAAGGTTGGGAAGTCCACTCGAGCTCAATTATCCCAATTTACAACGACTTTATGATGATTTGGAGATTAAAATCAATTCGAATGAAATACCAGAAAGTAATTTATTTGATCAAGTGGTATTTCATTGCCTTCAAGATATGAAAGAGTTATTCGAAAGGTTTAAGAATCAAAGTAAGGAAGCAAGAGATATTCTCGCTGCAAGAAAAAAGACAGAAACTAACAGCAATTCAATCACATAACCTCTTCATTATCTTGTGAATATTTCAAAACACTCAATTTGGATTTTCATTGATGAAACATTCAACGCTCCCTCCAATTCACTAAACTTTTCATTTTACAACAATTTTACAAAACTGTTCACAATTATTTCGAATATTCGAAACTCACAAAAAAACTCAATTTACTTTTTTGAGCAGCCAAAGGTCATCGCCCCTTGTCTCATTGGAACGTCTCATTCAATAACATCCTAATTAAAATTCGTTAAAAAAATTGAGTTCATTGCTTTTGTGATAACATGAAGAATAGCACCAAGTTGTTAATTTGTCAAATAATAACGTCATCCATAGTGGCCTTTGTCATGTTTGTTGTTTGGATTGGTGTTTTCTTTGGTGAAACCTATCGTAAGTTTTAATGTTATGATGATGATATTGACCTTTCGTATAAACAAATAGCCGAAATTAGAGTGAAAGAAACTTTCCTTGCCTCTACTTGTAATGTTGTAGGTAGATCAGTCGTATCATCTAAATGTTGTACCAAAGACTGTTCCTATTGTAGCTATTGCCAAAGTGGTGATAGTTGCTCATCCTTGGCTGTAACCTTGGCCATCAATTCGACATCAGGTTGTTGTGATGGTTACAAGTGTTGTGATACATGTTGCGATAAATGTCAGACATGTACTGGTTCTGGCTCTTCAAAATCATGTTATTATCGTGATTGTAATTGTAGATGTTGCAGTAGTGTGCAGAATTTGCAATGTACTTTGACATGTAAGGAATGTTGGACACCAACTGTTACTATGGAATATCAAACAATAACCAATAGCACTGTACAAGCCAAGATCTCTAAGAGCTGTAACACTGATTACACTTGTGTTGATAATTATTTGTCACTTTATCAACTCAATCAAACTTCACAATGTTTTTACAATCCACAAAATACTCAAGAATTGGCAACTTCGAATGAATATACTCCACACAAATTTGGAATAATGTATACATTCGCTGCATTGACTATTATTTCAGTTATTTGGTTGTTGATTGTCTTGTTTATTTCATTGGGTTTATGTTTACATAAGAATGGTTTCATCAAGATTGAATTTACTAGAAATGGAAGTTCAGGAAGCACTAGTGCTTATCATGATGCCACTGCCACTACTACCACAATTGAAACAACGACAACTAAACCAGTTGAAAAATCTTATGCAACTTCCACACAATCCATAACTTTAGACCAAGCAAAAGATGATTCTCATAATAATGAAGTTTATCAACCACCTGTTGTTGCTCAACCAGTTGCTGCTACTGTTGGAGGAAATGGTTTCTATGAACCAACTGGAAATGAACCAGTCAGTCAACCAGGTGTTAGTACTTTGCCATATCCACCAACTAATGATTTCAATCCTTATCAACCATTCAATCCTAATGCTAATTACAATCCAAATGCAGACAATAATCAATATATTTCTTATGGACCTACTAATTAACAAGTTATCAAATAGGAATTTATACAACTCAACTTTAGAAACTAGGTTTTTATCTATTGGTTAAACGGCCAATTGAATATCATCAAATTACAATATTACTGGTAATTAAAAATAAATTAAATCTCTCAAATTATCTAAATATCATCTGATTCATACTAAAATCAAGAGATTTCTAAAATAGTCGTTTGTTCAAGTCAACTTTTACATTGGGTGTACTGATGAACTTGCAACTTTAGTTGTACGAATTATCAAAAAGTATAATATTAAAGTTCACAAATCAAAAAAAAATGTCACCTCCTATAGTCGTGATTGACTGTGGATCAACAATGTGCAAGGCAGGTTTTGCCGGAGAAGAAGCACCTATATCAACATTCCCTTCCGTTGTTGAATATCGAAAGACGAAATCAATCATGCTCAACCAAAGGGAGAGAGTTGGGGATAGAGTATTCTCCCAGATTGGTGTAACTTGGGCCAAGCTTCCCATCGAACGTGGCACAATTGTGGATTGGGATGGCATGGAGAAGGTGTGGTATTACACATTTCATGATGAATTGAGAGTTGATCCTGAGAGCAATGGTGTGCTATTGACAGAGAGTGTGTTGAATGACGATACAGCTCGTGAAAAGACAACACAGATCATGTTTGAAAAGTTTAATGTGCCCTCGTTGAATCTTGAAAATCAGGCAGTCTTGTCATTGGTTGCTTGTGATTGCCAAACTGGTGTTGTGTTGGAGAGTGGAGGTGGAATTACACAATCTGTTCCAATTTATGAAGGACGTGCCATTAAAGATGCAGTTTCTAGATTGGAATTGGGTGGAGAGGATTTGTCTGATTTGTTACATCAGATTCTAAACGAAAAGGGTAAAGTGACAAGGTATTTTGAAGAGATGTACTATGGGGCAGAAACTAGAAGTGGACGTTGTATTTTGGAGAGTAATGGTAAGAAGGTAAATACGAATGAGAGACAGATGTCTGCAGAAATTAAGAAAAGTTGTTACGTTGCTTTGGATTTTGAAGAGGAGCTTAAACAATTCGATTCGAAAGATTATGAATTACCAGATGGAAACATGATCACGATTGAAAGTGAAAGATTCAGATGTCCAGAAGTATTGTTTCATCCAGAATCAATAGGAATGGATGTTGGTGGAATTCATGAAATGATATTCAACTCAATTGGAATGTGTAACCTTGAATTAAGACCAGATCTTTTCAACAATGTTGTGCTTAGTGGTGGAAATACCATGTTTGAAGGTATTGGAAAAAGATTGCAAAAGGAATTATGTAGTTTAGCCCCTGTTTCCATGAATATCAAGGTTACTGCCCCACCAGAAAGACATTGCCTCAGTTGGATTGGTGGTTCAATAATGATGGCATCTTCTGCAAGCCAACAGCAGAATTTTATTTCAAAGCAAGAGTATGACGATATTGGTGCATCAATTGTTCACAGAAATTATTGTTGAACCAAATGAAAAAGAATACATGTAATACATTCATTGCCACAATTTGTGATATTTTCATTAGCCGATTTACTATTCAATATATTAATCAATCAAAATGTAATTAAGGATTTTTTATATTAAGCACTCAATAACCCGAGATTTAAAAAGGCAGCATCTTGGAACTCTATTAAAATTGTCGGTTGGAATTGAACGCAAGTTCCTTAACAAAAACAAAATGCCAACACATTCAACAAGCAATCAACACAATAACGCTCAAAAAAGCAATCAGTATCTTCATTCTCATCACGAATTAACCAAAGCCGACTCTAAAAGTTCAGATCTATCCAATGTCACTGTAGAAGTTATTGGTACGCATAAGGATATTCAATTGGATGATGATTCATTGGAGATTAAGGGAAATTTAAAGATTAAGAGAATTACACAGTCGATTGTCGAGTGGGATATTCCAATCTATGATGATATTATTATTGAGAGAATATACGGAGAGGGGAAATTGTATTATCATGATGATTATCAGACTAGTCATCATCATCAACACGTACAAAATCCTCAACTCTTGAAACATCAACAATTAATTTATGATAGTCGTTCCTCTGATAGAATTCTATGCTCCAATACAAAATATATTCGCTTACATAGTGGTCATGCCTATCTGTTCAAACTTGCAAAATATGAAGACTCGGATGAAATTGTGGTGCATTATAGAAATAAGTACTCTTTGGATCTGTAGCTTAATTCTTTTTAACAAACAGCTATACTTCTTTAACATCAATATATTAGCTTAATCATTACCATCACCACTCTCCAACAACAATTCTCCACCAAATAAAAATTAAAGCCCAAATGAAATTATTCCGGTAATGATTGGCCTTTTTCGAGAATGAATATTCGCGATGAATCTCCAATACAAAAAAAATATCTGTTATCCTCACAGCACAGGAGAGATGGTCAATGAAAAACAAACGGATAATCATCACGATTCCGAAAAAGATCACAAGCTTATTTATCAGCACCATCATCACGTAGCATTTAATATTAATCCTCCTACTGAAGATGAGAAGAATAATCAAGCCAATTCCACTACAATAGATGATCATTCATCAGAGAATAATTTATTACCCAAGATGTTATTATTGCAACACAATCATCATCATCTTCACCATCACTTGGAAGAACACATGAGCACTGATGCTACTGATGTTACCTCTACTGATGATTTCACAGAGAGTACTGTCAATGGACATTCTCATGATGAGAGTGCTCAAGATGTTGCCATGCACAGGATTGAACAAGTTGCTGAACGTTTTGCAAATGTCACAAAAAAGAAGAGTAAGAAGGCTCTTAAATTACTGACAGAGAGTCCTTTCAATATTTTCAAAGAGATTATGGATGAAGAGGAGGAACAATCCTCTGGTGAGGAAGATTTGGAAAATAACATACCAAAAACTGTTTCTCACTCGAGAACACAATCCATAGAATCACTTCCAAAAGAAGAAATAATTGAGGAAAATGGTGTAACAATTAATCAAACTATTCCGAATGCTGTTGGTGACAGCAAGGAACAAAACCCTGAATCGAAGGCATTGGATGAATCCACTCACTTGGTTCAAGACACTGAATTCACTCCAAAGAATATTTATAATCAAGAAGATACAGGAAAGCCAATCAAATTCCACACCCACTTTTGTCTGTGCTCTTTTGATGAGACTCCTGATTTTTTGAGAAACAATCCATTCATTAGAAATCACTATAGAAAATACTTTTCTTTCAAATTATGTCTCCAAAGTATCTTTAGATTACACAATGAAACTGTCAATATCTGGACACACATGCTTCCAATATTTGGATACGTTGCTCTCATATTCTATACCATTTACTTTATGGTTGCAGAGCATAATACTGGCTCATTCAGTGCACAAAACGTTTTGGACATGATCATTGTTATCATTTATCTTGGATTTGCAATTAATTGCTTTTTCTGTTCATCAATGTATCACACCCTTAACTGTCACTCAAAGAAAATTTGGGGTATTTCGTACAGATGTGATGTGAGTGCCATTTCTGGACTTATTGGAAGTAGCATCATTCCAGCTCTGTACTTTAACTTGTATTGTTATGTTGGTTGGCAAATAGTTTACATTTCATCAATTGGTTTGTTTGCAGTTGTTGGAATGATTTTCCCATGCCTGCCATTCAAGAGTCCGCGTGCTCTCAAAATTTTTGGTATTGTGAGAACTGTTTTATTCATTTCTATGGTTTTGAGTGCTATTATTCCAATTTCACACTTTTTACTTTTCATTCTTCCATTGAAACAAGAGTATACAGGTAGTTTCTATTCGGATTACAATCAAGATTTCATGATTGGAATTATCATTGTGGTTTCATTGTATGGTCTTGGATTAGTTTTCTGGCTCACCAAATTCCCTGAAAGAGCCTTCCCTGGCAAATTTGACTTGTTCTTTTCATCACACAATATTTGGCATGCTTTCATTGTTGCTGCCAGCTCCTTATGGTATTATTATTGTCTGACTCTGTATGTTGTCAAGGTTGAAAAACTGAAACTTGGCCTCTCTTGTCCAAGTGATGCATTTTAATAAGGCAAAAAGAAATACTAACGAACTAATGTAAATAGTTAAAATAATTTATTGTGAATATTTTTCAATAGCCAAATTTTGTACAAGTGAACCAAGTTCAAAGACTGATTTGATTGCTATCAGTTCATCCTTTGGTTGAACAAAAAGAGTATTAGCATCTCTTCCATTCTTTGAAAATGCTTCATCCAGTGAGTGATTCACAAATGGTGTGCATTTAGAAGTGAGAAGAGAATGTCTGCATAAAACAAAGAGAGCTTTTCTAGCTGCAGACAAGGCAACAGATAATCTGTGAGGATCATTCAAGTGACCAGGATGGGTAGTTCTAACAGTTGAAAGAATGACAATGTCATTAACTTGACCTTGATATCTATCAATGGTTGTTACCACTGGATAACCCAAAGATTCACATCTTTGTTTGAGAATATCCCTAATGAGAGTCTTCTGACCTTGGTATGAAGCAAGAATGGTAATAGAGTCAGAGGAGTGACCAATTAGACGCAAATACATGTACAGTGCTACAGCATATTCAGCCTCTCCTTGATTTTGGTACATGTGAGAGGAGAGCAATGTTTCACCTCTTCCATTCAAATCTTCCACATTTACAAGTTGATAATTAAATTTGAATCCTTTCAATTTCTCTTCAGAATATGTTACATGATCATAAGTGTTTGGATAATTCCATTTGAATAGAGGTAGTAAGGATGAAGAAATTTGAGTTGAATCGAAAGGAAGTTTGATAATATTCTCCTCATCAATGAATCTTCCAAAACGAGCAAATAAAGATTGACTCAAGTTGGAGAATGGCTCTATTTGTTTGTTATATACCACAGGTTTCATTTGATTTAAATCTCCAATCAAGATTATTTTCTTAATTCTCTTAGATACTGTCATTGGGATGAAAGATTCAATTTCTGAAATTCTGCCAGCATCTTCAATGATTAATGTGTCAAAATTAAAATTGAGTTCTTGGAATTCCTTTCTCTTTACAGCCGCATGAGTGGAAGTCATGGCAACTACTCTTGATTGTTGAGTAAGAACGTGGTTACATCTCGATTGGTAGGCTCTGATATTCTCCAATACCTTACATTCGTTGATGAGTTCGAATAATAATTTCAATTCGGAATATAATTCGTGAGCCATGTCTAAATTTTCATTAAATGACTCAGACGAGAACAAATGCTCTTCATTCATAACTTCTCTAAAGTAATTTTGGAATGGGAAGTTGGTCTCAAAGAATGAAAGACTTTCATTTTCCAATTCCTTATCCTTTGAACCACACAACTCCAGGAATGACTTCCAAAGAGAGTGAATATTACCAATAAAGAAATGAGAAGCTGTTTCACATGAAATATTAGTGAATTGAGGATAGCCAAGAGAAGTAGCCAACTGTTCTAGAGTTTTCAAAACTTCAATTCTTTTTTGAATGAGGTAATTGACTCTACCGAATTTGCTATACTCATTCTTTTCACCGCCTAGTCTAAGTAAATGTCTTTCGTGTACTTTAGAATTCTCTAATTGTTCAAATACGCTATTCAAAGCTAAATTTGACCTAGCAATAATCACTGTTCTTTGATTTGGATTTGTAACATAAATATTCTCAATAATCTTTGTTAAAACGTTATGCTTTCCGCACCCTGGAGGAGCTTGAATATAGGTGAGTCCCTTTTCTGGGCTGGTTGCTGATCGAATGGCTCTTATTTGCTCCTTACTGAATCTATAACCAGTATCGGTTGCATTAGGTGATTTCAACTCTCTAGGAATGTATGATGAGTAGGCTGTAACATTCTTCTCCAAACCAAAGGTAACAGTGAAGTAATTAGAATTGGTTGGACTAGAAGCTTTCAAATTGCTTGGAACATCTAGAGATTCCCTAATATGGTCTTCATCTTGGAAAGAATTTCTAAAATCAACTGTACTCTCAGAAGAATCGAAAGAAGGTTCATAACCAAGAATATAATCTGATAACCAACTAACAAGGTTGTTTGTTCCATTATTCATTAAATTTCTCATGCTTTCGAGAACAGCTTTGAAATTATTATCTTTTGGTTTCTGTCTTACTACCAAGTTAAAGTGAGAATAAATGTCTACTCGTGACTTTTCTTGTTCCTTTCTATCAGCAAGATATTGAATCGGATCCAATAAGACAACCAATCTACGTTCTGGTGTTGAAAGCTCAAATTCAAGGGTTTCGTCTTGCTCGGCAACCTTTGTTTGGTTGTTAATGACATTTCCATCCGCATCCTCTTGCCTCAACAACTCACATCCTCTAATAGAGACAATGCCAAACTTTTCATCGAATTTGGCATTTTCATTGCTGTGCATTTTGGCCTTAATTTGAACTAGGAAAAGAATATCATTCTTTCTAATATTTTCCCATTCCTCACGAATACTTTGTGATTCAATAGAGGAAAGATTAATCGTAATGGCTCCTTCAACCTTGGATGGTGAGGTTTCTCCGATACTTGGGGGAGCAACCTCAACAAGTTCAAAAGGAGAAGTCATCGGAAGGGCCATTCTAAATCCAGAATGAAATTGTGTCTTGCCAGTTGCAGGATTCTTAGAGTATTCCAAATTAGAAATAGTATTTTCAAGAGATTGTCTCAAGCTGTATGTCTTTTCAAGTTTGAAAAGCTCATAATTTCTGAGCAAATAGTCAAACAAGGAGAGATATTGAATTCCAAGTTTTGGAATAATATTTGGTAATCCTTTGTAAGCTAAATTGGTTTGAATAGATTCATCGGTAAGACCTTCAGCCCAAATGGTCTTTTCTGTTGGATAAAGAGAAGTGGTATTGATCTTTTCTATTGGGGATGGTTTTCTTTCGTGATTGGATACTATTAATTCAATGAGAAGCTCCTCAGAAAAATCCTCTCCAGTTTCATACTTTCCCACTAAATCTAAATGTCTACACAAATCTACTAGCTCTTCCTTTTTAATTGAAGCGAGGATCTTTTCGAGGTAATCCCTAGATTGAACTGTAGCAACTGTCTGGACGGAAAGATCCTTTAAACTTTCAGTAAAATGTTGGAATGATATTAATTGCAAATTTGCAACCTTTTCAGCATAAATACCTGCATATTCTGTTGCTGACAAGACTTCTCCTGTATCGTCATTAATATCGAAATGTAAATAGAACTCGTATTTCTCTACCAAATCAAAAAACTTTGAAGACTGTGCGCCTGTTCTTAAAAACAATCTACAATGCTCCAAAACATGAGCATCTAACAAGTATAGACGTGAAAATTTTCTTGTTGGTATTTGAGAAAGTAAATCTATTAAAAATTCTAAAAATCTTTCACAGTATGTCATTAATTCATTATTATCACCTTCTACCAAACTCTTGAGAGATTCTAAAAAGTGAGTGACAAGAGATGGAACAAAGTTTGACTTGGAATCAGAATTGTTTTTCTTTGCAGAAAATTTTTTCCAATATTTTGTTAATCCTCTCTTTGCTATTTCATTGTTTCTTCTAGAAGGATTAACATGAGTCCACAAAGGTAGTGACACATAATCCAAACACAATCTATTTATCAAATCAATATGAGAGAAACAATTAATCAGAAATACGATTAATATCAGTCTTTCCTTTGTATTCCTATATTCCAAATTAATTGCCAAATTATGTAATTGTTCGAATTTACTATCAGTAGCAATATCCTTGAAATTAGTTTGATGACATTTTTCATTAATCATTACTATTAAAGATAATATAAATTCTCTAGAGTTTTTTCCATTATCAAAATTATTCCACAATACACTATTCATGTGTTAATCAATTCATTTCCTAAGAAAACTTACTGTTCAAAATAATTCGATGAAAATAATTGTGCAAATACTCCGCTAGATTCATTCAACAAATCCATACAAATAACATCAAATACTTGATTAATTAATTGTTCATCAAGAGCAATACACTTTTCCCATCGGGTTGATAAAACTCTAATTTGTTCATCATTGGCTTGATCCACCTTCATTTTCTTACTAGAGGCCTCTGAAGATCCTTCTTCCACAGTTGTTTGTTGATGATCATCACCATTCATACCATCACCATTATCAGGTAACACATTTTCCTCTGGATTTTTTCTCTTCATTTTTTTAATGCTGGAAAACAAGGTAAGAATAATGTGCTTGCTTGAAGGTGAATTGTTTTTCTTCATGTATTATCATCATTAGTGTTTATTATTATTTACAATTTTAATTATTATTATTATTCTAATAGGTTGAGAGGAAGTAAAACCACACGTTTTTCTTCTTCATAATAAATTATATAATGGCCATCATCCTGGTGTGAATTAATCATCTAATCCCATCTTATCCAGCAAGGCATCCAAGTCTGGTGTTGGGGAGAGTAGGCAATTGTCAGCATTTCCATTGTTGTTATTACGTTTCAATGGTGAAGTAAAACATGAGAAATCATCTTCATCAGAGGAATTTGTTGTTCTCTTCTCAACAACCTTTTCAGCATCCAATTTAACAGATAAACTATTGTTGGAGGCTCCTAGTACGGTGGATGCTACTGAATTCCACATGACATTATCAGAGGAGGTCCTTTCTGCCAATTCATCATACTGGTGCTTGAGTTTGTTGTATCTTTCCTTGGCAAACATCTTTTGTTCATGCATTTCTCTCACCTTCTCTTCTAATTGTTTAATGTATTCATCTTTGAGGTCATTGTCTCTTTGCAAGTCTTTAATTCTTTCCTTTTGTTGAAAGAGGAGGAGGGAAATGTCCTTGACAGCGTTGGCAGAGGTGTTTGAAGATGATTCTGGTGACAAATCTTGCAAATGCATGGTATGCTCAACTTGGTATGGAGAGGAAATTTCATGTTGTTTTGGTGTGGTTGTTTCAGGTGTTGGAGGTGAGTCTGGAATGTGAGGTTTAGTAGTGATAGAATACCATGAAAACCAGTTCAACCACGAATTGGATCTATTGTGTCTAGTTGGTGTTTCCTTCTTTGGAGTTACTTGTTCTTCAGATTCTGTTTCACTATCTGAATCATCGGAAGGAGCCAATAATTGAAGACGTTTCTGAAGGAGAGTAGAGTTTGAAACAACGTTATTCTTGTTGGATTCCTCTTCGGCAAGAGTTTTAACTGATTGGACAAGTGACATTTTTTTTAAATTTTAAATGTAACGGTAAGTTTATCAACTTTTGGTGGTTAAATTGCATTCCATGAATTACTCCACAGATACATCAGAAAATACTGGTCCATCTGAATCATCGTCTCCACTGTAGTAATCGGAATTTCTTCTCATTATCTCAGCAAAATCTTGTAATCCCATTCTTCCTCCAGCAGATGCGTTCATTCTACCCAAATTCATGAATGGATTATTTGCAGCGTTTCCTCCCATAAAACTATTCATGAAAATGCTTGGGTCAATATTTGGTTGAGCTCCATTTGAGCCAGGCGTTCCAGAAGCTTGATTGAACATTGAATCAAATGAAAAGAATGAAGAGAAATAACCAGACAATCCTAAATTCCAAGAACGGTCAATAGCAGTAAAAACTCCTTTCACAATTGTCCAATAGTCTTGAATTGAGGAGAATGGACCTCCAGGATTACTCGATTCCACATCAGATAATCCATGTTTACAATCTCTAAATACACGAATAATAATGAGTGTCACCAATAAATAATAAAACAAATTTTCAAAAAGAGTAGTCAATCCCAAATGCTTTCCTGTTGAAATAAAGTCATAAATGAAAAAGTATTCAAAAGGAACAATACTCAAAAGGAATGGGAATGAAAAGGATGTTGTGAAATAATTCTTCATCCACAATGCGAAATATCCCAAAGTAAAAACATTAAACCAATCCAACATTGAGTAGGGTTTTGCGTAATCCTCCATTGTTAGCTGCAAACTATGTTCTGGCATTCTAACTAAATTATCAAAAAAGGGTTTGTGCACAAGATGAATTCTTCGGAACAGAGTTGTATCATCACCGAATTCTTCTCCCAAGTAATCATGATTTTTAAACCATCCCAAGTAGATACTCGATATTAACAAGGCTGCACACACTCGAATTATACTACTCTTTCTAGATAACATTGAATTTACATTATTCACAGCAGAGAGTACTGAAAATACTCGATTGATTGTTGCCATTAATTTTGATGAGAATTATTCCAAAATTATTGATGAATAGAGAGTGGATGACGATATTTTTTATGAGAGTTCTTTTGTATGGAAAGAATCTTTCCTTTACAATTATTTTGCAACAATGATATCTTACTACACAAAGAATAATGAAATTTCACAATAATGATCTAATTGTCATTGTTGTTTTTGAAAATGTTTAAAATATCACCTTCACAGTTGAAGTACTCAACTTGAAATTGGCGCAAAGATTACTGTAAAAAACTAGCGGTTTCTCATTTTACATTAATAAAAAACTGAAAAAAATGAGCCTTAATAATTTTGATGAGGCTTTACTTTCCTCCTCCGAAGAGGAAAGAATGTTGATGGAGAATGGAGAGGATGATTTAGATGTTCCAAAGGAATTATCGATCGATAATATCAGAGGGATGAAAGCTAGTATTGAGAAGAATGTTAAAGACCTTGAGGAAGCTCTTGCGGAAGTAACCACATCAAACGAAGAACCAAATCATGAATTGATCAACGAGTTGAATTTAGCCTTAGTGCAAAGTAACTTGCTCCTGGAAAAAATAGTAATCATTGAAGATGGATACAAAAAGGCTATCAAAACCGATACTCTTCTCTCACAGGAAATAACTGATCTTGCCGAACAACTAGGCTTTATTGTACCTCTACACTTAACAAAGACAATAGAAGAAATTTCGGAAAGCGTATCACCCAATACACATCTCAACAATGAAGAAGAAGAAAATGGCTTAGAAGTTAGGGAGGGTGATTACAAGTTTGTTTCATTCGATGAGTTGGAGAAGTATTTGAACGAGCCGTTACTGCCAGAAGATAGGAATCAAACTCCAAAAGATAACACTCCCCAAAGGGCAGCAGTTTCAAGTACTTCCACACCAAGTACCAATATAGTCCCAATGCAATCACCAAAAATCACTAAATCATCACCACCACAATCTTCACAACATTCACCAGCAGATTCTTTAGAAGGTGAACCTGTAACACCAATTACATCAAGAGAAAAGGAATTAAGAAAGGAATATTTGAAGAACAGTATTAATATGAGTAAGGTTTCCTTCTCCTCCCCAACCTCAACAGCATCAATCTTTTCCACACCAGCTGTTGAGAGGAGTGACAGGAAAAATTTAGAGGGAGATGAGTATATTGAGATTACACCAATTGTGGAGGAGGAAAATCCAACTCTAACTGAGGAACAGCAACAATTGATTGAAGAACAGGATGTTAACAACCTGTTGGAGCAACTAATGATTTACACAAACGGATTGGATGAAGCAAAGAACTCACCTCGAAATAGACCACTTGGTGATTTGATAAAGGATATCAAGGAAGAAGAAGGCACTCCTCAGGAGAACATCTCTTCTCCTAGCATCTTTTTGAGACAAGAAGGAAATGCATCCCCTCATTACACTAGAATTACACCTAGAGAAACACCAAGAGAACTCCCAAAAGAAATACAAAGAGAACTTCAAAAGGAAGTTGTCAGAGAAATACCAAGAGAAACTCAAAGAGTGGTCGAGAGTCCACCTAAACTTTCTGCAACCAATTTGGAAAACGAATTCATGAAGAGAGATTTGGAAGATGCAAAGAGTCAAATAAGCGTATTGAAACAGCAAGTTGAATTCCTTCAATCCAAGGTGGCTTCAACGGAAGCTGAAAATTCGGATCTTAAAATGACAATTGAAACTCTATACGAAGCAAAGAATCAGTTCGATGCTGATATGCAATCTATCAAAGAAAAAGAGTAAGTTTATCTGGGTTTACAGTTCACTAACTTTTTCATTTCAAAAGAGAAAAGATTAATTTAATTGCCTCTTCTTTAGGAGACCATATTGAATTTTTGCAAGGAATGGTTGATAAACTGAAAAATGAAAGAGACAATAAGGTAATCAAACAATCAGAACAATTAACAACCATAATAGAAACACTCATAAGAAAAGAAAACACTCTTCTCGAAACAGTAGTAAACCAAATGGAAAGTGAAATGAATAATAGAAAAGTAGTGTTGGACGAAGAAATGTTAAAACTTAAAAAGATTGTTGTTGAGTGTCTGGGCGATGAAGACGAAAGTTCTTCCAAAGAAATTAGCAATGAAACTCTTCATGCTCTTCAATCTGAACTTCAGACAGTTGCTGATGAACTGAGTGAAATCAACTACTTCCCTTCTGACCCTGATGATGATATCGATAATGCTGTGACCAGAACTTTGGAGTCTCTCGAGTGCCCTGTAACAATAGAGATTGAAAGAATTGGGTATGGAGAATATTACCTTGACAGAAAATTGTATATCAAACTTGGACCTAAGGGAGAACCTCTTGTAAAGAATGGAAATGGTTTTATCACATTAACATCGTACGTGAAGAGATTGTATGCTCCTTTCTTCACAACTGAAAAGTATATCAAAGAAGAAGAGCAATTAGAAATAGAGTCACAAGCTCTTCAATCATCCAAATTTGAATCTCTTCTCCAAAAACTTTCCAAGACCAGGGATTACATTAATAACTTACAAACAACCTCAAGATCTGGATCTAACTCACCTCCAGCTTCACCTCCAAGAAGATCATCCCCTCTCAGAAACAATACTACTCTAAATCTTTCTCAATTAAATAACAGCAATGAGAGCCCTAAAGACTCCTCTTCAAAACTCAGCCCAAGAGATGGACCAAAGTTGATTCAAAAGAAAGAGAGGCAAGAGGATGACAACAAGGAAGGAAGACCAAGCTCTGCTCCTCCAAATACTAGGTACATTAATATTCTCCAAAGAGCAGAAAAGAATAAGAAGCTTTTGCCAATCAAGCCAACCCCACAAGTAAGAAGACCACCTCCAAACAGCATGACCTTTGATAGAAGAAATAGTCCACTTCCACCAAATTATGTCATGCATAACAACAACCTCCTTTTTGTAAAACAACCAGCAACCTATGAAAAACAACTCTCAAACTATGAGCAAGTTTTGGCTGCTCACCAATCTGTCAAGAAACCAATTGTTCCTCAAAAGTCTGCCTCAACAAATAACAGTAGAGCATCTTCACCAAGAAATCATCCATCACAGCAGCAACAACAGCCACAAACCATCAAGTCAACAATGTTTGGTTCTATTGATTTGGGTGATCCAAAGCAATTGGAAAAATTGAAGAAACAAGCCCTAAGAATGCAAATCCAACAATTTAGTCAAAAACCAATTCATTAAAATTCATTTATTTCATATGTTCATCCATCAATTGTCTAATGTCCTTCAATTCATTATGTAAAATTCTAAACTTGTCAGCAGACATTTCAAATCTTTCGTGAGTTGTAATTGATCCATCCTCTTCAGAGTGAAGAATTTTCAAGTTGAGTTGAACTGTTGGTTCATTCATTGTTTTTAAGGTTGATGATGATAAGACTAAATCTACTCTCCATTTTAATTCCTCAATTTTAGGCACTGTTAATATTTGGTAAGTTGCATGATAAAATCCAACCACTTACATCTCAAAGTTTTAGTTTTAAAATGCTGTATCAGTTTTTCCTTATAATTTTTATATGATCTACACAAAGATTCACTGCTTTCTTTTGGTAAACCGATTTGTTGCAATTCGAGTGACAATTGTTGTTCTTCAACATTGAATCTGGCAGAATTAGAAATAATATATAAAATAGAAGCAATAGCACTCTTGACTTCCTTAATATCTTTACAAGATCCTTCAGTTCTCTTCAATGCTTTATCATACTATTCCACAATCAACAAAATAATTTCGGAAATTAATACATACATCAAATTCTTCTGATTCAATAATTTCCTTCATTACAGCAATTGATAAGAATTTCAATTGAACTGATGACTAATAAAAATCCAATTTAATATTCCAATTTAACTGTAAAAACCTACAATATTTGCTAAAATAGCCATATTGGCCAAAAGCCAATCAGGGGCATCCAAACCTCCACAAAAGTGAAATCTCTAAGATCGGAATTAATTCTCTCATCAATATTATTTCCAAAGATCAAAACATACCATCCTTCTTTAAATAATTTAATATGGTACACAAAAGATTTTTTCAACTATCCACACAGTGATGATGGCAAGATTTTAAATCTATTCGTTTTTTTTAAAAAAGAATTATTGAATTTTTAATAATATTCATAAAATATGAATCATAGCCAAGATACAAGTCAATCCATCGGATCTGATGACAATTACACTATTCACCATCATGGTGGTCATTAACTCTTTCCTATCATCACATCATTAGCTATTTCTTAGTTGAAGCACAAAATTTGAAATTTATTGCTTTAAAAAAATATTTTAGAAAAATGTTGCGTGCTGCTCTCACTTCTTCAACAAAGGCCCGTCTTTGTTCAAAGAATGTTATTCATTCCTCTCAATTAGTATCATCATCAATTTCCTATACATTCATGAAGAGTTCTAATAACTCTCTTTTGCTCACGCTGCCATCTAAACAAATAAGGTTCTACGCCGAAGCACAAAGAGAAAAATCACCAAAGAGTAAACATGGAAAGGAATCAAGCTTTAAACGTTTGTGTAAGTATTAAAATTGTAGCGGAATATGTGATTGTAACAATTTTACCTTCATCACACACATTGGAATTGTCAAAATTATTTCAAATTAATTTTCATACTATTATTTACTATCTTTAACAACAACAGCCCACGAGGAATGTGTTCAAGTTTATGACTTTTGGAAGAGCCAAGGAAAACAAATTAATTTTACATTCTATAGACAATTCTTGCAACATTGTAATACACTCTGTTGGGACCACCCACAATATGTTGAAAAGGCCCTCTCAATTGCTGAAGACATGAAAAAGGACGGTATTGCTTGGAATCTTGAAGTTTACTTTATTTTGATCCAATGTTGCATCCGTAGTAAATCACCACAAAATTTAGACAAGGCTTTTGCTCTCCAATCTGAAATGGAAAAGTCTGGTATTCAATCAACTCAACTTATCTACAATTCACTCATTCGTGGTTGTGCTCTTTTGGATCAAGTGGAAAGAGCCAAGCCAGTTTTTACTGAAATGATGAAGTTAAAGGATATTCCACAAGGAATCAAATTTGATGATGTCTATAAGCATCTTAAGGAATTGTAAATTGGAATATTTGACAACCAGTATAACTCCTACTCTAAATTTTTCAAACTAGAAAATGATAAAAAAACTTTATTTAAATTCAATTTATTGGCTATTATCAATTCTTCCCTTAATTGTTGGAAATTTAAAATAAAATTCAATCAATTTTAGTAATTTTTAACCTCTCACTTTAGAAAGTCGTTTTTTTATGTTTATTTATTCAAATTGAAAATTAGGTAACAAATCCTCCTCGAAATATTTAATTTTCTAATAATTATATGTTTTGCGATGATGCAAGTTTAGAAGTTTCTTCGTTCAAAATACTTTGGATGAGCAATTCATCTTCATGAACGTTATTGCTCATTATCGTTTGAGATGTAATAGTCTTAGATTCGAGTGTAGCATTATTTTGTGGTGTAAGAAGCATATCTTCTCCTTGGTACATATCCTCATGAATTGTTTGTTCTTCGTAAACTTGTCTGAATTGATCCTTTTGTTTGTAGCAAGCCCAACGGAATATTTGTTGGTCCTTTCTCATTTGTTCATTGAGTTCTTTAACACAAGTTGGTGAGGCATCGAACAACATCATGACCCATCTTCCCTTGAAATGTTTTTCTCTGTGTCTATACATCGGATAGGCAAGAGGTAAAATACCCATATTATCAAGACGACGGATTACTCCCTTATTTTCAAAAACAACTTGAGCATTTCTCTTCATGACTTGGGCGACTGTTGGTAGAGCAGCCTTTGGATTCACGAGGTACACCAATTCGTACAATGGCATGATGTTGTTGGTGATGATGATGAAATATTTTTTTGAATTTAGAAAATAAATAAAAATAAATCATTTTAAATTAAATTTCAGGCTTCTCTAATAACCTTTCAAATATTAGAAATGAATGACCAAGAAGATGACTGTTTACTTGTTGAAATGAAGTACTTAACATGCTTACCGCGGACGAGGATATAAATATTTAAGTAAGTTATTTTAGAAATCTTAATGTAAATCGGGTGTGGTATAGTGGTAGCATTCCAGACTGTCACTCTGGCGACCCGGGTTCAATTCCCGGCACTCGAGTAGAATTTTTTGTTAAACAATTCAATTATCATTATCATATTACTGGTTTTCATAATTTTGTAATAAACACTAGTTTATAGATATTTGTGTTTTTATTTTTGATTAAAATTGAGTATTACCTTTTTTAGAAGCCTCTGATTTCTCATGCCAAATGTTGCTCAATAAAAAATATGTGGTACTGAAAAAGTTTAGCACTGTTTTATAATTTTATTAAATTTACAACAAGTTACAAATAATCAAGGAAATCAAAACAAGCAAGAAGCTAATCAATGATTGAGAGCTAGCACCGCTAGTGGCAGCCAAATAATTTGAATTTTCACTAGAACCACTTGAAGGATCCCAAATTACATTTTCAACTCTTTCAGTCAATGAAACCCAGAAACGAGCAACAACAGCATTGGAAGCTTCAGACTTATCCTTGATAAATTGTTCATCAGAATTCAAACTACCTTCAATATTTCTGAATGGAGTGTAAATTAACTTGCCACGAGTAACAACAGTTGGTGAACTAGAAGAATATTTGGAAATAAACTTTTGGAAACTGAAGAATGGTTTTGGAAGAATTGCTTGATTGCCATCTAATTGAGTATTCAAATCATTATCAAATTGAGAAACAGCTTGATCATCATTGGCATCATCTGGCTTTTCAACAGCTGATGATTCTCTTGTTCCAGAGCTTGGCTTTAAGGTTTCATTTTCACCTGATGATTTTTCACGTCTTGAACCACGGAATGCAACAATTGTACCCAAAGCAATCAATGAATTAGATTGAGAATATTGAATATTAGCCAATTCGAAAGAAACCTTCAATGAGGATGGATTCAATACTTGAACAACACCAGCACGAGAGGCAAACTTTGAGCTATCAATTTGAACAGTGGCAGTTGAAATGACAGCACTCATTCTAACAGTACAGAAATTGGTAATATTAGTTTCAACCAAAGCATGATAAATATATGAATTATCACTGTCGTTGAGAAGCTTCTTTGATAAATCAACAATCTTCCATGTTTGTTCACGTAAATTGTAAATCTTTACAACAGTGTCATTACCTGGTTGATAACCTTCAACTCCACTTGTCTCTTGATATTCAATAATTCTATCGACACCAAATGCAGATCCAACTACAATGGCCAACTCACGTTCAATCTTGGTAATTGGTGTGACAATCTTGATAGCAGTCTTGGCCTTCATGGCAATGAGTGGAAATCTTTCGAGTGAGGCCAGAAATTCCATCTCTGAGAAGGAACCAACAGCAGTGGCATTGAGTCTGTCCAATGTACACAAGGCCTTGCTGGTAAACTTGATGGTCTTTTCGTTTCTGTCGACTTCAATCTTTCTACGGCAGAATTTGTTGGTTGGGAAGAGTTTTGGTGTAATGTCGAAGGAGGTTGATTGAGCTGAGAGGAGAGTGGCCAAACAGCTGAGAATTACAATGAGGAATAAGAGTTTCATATTGTTTTTTTTTGTTGTGGAATATTTGTTGTATTGCTGAACATTTTAAAGGATTGTAATGGAGGGCACCTGTCGTTTGTCAATGAGTGAGTTCATGTCATGAACAAGTTGGTTGTTCTGCAACGATGAACTGCATTGTTGAAACTGGAAGTTAGAATATTCAACACTTAGAGTTCGTGGAAGGAAGAAAGAGTTCACAAGTTTGTTATTTACAATGATTACTGTAGTTGATTGACAGGTGTATTAATTTCTTTTGCTTTCTGAATCTTAGCACAACATGCATTTTTCCTTTTTGTTTAGAACTGGAGCTTTGATAAGTTTCGAATAGATAAACGTCTTGACAATCAAATCTTCCAATTCTTCCAGTCCAACAAACTCTCTTGAAGATGTTGTCACATAGCTCACAGCACCCATCCGCTGAGATAGTTTCTTTCCATACGAATCATACTTTTTACACAAATAACTATTCCAATATTTTCCCAAATGAAAATCTCCTGGTTTTGAATAATCACAAATATCAGATTTTGTTCCAACGACCAATACTGATCTGTTGTAATCCAAAAATGGTTGAATTTCTGGAAGAAATCTATCAGAAAAATCCTTCAAACACTTATTCATCATTACTGGATTTGATATTGAATAGCACATTATAAAAATGTGACACTTGGATGGTGTATCATAAGAATAAGGAGTGTCTACTAATTGTAAACAATAACCTTCAATCCTCTTAATATCACACGAATTATAGTAACGGGGAACAGAAAAACCCTCTTCCGAATCATTGTATCTTTCATACCTAAGGTGAAGATAGTAACACAGAGTGGTCTTTCCAATACCATGTGGCCCAATGAAGCAACATCGAATTGGCTCTGATTCTTTCAGTAAATTTGCATATTCCTCCAATTTGAAATTCTCACAAAATGTCTCAAAGTTTTCAATTTCTTCCGAATATGAACTCCAAGTGTTTTTGAGTTTTTTAATTTTCTTACATTCTTTCAATTTATATGTTCGATCGACCGATTCCTTGGTTTCTCTATAAATTTTCATTAGAATTTCTCTAATATTCGTACTTTCTGCACGGAGTTTAATGGGTTCTTCTCTATTGAGCAACTTGCCATGAATCGAAAGTTGACAGTCGAGTTGTGTTATTCTTCCTCGCCACATCCAATCACTATTTAAAAGATTGAACCAAATGGTATTGACCAACATAAGTTGGAGATGTTCGGAAAATGAAAGAAATTTATCAACGATCGTGATGGTATCCAGTGGCAAGAGATTTAATGACATTTTTTGATATTATTGAAGAAAATAAAGATGGTTAAAAAACAGTCCGATGAGACGGAATCGAACCGCCGACCACAGGATGACAGTTGTTCTTGCTACAGTCCACTTTTATTGTCAAGAAATCTGTAGGTAGAGAAGGAAGCCAGGTAAAAAAATAATGAAATGGAATAACAAGAACCCTTCAAAATATGCAACAAACACAATA